TGTGTGTGTAGTGTGTGAGTGTGTGTGTGTGTTTGTGTGTGTGTGAGATGTGTGTGTGAGTGTGTGTGTATGTGTGTGAGTGTGTGTGTCGTATGAGTGTGTGTGTTTGTGAGTGTGTGTGTGAGTGTGTGTGTGTGTGTGTGAGATGTGTGTGTGTGTTTGTGAGTGTGTGTGAGTGTGTGTGTGTGAGAGAGAGTGTGTGTGTGTGTGTGAGAGAGATGTGTGTGCCCTTTCTGAAAAGGGACAAGCGGCCTGGGGGACACTCTGCCGTGGGCGGAGAGGCGCCTGGGCTACGCTGGAACCCCGTTGTTTGCTGTTTCAGGAGATGCTGGTCCTCTGCCCTGGGCCCACGTGTGTCCAAGGACCCGGGTAACCCTTGAACTCAGTCTCTCCCCTGTGGTGGCCACACACCCGCCTGACCCCTCCGCCCACTGAGAGTGGATGCAGTGGGTCACTCACAGAGCCCTGACCAGGAGTGATGGGTCTTTTGCCGTCCACCACCTTCGAGCCGGGGCCGAGGCCTGGCGTCTGGCAGCTCCCTGTCGGCCCTCCACCCTGCAGCAGGCCCAGGTGGTGGCTGCACGGCGGGCCTGCCTGGACCAGGAGCTCAGGAGGACCCCGCCTGGCGGAGCTGGACTCAGTCCCCAGCCTCCCCTCTGAGGGCATCCTCCTGGGAACCTCCCCCGAAAGGCAGTCCCGCCTCAGTCCCGCTGTCTGAGCCGGGCCTTGTTCGGGAACAGGGTTTCTGCAGACGCAGTCCGTCCAGACGAGGCCACGCTGGAGGGGATCCCAACCCAGGAGCTGGTGTCTCCAGGAGACGGGAAGTTGGACACAGGCAGGCAGAGGGGAGGCCAGAGGGGAGGCAGAGGACGCCAGGCCACATACCCCCGCCCCCAGTTGGAGGGAAGCAGGGGCCCCTCCCCAGAGCCTCTGGGGCCCCCGCCCTGCCTGCACCTTGGTTTTGGACCCCAGATGAGAGCGAGTCAAGTCCTGCGGTTTGAGCGCCACGTGAGTGCTGATTTGTCCAGCAGCCTGGGAACCGAATCCCCGGCCCACCCGAGTGACGCCCGTGGGTGGCAGCACCCACACCCGACTCGGCCAGCCCAGCAGCCGTGGCCTGGTCCTGGGTGCCCCCGGCTGGGATGGGGTAGGCATCGTGGACACTGGGTGTCCCCTGCGCGGTGAGGCCTCTGGGACTGGTGCCGAGTGCAAGGACGGTGCAATGTCACGGGGCGGGCGGGCGGGCGGGGGGGGGGAACGACACACGACTCTGCACTTCCTCCTCCTGGGGAACCCCAAGCCTCTGCCACGGACAGGCCCCCCCTCAGACATGGCACTGGGCCGGAACCCTTGCCAGCCAGACCCTGGGTGCCCACCTCGGGGAGGCCTCACCCTGTGGCTGAGCAGGACTGGCCTGCTTCTCCCGGGACCCTCCCCGCCATCAGGCCCGGCTCTGCCCTCCTCCGTCCCCTGTAGGCCTCGGGGGCTCACTGGCCACTCCTCCTCCCCTCAGACCCTGCCCCCTCCCTCCTGAGCTCCCCACCACGCCAGCCCCTCTCCCATCTGTGCCCGATGGACCACGAGGTCTGAGTGAGCGGGCGGGAGGTGACACCGTGCAGGAGCAGAGGGTCGGAGCAGCGGGACACGAGCGAGCGTGGGCGATGGGAGGGGCTGCTGGAGGCCCTGGGCGTGCCCCCGCCCCGCCCGCCCCGCCCCGCGCCCCCAGGCCTCACCTGCGAAGTTCTTGGTGAAGACCAGGGTGACCAGCAGGATGGGCACCAGCACGGTGCCGATGGTGACCACGCGGTCGAACGGCAGCTCCAGCTTCAGCTGCAGCAGCAGCGCGGCCAGCGCGCCCGCCTTGTCGTCCTGCGCGCCCGGCAGGATGAGCTCGCGCAGCTTCTCGCCCGCCAGCAGCGCCGTCGCCATGTCCGCGGGCTGCTCCAGGAGGTGGTGCATGGGGGGCGCGGGCGGGCGCGGGCGCCGGGCTCGGGGGGCGCCGGGCTCGGGGGGCGCCGGGCTCAGGGGGCGCCGGGGGTTCGGGGGGCGCGCGGGGCGGGGCGGGCGCCGGGGGTCGCCGGGGGCCGCCGGGGGCGCGCGGGGCGGACACCGGGGACTCGGGGGGGCGCCGGGGGCTCGGGGGGCGCCGGGGTGGGGTGGGCGCCGGGCTCGGGGGGCGCCGGGGCGGGGCGGGCGCCGGGGGCTCGGGGGGCGCGCGGGGCTGGGCGGGCGCCGGGCTCGGGGGGCGCCGGGGCAGGCCCGGGGGAGCTCACGGGGGCACAGGGGCCGGGGAGGGGCCGGGGGAGAGGCGCTCCGCCGCCGCCCCCGCGGGCAGGGGTCGGGCCGCCGCCCCCGCCGGGCTCAGGCCTGCGCGTCCTCGCGGGGGCGGCGGCGTCCGGCCGGGCGGCGGCCCCGCTCCCGCTCCCGCCCGGCGGGGAGGGGGCTGTTTACCGGCGGCCCCGGCGCCTGGCTCCGCCCCCCCCTCCCCTCCCCGCAGAATGCGGTGCCGGCGGTGACTTGGCAGAAATATTCAAATTCAATAAAGGAATCAGCGCGGGGGACCGGTTCCTCCTCTCCCTCCGGACCGCGGGGGCCGCCCCGGGGCGGGGGCGCGGGGACCCGGCTCCTGGTCCTGCGGTGCCGCCTCTCCTCCCGGAGCCTGGCCGCCCTGCGGGTGCCCAGCCCCTCCCTCCGGGGCGCTGCGGACACGGCGGGGACCGGGCGCCCTTTCCCAGCTGGGGCGTCCTCCCTCGCAGCCCCCGCCGGTGCCCAGCGAACCACCGGCCCCACATCACCTGCCGCGGCCGCCTGCTTCTGCCGGCCTCCCGCCCGTCACCCCGCCCGCGGCCCGCGCACTCCCGGGCTGGGCGCCCGGCTCCCCGCGCCTCCCGGCCTCCGTCCCCAACCCGACACCCCGCATCCATCCCGCGGCGCCCTCAGAACGGCGGCGGCGACAGCACTGGGACAGAGGTCTCCGCAGACGTGGGTCCTCTCTCCATTTTCCTGAGGCTCCTCCCGTCCCATTGATGCGATGCGCGCACCGGGGTGACAGGCATCGTGTGTGTGTGTGTGTGTGTGTGTGGGGGGGGTAACCCTCCCTCACAGCCCCACAGCGAACATGTCTGAGCACCACTTGGCCTGGGTCACCACGGCCCTGCCTCCGGGGTGCGGTGGAGTGGGTGGTGGGGGCGCAGACAGGGCTAAGGGGGAGCATGGCTTGTGCCAGGGCCATCATTTTCTTAAATTACCTGGGGTGACATGGGCTAATAGGACCACAGTATTATGGGTCTAAAAGGTTCTACCCTCTCCCCCTAATCACTGCTTCCAATTCCAGATACCCCACACAGCCAGACCCCCAGATGACCTAACTCCCCCCATTACTCGGCACAGACATCCTGCGGCCACCGAGAACTCCGAGTGGTGCTGCCCCACGGCCCAGCTGGGCGGACATGGCAGGTGCCCTCCCCCTCCCTTCGGGTGCCCCAGCCCTTGGCCTTGGACAGTGTTCAGGGCCCGATTCCCGGCCAGACAGCTCCTTCCTGTGCACCTGGGTGGCTGTGGGGGGCGTGGTGCTGTCTTTGGGCAGCCCTGGGGTCCCCCTTCACCCGCAGGCCCAGTCGCAGGCGGCTGTGGTGGCAGCTGCTGTGGTGAGGGCACACGGTGACCGTCACCAGGCAAACGGGGGACAGGGACACCACACAGGCGACCAAGCACGACCGTTTCTGAGCAGAGCTCCCCAGGTTCTGACCCCGGGCCGCTGTGTGTGTGGGGCATCCTCAGAGCCCCATCCTCGGCTCAGGCAGTCTGGGCCTGGGCTGGGCCAACAGGAAGCAGGTATTCCGAGTTCACAGCCACTGGGCCTTGCGTACCCCAGGAGCACTGGGGGCTGGGCGGGCCTTGGCCCACGCCCTCTGTGGGACCCTCAGGAAGTCCTGTGGGCTCTGCAGCCTCCGAAAGGCTCTTGGCGTCTCCCATCGCCCTGTCCAACCTCCCTCGGTGCCTGGGCTTCCCGTTCACTGTCCCAGCTGCCTGCCTGAGGCAGCAGCCACAGCCCCCCCCAGGACGGAGGGAGCTGGGAGTGGAGCTGAGGGCTGAGGGGGGCGCTGTGCTCCGGTCCCACAGGTGGACAGCTGTGATTTCTGCCCCCCAGGCGGGCGGCACGCAGCTTGCATGGTGAGGAGCCGACCTGGGGAGGAAGCTGAGCGGTCGCTGTCCCATCCCCAGGGCTGGCGGGTACAGACCAGGTCAGACCCCAGACACCTTGGCTGTGACGGGCTGAAGGTCCGAGCTTCACTGTCCATCACATGGCTTTTGAGGCGCCACTGGGTGGTCCCCCAGCCAGGTCTCTGCTCCCTGACAGGCTACCCTGAGGCCAGGCCCAAGCTCCAGCCCCTCTGCACTACTCCTTGGGCCTGAGACACCCTCCCTGGGCCCGGGGTGCTAGTCCCCAGGCTGGCGCCGCTCACGAGGGCATACCCAACGTGTGAACATTCCCAGCCTCTCCTGGAAACGGGTCCCTAAGGGTCTGCACCCGAGGGCAGCTTCTGGCTAAGGGGACAGCAGAGGCCGAAACAGGCACTACCACCTCTGTGGGCCGGCCAGCTGCCCTGGCAGAGTTCACGGCTCTAGGACCCGGAGGAAGGCGTGACTGTCCCCCCACCTGGAGCCCTCTGAGTGAAAAGCCACGCAGGGTCTCATGGAGGTTTATTTGGTGATGGGCGGGGTGGTAACTGCAGTGCCGGGAAGGGGCTGGGCAGGCATCAATGCTTGTGGCCGACAGCAGGAGGCGGCCCCGTGACCACAGCAGACAGGGGCTCCTGCCCTCCCTACCAGCAGGGGCTCCGGGCGAGTCGCTGGTCCCCGGGCTCCTGGCTCTCGAGCAGGGAGGCTGCACACCTCGCCCAGCTCAGCTGTGGGAGGCGCAGCCAGTGCGCTGGACTCCCGCAGGGCTGGGCAGGGGCCTCTCTGCAGAGTGGCTCCATGAGGAGCACGTATCTATGGAAGCGGTGCGAGAGTGCCGCCTCGGCCCCGAGCCGGAGCCGGAGCCGGAGCCGGAGTGAGGCTGGGGAGGCCAGGAGGCAGGGAGGCCGGGGCTCACCCCTGCAGGTGCCGTAGCTCGGGCGGCAGGTCGCACCCGGTGTATGCGTCATTGGTGATACTATATTCCAGCAATGCGCCAAAGCAGGGGTCCTGGGGGGACACAGGATTTAGAGTGGGCAGGCGGGCAGCTCCCCACCCTCAGCCCCTCCTTAGGGGACTCCTGTCCCAGGTGGCAGCTCACTCTGACCAGGACGTAGGGGTTCCCCACCACGATCAGTAAGGCTTTGGGTCTGGTGACGGCCACATTAAATCTCTTTGAGTTGGACAAGAAACCCAGGAAATACCGATCATCTTCAAACCGGTCTTCGTTTGACCGCACCTGGAAACACCACGGCGAAGAAACACGGTGCTCACGTTTCGTGGCACGGAAAAAACTCTCGACATGTAAGACACACTTAGCAATACTAAACATCATCAGTAGGACCTCATTTTTGGCTAAAAAAGAAAAAAGTAGCCTTCGCAGACATGGCTGTGGTTAGAGCATCGGCCTACACACGGGAGGGTCTGGGGTTCGATTTTGATCAAGGGCACGGAACTGGGTGGCAGGTCTGATCCCCGCCCCCGTCAGGGCACATGTGGGAGGCAACCTATCGATGTGTCTGTTACATCAATGTTTCTCTCTCCCCCGCCTCCGGCCCTTCCCTTCCATCCTCTAAAAAAAAGTGGAAAAATATATCCAAATACCCCCACCCTGGGGCGAGGCTAGAAAAAAAGGAAAAAGGTGGCAGGGGGTGGGGAGGAGCCTCGCCGCCTCTGCCTGCAGAGCCCCCCACCTGTGGGCTCAGCACAGGGAGGGGCGGCTCGGGCCAGGGTTCCTTCCTGATTCGAGGCCCCAGCGCAGGGCACCTACGGTCGAGATGATGATCACCAAGTGCTCTTGCCCTTGGAACTCCTCCACTGATCCGACCTTTATGTCCATCAGGTCCACGTTCCTCAGAAGAATTTTTATCTTCTCCACCTTTGAAGCAGAGAAAAAAGATTAAAGATAAAATGTTACATAGCTGACCCTTTCTTTCCATATCGCAGCAAAAGTGCAGTCTGACAACGTGCAGACGGCTTCTCGATCCCCACTGTATTTAACCCGACCACCCCAGGCACAGCCCACACCCAGGCTCAGCACCGTTCCTATGGGGGTGAGGCAGTGACGCCCCATGGGGCCCTCCCGGCCTGAGCCTTCTCCACGCCCGCGGCTGGAGCCAGGCCGCCAGGAGGACAGACGCCATGACCAGTGGCACGGAGCAGGGGAAGGCGAGCTCGCCCTCAAGGAGCGGGGACGGCCGAGTCAAGTGGCGAGACTCGGGACGAAGTGGGTTCCAGGTGTTGGGGGACCAGGTCTCCAATGGGCGTTGGGAAAAAAATATTGGAAAAGGGTGTATTTGAAAGAAAACTCGACGGTAGGCGACTCCTCCCCAGGACACCGGGAAGGGTTGAGGTCAGAGCAGGGCTCGGCGCCCCAGCAGGCCCAGAGCAGGCCCGGGTCCCAGCGGGGTGGTGAGACTCGCAGGGAGAGGCCAGGGCAGTGCTAACAGGTGAAGGATGCTCCTGACAACAGCAGGCAGCGCACCTGCCGCGGGGCCCGAGGTCGGGGAGGTGGAGTGCCCGAGTCTGCACAGGCCTCTCCGCAGCGACTAGCAGACACCCCTCAGGAGACGGGGACGCAGAGACCAGGGGTGCACGCAGCTGGTGAGCACCCCACCGAGCAAGGTGGCATGCTGACCAGTTGTCCCAAGAAGAAAAATGTGTGTTGATGAAAGGTGGAATTTTTAAAACTCACCAGGAAGAGCACAAAGGAAGAACTAGGGTGGGGGCAGGTCTGAGGCTCACCATGAGGGACTGGGGCGAGGGTATGGGGGGAGGGGGGTGCCGCGAGGGAGTCGGAGCCCAGACGTGCACGTGGCACCGTGTGTGCAGGACGATACACACCACACAGACCCAAGTTGGACAGATCCTTGCCACGACCACCCCACACACACCCAGAGGCCTGAACCTTCAGAACAAAGTGGGAAAACATACCTCGCATCACAACAGGGAAGGATTTTAGATAAAACACAAAAAGCACAAACCCTATAGGAAACGGCTGACACGTCCCGTGTGTGTGTGACTACATGGAACCGAAACACACCCACACGGAAGGAACCAGGGATAAGGCCTGCTGAGACGGTCTGGAGCTCGTGACCGCCACGGGCCGAGTGCAGAAATAATGCCGACTCAGCACAACCTGCAGCCCCACCTCAGAACAACAGAGGGCACCAGACTTAAACAGGTTACAAACCCTCACCGGAGGGAGGGAATGTCATATTGACTACTAAAGAACATCTATATTTTTATTGATTTCAGAGAGGAAGGGAGAGGGAGCTAGAAATATCAATGATGAGAGAAAACCAGATTGGCTGCTTCCTGCATGCCCCCCACTGGGGATCAAAGCCACAACCTGGCATGTGCTCTGATCAGAATAGAACTGTGACCTCCTGGTTCCTAGATGGATGCTCAGCCCCCGAGCCACACCAGCCGGGCTGTTCTGCTGACTGAGAGAGAAGGAGGTGGAGAGAGAGAGAGAGAAGAAAAACATCCTGTACGAGCCCGCAACCTAGGGCAGTGCCCGGGCTGGGAATCAGCCCTGCTACTGCGCCATCTGAGCAGGAGAAACAGGGATTCTGATGAAACATAAGGCCAGTAAACACATGAAAAGACCCTCAAGTCCCTGACAGCTCAGGGACACCTCTGCTCCTTGCAGCGGCTGTGGGTGTGGGCAGTGGGAGCTACAGACTGGGGAGATGGGCGGCCAGGTGGGCTGCGCGGCAGATGGAGGATGTGCACGGCGAGCACACGGGTGACAGCTTCACGCCCGGGCAGAGGAGCCGCTGAAGCAGGGGTCACCCAGGTGCCTGGACACCCAGCCCCAGGGCCCGGTGTGGAAGGCCAGTGGGAGCCTGTCCCGGCCCCCCCCCCCCCCCCCCCGCCAAGGGCCACGGATGAGCCTGTGTCCTGTTCTTGCATGTCCTCCGTGGACCAGGAGGCACAGGAGCTGGGGAGGGGCCACACCTGCTTGCGGTAGGGCGTGATCACGCCGATGTCCTGCGCAGACACCTGGCCGCTGAGGCTCCTGGCCAGGAGGCAGCTGTAGCGCATCACCTGCACGGCCTCGGCCGGGTTGAACCAGGACGGGCTCCTGCCTTCCCGCGCCTCGCTGCCCTGTCAGGTGGGGAGACGAGAGAGGGGCCTGGCTATGGAACTGGAACCGGCTCAGCTGCAGTGCGGCCCAAGGACGAGCAGAGTCCCGTGAGGACAGCGATGGGGAGGGCGCCCGTGCCGGTGGGGACAGCCCTTTGGCAGTGACGAGTGTGGTCAGTGCGGAGCCCCTCGGGCTGCGCCCGGCCCCTCGCTCCGGCTGCCCCTCCTGGGGCAGGTGCCCTCCTCCCCGACCTGCAGGGAAGACAGGACCGATGAGCACAGACCATCACTGCGTGCCAAGGACACGCAAACCAAACTCCAGGGCCCGCCTCATGCCCACCAGGACGGCAGACAGACACGCTGCCGGGGCGGACGGGGGGCAGCAGCGCCCAGCATGTGAGGAGGTGCAGCCGCCGAGGACGTGCAGGCCCTCAGGCCCGAAAGCAGTTCCCATCTGGCTGACGTTTACTTCTGGGCATTCACCCAAAAAAACAGAACAAACGCGGGACCCAGACAAGTACACAGGGAGCAGCCGAGCGTCCATGGTGGCGTGGGAAGCACACGTGGTCTGTGCACACATGGGCTCCACGCGGCCAGACGAAGACCACCAGAGGGAGGACGCAGGCACGGGACCGCCTCACGGCGCATGGCCCGCAGCCTGAGGGCTCAGAGCAGACGCAGGGATAACGGGGGCGCCAGGGTGGGGGGTGAGGGTCAGTGGAACAGTGTCCGTCTGGGAAGATGGAGAGCTGTGGGACTGACTAGCACAGGGGCCCTGCTGGCAAAGGCAGTCGCCCGAACTCGGTGCTTCTCCACGAGGTAAACAGCGCACACAGAGCAGTAACAACGCACTGACCGGCCCTGGCTGGGTTGGCTCAGTGGATAGACTGTTGGCCTGCGAACGTTTCCAGGTTCGATTCTGGTCAAGGGCACGTGTCTGGGTTGTGGGTGCGATCCCCAGTGGGGGACCTGCAGGAGGCAGCCGATCCATGAGTCTCTCTCCTCGTGGATGTTTCCCTCTTTCGCACCTCCTTCCTCTCTGAAATCAATAAAGAAGAAGAAGAGTGCCCTGACTTCAGGCGCTTTCGCTGGGGGACTTGACTGGCCCGGGTTTACGAGGTCGGTAACCAGCAGCAAGGAGGGACACCAGCCGACGGCACCAGCCGCCCAGAGAAAGGGAGACAGACGAAGGCAGCGGCAGGAATGGCACTAACAGGCTCTCCACGGGATGGGAGCACAGCCCGCCGCTGCGCAGAGCGCCCTGAGCGAGGGAGGAGGGCGAGCCCAGGGAAGGGGCGGCGTGTCCAGCAGGTGGACCTGGAGGGAAACCAGGACAGCCAGGACCTCTGCAGCATGCACAGCAGGGAGCCGCGGCAAGGCCTCAGGCACCGGCAGGATGAGTACGGGAGCCATGGGCAGTCACGGCCCCGCCAGGGGGATGCTGAGCGGACAGCACCAGGTCAGGACACAGAGGAGCTGACAGACAGGCCCCACAGGAAGTATAAAAACCTACGTGAACCTCAGTCCTCAACAGAGAGGGGAGCTTTGGTGTCCTTAGGACACGGGAACCGTCCATTGGCCACAGACGTTAGAGCCGGGGTTACAGGCCTCGGCCCTCATCAGAGCCCATGACGCAGCATACAAGGTGACCACAGCCCTCCAGCCCCTCCGAAGTCAAGAAAAACACGTGTCTGTAACCCTCGGATCGAAAAGAAAATGGAGCCTCGGGACCAGGGGGCGCCGTGGAGCAGAGCTGACGCCCAGGCCCTGCCTCCTGCATAGACGGAGAGAACTGGGTGCACCTTCGGGACCAGTGAGGACAGGGGGCCTACAACTGAGGCTAAGGGGGCAGGAAGGACCGAAAAGCTGCAGTGAGTGAAGCAGAAGAGGAGCAGGAGGACACAGAATGAGCCCCAAGCTGGTTTCCACACAGACAGGTGCACAGCCTGGGCTCCAGCGGGCGCACGGGCAGGGGGCCCAGCAGCCAGCAAGCACCGCGGGAGGCGGCTCACTCACCCGCACTCCGTGGAAGATGAGGGGGAAGCCTTTCCTGGGGAGCTTCTCCCAGCCCAGCAAGGAGGTCACAACCTTGGGGTCGGCACAGACCTCGAGCTCCTTGTGGTAGAAGAGCCGGGAGGGTAGGGCCAGCAGGGCCGCGTGGGACCTGTAGTTCTTCACCAGCTTGGTCACCTGCAGGGCATGCAGGGGCAGCCGTCAGCCGCACCTTCCTGCCGAAGGGAAGTGATGCCCTCGCCCCCACCCCCTTCCGCCTCTCATCGCTGCCTGAGCAGAAAGCGACCGTGGCCCCAGCTGCCACTGTGACCAGAAGGCCATTCCAGTAAAGGTGACCTTCGGGAGAACAAGAGCAGGCGGCCAGGCCCGGCCGCCCAACCTGTGGCCCTAAGAGGGTGTTCTCCCTCAGGGCCCGTCCTGCCGCCCAGCAGAGCCCAGCCCAGCCCCGGGACAGGGGCACAGGGCAGGCAGACGCCCTCCCCCAGGCCAGGAGGCTCCAGGCCACAGCAGCCCTCCTGTGGGGCAGTTGTGGCTCCTGTGGACCCGGCCCCGGGTCCTCCCCACTCCCTGGTGGCCTGCCCCGTGGGTTCAGAGAGCAGCGCTTACTCGCTCACTCGCTCGCCGTCTGAGGGGGAAGGGGCTCACGACCCGGCTCGGCTCCAGCACTGGGCCCTGCAGTGCCGATTCCCGTGGTCCCCACCTGCACTGGCCACCCCGTGGGCGCCCTCTGCTGTCCCTCAGGGCCCACCCCCCGAGGGGTCTGGCTCACCAGCAGGGGGTTGTAGGCGCCACAAGCACCGAAGGCGTCTTCATCCCTCAGGTACACAGGCCGGGACATGAGTCTCTCCAGCATGGACACGTTCAGCCCGTAGGCCATGGCGAGCCGGGACTTGATCACGGGCCCCAGCTGCATGGGGTCCCCAGCAAGGATGATCTGCCACACAGACGGACCCGCTGTGCAGGGACAGCGGCTGCAACCCACGCACAGCGTCAGCCACAGCGTGCGTGGAGGGAGGGTGGCGGAGGCAGGAGCAAGCCCCAGGCCTGGATACAGCCACCTGGCGAGGCCCCACCCCTGCTGGACCCGGCCTGACCCCTGGGGACCAAGGGAGGAGGTGGGACTCGAGTGTCCCCTCCTTCAGCCAGTGAGTGTGTGTGGGGGGCTTGGGCTGACCCCAGACCCTACCACAGGCCAGTGCTCAGCCAGGACAGGGACGGGTGGGGGCAAAGGGGTGCTCCAGGGCTGGTAGTCTTTGTACCCACCACGGTGCCAGCAGCCGTGTGTGTGTGTGTGTGTGTAAGGGGGCGTGTGTGTGAGTGCATGTGTGTGAGAATGTGTGAATGTGAGAATGCATGTGTGAGTGCACACGTGTGTGAGAGGACAGGGAGGGAGGCAGCCCTCCGTGTGCCTGGGGACCAGGACGGTGCCGACAGGAGGACAGCACAGGAGGCCTCACCTGGCCGCTGACATCGGACACCAGCCCCAGAGGGATGAGGCACTCGGGCTCACTGGCCTGGCCGGCTTCGTCCACAAACACGTGTGTGAAGTGTCCGACTCTGGAGCCAAAGACGTAAGTGGTCACCTCAGTCAGTGTCCCTGGGGCGTGGTGGCCAGCCCAGGAGGCACCGCAGCCCATCAGTAGATTGAGTTCCATCCCCACTGGACCCTTCCCCACTGGACCTACCCTACACACCTGTGTAGAGAGACTTGGGGGGACGGTGAGGGGACTGCATGGTGGGGAGCTGCTGGGCAGCCTGCGGTCCAGGCTGGGGACTGCTGCCCACAGCAGAGGCATTGGCTGGAGCCCTGCTTCCTCCCTGGGCAGCTGGGATACCTTGGGTAAGTCCTGTCCCCTCTCTGTGCCTTGGTTTCCCCAATGTGTTGGGTGGAGTGCGACAGGGTAAGCTGGTCAAGCTGGGTACTGGGTACCGTTCCCATGTGGGTAGGCTGCCTGAGCCTTGCTCTTGGCTGGAGCTGCTGCCGCCAGGACAGCCTTGGGCAGAGCCAGGTTTGCGGGGAGAGAAGTGGACCAGGGACTGAGACCCCAGTGCGGGCCCCTGCTCCCGTGGAGCCACCGGCAGTGCGGGGCCCGTTGCCCTGACTGGCAGTCAGCTCGCTCAGGCACAGGCCCGAGTCTGTGCATCTCAATGGCCGCCGCCTGCCTGCCCTCCTGCCCCCCCACAGGACGGGCAGCACACTCGTTCTCTTCACGGCACGCCCTGAAGCGTGACAGTAGGTGCCTTTCTCGGAACGTAAGCGCTTACACTTGAGCTACTGTGCGGCCCACAGTTCCTTTGCTTCTTCCCTCAGACAGTGCTGCTCCTCGTTCACACTCCTCAGCACTGCCCACCGGGGGAGGGGGGTCCTGCACTGTCCCCTGGGCACTCCTGCCCCTCCAGCGCAACAGGGGCTTCCTGCCTCTGGTCTGAGTGCACCCGCATGTTCGCTCTACCCCCTCCTTCAGGGTCACCCTCCTGGGAGCCTTGGGCCCTGCAACTCTGGGTTTCAGCACAAGCCCCTTCTTGGAGGAGCCCCCTGACCGGCTGCCAGGACAGAGGCCTCCGCGCCACGCTGCCCACCGCGCTCACCGCACTCCGATCTGGTAGAAGAGGCCGGCGCTGCTGCAGGTGCTGATGATGATGCGGAAGCGCGAGGCCTTCCAGATGTCCTCCCCATCCTTGCAGTACGCCTTGATGGCCTCGATGACAGTCTGGGGGAGGGGCAGTGTGTGCTCAGTTACCAAGTGTCTTTAAATTAGACGTGATCATGTCAGGACTCCCACCAGCTCACTGTCCTGGTCCACTTCTCAGGCACAACTAAGTAACAGCCTAAGACTGTCTTCTTAAGTAAAAATACGTTTTCTTAGCGGCTTAGTCCCCATGTGAAGGACTCTGCAGCTATGAATGTGACATGTGATCCTGCAGACCCCCTCCCCCCCGCAAACGTTCCTCATAACATCATTCGTTCCCAGCTTTGGTCTACAAGCCAACCAGCCACACCTGTCCCCGGCCCGGAAGGCCGGGGGTGTGAGGGAGGGGCTGCTGCTCAGGACCGTGACGGGAGGCTCACCTCCTCGAACCGGCAGGTGGCGTTTACGCGCACCATGGTGCCCGGCCGCAGCAGGCCACTCTCGTGCAGCCGCAAGCACACGAGGTCAGCTGCGCTGTTGGAGGGCGCACACACCAAAATCCGACTGTCAGGCAGGGCGTGGTACACCTGCACTGGGCACAGGAGACGGGCAGTCAGTGCTGGGCCCTGCCCAGGACCCACCCGCTCGCCTGCAGGAGGCCTTTGGGTGCTCTGCACACGTGTGCTAACCCCAAGCCTGTGACACCGCGCTCCAGGCACCCCACACACACTCCCTTCCTGTGATGACCGGGAGGCTCCCTTCTGCCCTGACACCAGCTTTCACACCGTGCACAGCTCATAAGCAACACACGACGGACAGCCCATAAGACACACAGCTGGACTTCCAAGCTCGGATCCACAAGTGGCAGACACAGATTCCTGCCATCAACCCCCCGCCCCCAGCCGAGCTCAGGTGACCGCGCTGCCTCCGCCACCTGTAGCACCGCCTCGATGATGGTCACGGTCTTCCCGGTGCCAGGAGGTCCGAAGAGCACGTACGGGAGGGGGCGGCAGTCGCCGCTCAGGATCCTGCGCACGGCCAGCTGCTGGTTCTCGTTGAGCAGGGGGTTGAAGAACTCCTCCCGGGCCCCCGGGGTCTGCAGCCCCTCGCCTGGCCCAAGGGAGGCACAGGCTCAGGCGACAGCCAGCAGCCCGAGCAGCGGGCACAGGCACCAGCACTGGCCCGGAGGCCGTGGGACAACCGGCCAGGGGGGCGCTCCCGCAGACCAGGGGCAGGAGGCCGCGGCGGAGGCGGTGCCTGGACCTGCCCTGGCGCTACCTGCCAGCTCGGGAGAGTCAGCGTCTGAGAGCAGACAGGACCTTCCCTGTCCCCCTCACGGCAGCAGCGCCAGGAAGGCCACAACCGGAAGTCTCTGGTCGTGACAAGAGTGTTCGCTCATCTTCCCGTCACTCCATCCTCGTGACCACCCAACCAGACAGCGAGCCTGAGGGGCCTGGTCCCGGGCGCGGTCCCCGTCCCGCATACGCACCCAGGTGACTCGTCTCTGCAGCCAAGGCCGCCGGCCCCTGTGTGCCCTGGGCACCCGCCTGGCTTGTCTTGGTGGCAGGATCAGGCTGCTCCTTCTCAGCTTCCCTGATCTAGAAATAATCACGACAGCCCCCACGCCCCCCATGGTTTAAGAAGCGCTGTGTGTTTGCAGGGCTCCGTTTAAAGAGAAAACGTCTCCCCACGCAGCACGGGCTTCGTGTCCGGAACAGCGTGGTGTCCTGGCCAGCCCCCCTGAAAGCGTGGCACACACAGGACGGCCGGTACAATGCTGCCACACCGTCTACGGTTCTCTTCCGAGTTACCTTTACAAGAAACCCAAGTCACTAAGTTTGTGACGACGGCTCCGAAACCAAGGCCTTCCCTCTGACTCAGAGTGCGCCTCCCGCCCAGCTCAGGGCGAGTGGAGCTGGGCCCTGCCTCCTCCGCACTGGGCACTGAGTGCGAGAGCTCCCGGGACAACCCCCTCAGATAAGCAAGTGCCCACGTCCGCGGTCCCTGCTGGCTGTGGGCGCAGGGTCCTTCCCCGCAGAAGCCTCTCTGCCCTGTGACCTCCCCTCTCCCGGGCTGACTGCGGTCACAGGGCCCGCCTCCCGGGCCTCCTGGCAGGTGTGCCCGGGGATGTCAACGCAGTGTCTGAAACTCTGGGGTTACGTATTTTGCCTGGAAGGTCAATCCAATCCAAGCCCACCTTGCCTCACGTGTGCAATGCCTCCAAGTTTACCCACCGCCCAGCCAACCCATGAAAAGACAACGCTCTGCGTTTAAAAGCATCACGACTTAGCCCACGTGGAAGGCGAGTCACCGAACGGCGCAGCATGGCAGCCTCCGAGACCAGGCAGACCGGGCGGACGGGGGGACGCCTCTCGGTGGCCAAAGAACAACACAGATCCACATAACACCGGATACCATTTAAAAACCTGCACTTAGCAGAAACCGGTTTGGCTCAGCGGTAGAGCATCGGTCTGCGGACTGAAAGGTCCCAGGTTCGATTCTGGGCAGGGGCATATACATTGGTTGCGGGCACATCCCTGGTGGGGGGTGTGCAAGAGGCAGCTGGTCGATGTTTCTCTCTCATTGAAGTTTCTAGCTCTCTATCTCTCTCCCTTCCTCTCTGTAAAAAATCAAAAAAATATATTTAATAATTTTTTAAAAAATAAAATCACCCTCCCTTTCAGCTCTGCCCCGAATCTGGCCAGATTTCCTTTAAAAAACAAAACAAAACAAAAAAACCTGCACTTAGCACACGCTTAAAACATGCTCACAAAGCACCAGGGCCCTGGGAGACACGCTCCCGGGAGAAGAGGCTTTCTGTACTGGACACAGGACCAAGAACAAACCCATGGAAACACATGGAGAGCTTTACCTGGTGCCTGGCTCAGTATTTAGAGACCGGACTGTTTAAGTAAAATCAAACTACCTTCATGACGGTCACGTACAAATGCTGACACCCGCTGGGGTTAGGCACTTCGAAGCACAAGTCACCCATGACGGCCTGTCTGAACGTGCGCAACCCCCACGCACTCCACAGAACCACGGGCTCCCACTGCCTCCCGGCACCCAGCTCCGTCCTGCCTGTGGCTCGCGCCCAGCCCACCTGCGCGCTCCCCCAGGCTGAGATGGCGACAGGCGTACCTCGGGGGTGGGCTGCCCCTCGTGCTTGCTGTCTTGTGCACAGTTCCAACTGCCTGCCACTTGGGGAGACTGTAAGATGATTTCTTCTGGAAATAACACTTTTAAAACAAGAAAGGGCAACAAGATAGACATTACTGCAAAGTGTTAAAAAGATGAGAAGAGGAGGAAAAGCTGTTGGCAGCAGCCCCAAGTACCCATGTCGTACGCCCTGTACACTCCGGCCCCGTGGACACATCAGCCACAGCTACGCCCGCCCAGCACGTGCTTTGGAACAAAAGCCACGCTTCGTCTACTTGTAGGTATGAAAGGAATTAAATTAAGAGGGAGAGCAGAGTGCAGTCGCTTCATTTTCAATAATTTAAGTGTTATTTTTAAACCATTGAAATAAGATAACATGGACACTTCCCAGTAGAAAAAGCAACACTGGAAATCACAGTTTCACTTTTTTTTTCTTTTTTTTTTTGGTTAATCCTCACCTGAGAGTGGATGGAAAGAGGGAAGGGGGAGAGAGAAACATGGATGTGAGAGACATCAATTGATTGCCTCCTGCACACACCCAGACTAGCACAGGGAACCTGCAACCCAGGTACATGCTCTTGACTAGACGGAACCCGTGACCTTTCAGTGCACAGGCTGACGCTCTTAATCACTGAGCGCACCCACCAGGCCCCAGCTTTACTTCTAGTGTGTGTGTGTGTGTGTGTGTGTGTGTGTGTGTGGTGTGTGTGTGGTGTGTGTGTGTGTGTGTGGTGTGTGTGTGTGTGTGTGTGTGTGGTGTGTGTGTGTGTGCCGTGTGTGTGTGTGGTGTGGTGTGTGTGTGTGTGCCGTGTGTGTGTGTGTGTGTGTGTGTGTGGGCGTGTGTGTGGTGTGGTGTGGTGTGTGTGTGTGTGTGTGTGTGTGTGTGTGTGTGTGTGTGTGTGTGTGTGTGTGTGTGTGTGACAGAGCAGACTGTTTCATACAAATGTCCATGAAGCTTACAGAACCCCCTGGGCGCCCCTGGACCACAGTACCTTTTACTCCCAAGTGGCTGACGTGCTCCAGGGCGAAGTGGCAGCGCCTGCTCGTGGTCCTGCGGGGAGAGGACAGCACAAACCCTGCTGTCGAGGCTGCGCACCTGGGCCCGCGCGGAGCTGGGACCTGATGGCGACCGTGCCGAATGCTAACGCAGCTTTACAAAGTATGTGGACACTGCCAGCTCCTGGGTTCTCTCGGCTCCAGAGGCCAGGAGTCCGAGGACCGAGGATGGTGCAGGGTCTGTTTCATGAGAAAATCCCAATATCGCACCTGTCAGGACAGCAGACTCCTTTCTTCCCAGGAGTGTTCACTGTGTGAGTGAATGAGTAGAAAAATAAACGGTGGAGCATCACCTGTTATATGTAAACTCCACATCCATAGGCTCAAAGTTGTATGCTTGTTCAAATTCCGGGTTCAGTTTAAGAGTCACATCTTCTTCGTGAATCTAAAGGAGAAGCAAACACTTAACTTCCACCCTCATACTTGGTTTCTGCGGCGGTCTCTGTGGCCCATGGTGACCCCACAGGCCTGAGGGGCAACTGGTGTGACCACAGCCAAGACACCATTTCCATACACGCTTCCCGATTGCCTCCCTGGCTCTATCCGGGTCTGCACAGCATGAGCACAGCCGCAGCACCAGGCTGCCAGGGTCCACGCCTCCCCATGGAACTAGGACCCAGGGGTCTGGGACCCTCCAGCCAAACTGCTATCCTACAGGGAACGATCCCGGACCAGCATGGAGGAAAGGTGTTTCTGAGGAAGTGTGGGGGGGGGACCCTTCACTGGCCGGGCTGCAGCCGGGGTGCTAGGCACGGGTGGCAGGGTCAGGAGGCGGTGGGGATCACTGGCAGGAGCCCAGAGAGGCCAGCACAGCCAGCATCGGGTTCAGGCCTGAGGACACTGTCCCTCAGAAACACGGGAGACGGGCAGGAAGGTACAGAGTGAAAGACAAAACTAAGTGAGCCGAGACCCACCCAATGCCCAGCAGCGCGCCTGGACAACAGCCGCCCGACGGGGCCCCGCTTCTGGGAAGAGCGCGAGCACAGGGAGGAAAGGCCATCACGCCCCAACACTTGGAAACGCACCTGCTCTGTCGGCCGGCAGCTCCTTCAGCCCAACCTACTCACACCCGAGGCCTTCCGCTATGACCTTCCACACGGTGGCTCCCAGAAGCCCCTGCTCATCGCCTCCAGTGGGGAACTGCCCCTGCCGGCCCACTGCACCCTCCTCACATCTGGGACCCTCCCGCCTGGCACCCTCCTCACCCCGGGGGACCTCCCGCCTGGCCCCCTGCGCCTCCTCACCCCGGGAACCTCCCGCCTGGTGCCCTCCTCACCCCGGGGGACCTCCCTCCCTGCGCCCTCCTCACACCAGGGGACCTCCCGCCGGCGCCTCACCTTCACCACGTAGCCAATGTACTCGACGACGTGCCCGTTGTACTCCTGCGTCTTCAGAACCAGCTTGTCACCTAGAGAAGACAAGACCCACCGCCTCACACGGTGTCAGGACAGGAGACAGGTGCTGGGCCCTGACCGTGCCCTAAGTGACATTCTAACCCAAACCAAGAGGACGAGCTAACAGGACCACGTGGTGCCAGTTTAAACTGCTCCTCCCGGCAGGTCCATGCCCACCTGCGTACAGGGAAGGCCGGCTCTCAGCCAGTCCAGGGACCTCCAGCACCAGTAACTCCCCGTTTCTCTTCAGGGAGACCCCGCTCATGTTATACTCCTTCAGCTCTATTTCCGCGTGGATCTCCTCGAGCCAGAGCAGCGTGGAGAGCTTCTCCTTGTAGTTGGACATGTTCAGAAGCTGAAACGACCAGCACGCCGTGAGCACAGAGCACGGGAGCACCATGCCCCGGAGACAGCAGCTGACACGCCACACGGGAAGGGATGACTGTGGTGACCACGGGCCGTGTCTCTGTGAGCCCACCGCCCATGGCAACCTGGACAGTTGGCAGACCCTGGCACAGGACAGGACCGGGAGCTGGGTGGCCTGGGTGGTGAGGTGGAGCAGGGGTTCAGGGAGGCCTAGGGGGCAGTGCTCCGTGTGAGAGCAGCGTCGTCAGAACGGGAGGCTGCCAGCCTGGCGGCATGGCACCGCAGTCAGAGCGGGACCCTCCCGGGCATCGTAGGGTGTTCAGCAGCGCTTCTGGCCTCTGCAGCACCCTAGGTGTGACCCCAACGACATCTCCAGGGGCAGACTGTCACAGGTGGAGTGTGCCGGTTCCCAGAGCTCACACAGGGCCCGGACAGTGGCCGCCAGCGCCAACAAAGCTGAGCAACAGGCTGCCCTGGGCAGGGTCAGAGGGCACCAGCCCCCAAGTGCCCCTCTGTTCCTACCTAACGAGCTTTGATGCAGGAAAGTATCCGGCTTTCCCGAGTAACTCATCGGGGCCCCAAAACTGAGCTCAACAAGGGGAAATGCAGGATGTCTGGCAGCCACGAGACCTCCTGGCTTGGAAGGCGGAACTTGACCCATGAGAAGGAAAAACCGAGCCCCAGCAAAGCCTATGCCCCACTCAGGAGACAGGAGTGAAAGCCTCGCCCTAACTGCGTCCTTTATGTTAAAAAAGGCGAGGCAAGACTGAGCTTGTATGCGCAGACAGAGCAGACAGACAAAACGAGCAGACGTGAAGATGCAGCAATAGAACCTGTCGGAAACCCCGCGCAGAGGGGAAGTGGCGAGAGGAAAAGGAGCTGAGTGTCAGGGATGGGTGGGAGGGAAACCCCCAGGAACATGAAGAAAATGGCATGGAGGCCCGTGGCCCATGACGTGTCGTAGACACAGCGACAGAGCCCACTGTGTGCCCAGAGCCGAGGCCGGAGGCAGAGCAGGTGAGTTGTCAGGAGTGGCCGAGTGGGAGCAGCCTCCTCAGACTTTTCCAAAACCAAAGCCAATGAGCGCCCAGGAGGCCCTCGCAGGCCCACGGAACCAGAAAAGGTCAACGAGGACTCTAAATGCCTTAACAAGAACCGGTTATGCCTCATAAAACGACACCCCATGTCACCGAGTTCAAAACACACGCAGAAGTCAAACTTCTGACAACGTTAGCAGAGACGCCTCGGAGAGAGGATGGAGGCTCCTGAGGCTCCTGTGGCAGCGAGGGGCTGGGCTCAGGCCTTCACCTCTGACTATTCACACCAAACGGAACGACAGCTGAGAGCTGTGGCGGCCAGCTCCTCAGTGAAGCAGCCGCATGCACACACTCTGGGACCCGCCTCAGGCTGACACCCCTCCTCCAGCCCAAGGCCCGAGACCACGGAGCCCGAGGCCACGGAGCCCATGGCCGGGAGAGCGCGTGCAGCCAAGGCTCCTCCTACCTCGGCGAGCAGCGGCTGAAACGTCAGGATGTCAATCTTCTGCTCCACACACTTCTTCAGCCGGTCGGGGATTGGGTACTGGGGAAGGAAACTTGGGAGCTGGCGTCTTGAGTTCCTGAGGAAGAAATTCAGTTGGAAGTGATTCTTCGTTCCCAGACCTCTGTGCCAGACCCAAGTCCATGGGTCACCGCAGGGACGACACGGCCACCGCTGCCCGTCAGCGGGCGCTGACAGTTACTGCGGCCACCCTCCCGCCACCGCAGACGGCCGATGCACAGGACCCTGGGAACCAGGGGGCCCGCACCGACTACAGGGACCACAGCGCTGGTGCGCCGCTGACGGCTGCTCCGCCCGGCCTCCTCCTCGCCTGTCCCCTCCAGCTCTGCCTCCCCTGGGAGGGGCTGCCACGGGCGTCACCTCGTCGGCCACGCGCAGGAAGAGCACCACCGCTGCAGAGGGCAAACCTGAGGCGCCACGTGATGAGGGAGGGGGAGCGGGAGCGGGGACCAGGGAAGAGCGGCGGTGCGTGTCCAGGTGCGGCTGCCTCAGTGCACAGGGGCACCCGACGTGGGTGAGGGCGGTGCCCTGGGAGGCAGGCGGGCGGTCGGGAACACAGGAGGTGGGGGGACCTGAGTGAAGTGGCGGCCAGGGCGTGGCAGGCAGCCCCCCTTCCCCGTCCTCATGCGAACTGTGGGGTGCACCCGGCCACCCGCAGACAGTTTTGTATCAACACACCATCCCCCCAAGTAAAGGTGGAAGGAGCCCCCACACACCGCCTCCCCTCGGCCAGCGGTCACACCGCGAGGCCACACCGCGGTCCTTCCTGTCACGGTACCTCTTCTGCGTGGTCACGACCACTGTCGTTTTCGTGGGCGCCGGCGCCTGGGGGCTCTTGGACTTCTTCCACAGGAAGGGCTCACGTATGGCGATCAGCGCCTCCTCCGCGCTCACCACGCCCACGTCCAGGACTCGCCCGATGAGGAAGCCGGAGAAGCAGAGCAGCAGGAGCTCCCTGCAGCGGCCGGCAGTCCTTGGACAGACAAGACACGTCAGCGCGGGCCTCCGCGTGCAGAGGCAGTCGGCTCTGGGGACAGAGGCCTTTGTGGTTAATAGTTCTTTTGCAGGAAAAGGGACTTTCCACAGTAACAGTGCCATGTGCTCCCAGGACAGCCAAGCATCCCAAACAGTCACCTCTTTAACTGTCCAACCTCAGAACAGTTTTCCCAAATTTCAATCAGAACTGTCCGGCACGACCAGACACGGTTTTCACTGCTTCCTGCCCGCACTACTGCTGTGGCCTGGACCCCAGGGCCCCCGCCCCCCCCCCCCCCCCCAGGATCCCAGAGGTCACGGAGAGCCTGCCGCACACATGCCGGCTGAAGGAGCCCTGAGGCCTTGTGGTTGGAGACTGCTGGGCTCACAGCAAGGCGGGAACACTCACTCAGATCCACGTTCAAACAGGTTTACAATTCGTTAGCAAACGTAGACTGCAGACCGGGGCCCAAATGTCCAGCTGACAGGCACCCAGCAGCAGTGGCGGGGGCTCGGGACATGCAGGAGGCGGCAGAGGGGAGACGGCCCAGGCTGAGGGCGCCTGGCTGTCTTGTCACTCACAAATCAGGGAAGGGGGTCACTGCCTCACAGCTGAACTCACTCAAGCCACCGTCTCCACCAACGCTATTGAGTTTGTCCCATCAAAAGAGCTACAAACCCTGTTTATAAATTGAACCCAGAAGGACCACACATGGGACCTGAAAGAGACATGTCCCAATCAAACTCCCGGAGAACCCAGCAGCACGTACTTGGCCTCACACGTGACCATGATCAGGGCCCTTCCTCCGGGAGGGATGAGCCCACTGGGCTCCGGCTCCGTGACCTGCCCCCTCGAGCCGTCCCGTCTGCGTCCTTCCTCCTCTCCTTCACAGGCACAGTCCTCTGAGGGGACAGGAGACCGGCGGTCAGCTGGCGGTGGTCATGGCCCATGCCTGTGGACTCCCGTATGGACGCGCAAGCACACCCATCACGGACAGGACAGAAAGCTGACAGCAGGCAGCCTCTCCCAATTCAGAACTATCTGCAGGAAGCATCATGTCCAATGCACTTTGGGGTCGCCAGCTACCTCGGTCCCTTCCCCAGCCCCAAATCAGAGCCCAGAGCATCGAGGGCCCCTGGGTCCCCAGACTGGGGGGCTCTGGCAGGACCCCGTCTACCTGGGGAGACTGCTCTGCTGGGGGCCACACTGCTCTCCGCCGTCTGGTAGGTCCTGCCCGGGCAGCTGTCTAATGAGCTCTCCCGCGTCTCCGGGTCGGCAGCAGGTGCCGGGGGGCCATGCTGGGTCCCCTGCAGCCAGTGGAGCCGGAACTGTCTGGTCCTGTCCCAGCCGGCCAGCTTGCAGCTCACCAGCTTCTGAGGGACATCTCCTTTGTTCCTGCACGGAGGCTGCCATCAGCGCAGAGCGCAGGGCAGTCCCAGGGAGCGGGGGCGTGGGACGCCGAAGCCTTCGTAAGTACAAGCAGGTTTTGTGGGCAGCACTTTCACGAAGGGAAAGCCCACAGCAGGAAAGTGCCGAAGGGGAGGGGGCTTACTCTATGCACACCACCAGGCTCCGGCTGCCCCCTTCCCGCAGCGTGCCGAAGCTGGTCGCGCTGGTGACCTCCACACCACCCTTGTTCATGAGCAGCAGGGCCTCGCAGGTCTCCTCGGGGGCCTCGGCAGAGGCGTGGTCTCTGCAGAGTCCCACAGAGTGCCCGTCACCCTGCAGGCTGCCTCCCCGCTCCGCCCCGCCCCCGCTCACCTGCCTCTCCTCCCAGGCACCAAAGGGCAAGGTGCTGGGTGAGGAGCAGTCCACCCAGAGGGACAGACACCGGGCTGGTCCTGGTGCTGAGGACCTGCCAGGACACAGCCACCCTGAGGGTGAGTGACAGTCCTACCAGCTCCAGGTGGCGGCGGCGAGGCCGTGGGGGCACCGTGAAGGTGAGCCTGGGCCTGGGGGGGGGGGGGGTGTGTTTGTTGGTTATTAGGGACAGCAGGCTTTCAAACTCTCCTTTGTGGCTTTACAGTATCTGAACAATTAAAGGAGAAGTTCTCTTCCTACCCAACCCCTTTCCCTTTATCCCACAGACACTGCTCTCCTGAGCACCACCTCCAGGAGGCCCGCCAGGCACACGCCCGCCCCCCCCCCCAGGGGGGCACTCAGAGCGCAGCCTTCTGCAACGTACGCCTGGCATTACCGACCCACATCCAATGCAGACAGTCTCACACACCAGGGACCCCCTGCTGGCCGCTGCCCCTCAAATTCCCCAACTACACAGGCCTCCCACCCCCTCCTTCCTCTCCTGTACAAGTGCCGACAGGACCATGGCCGCAGGGGCAGCACTGGAGCCGCTGGGTCTCCGGGCTATGGACACTTGAATTGGGAATTGGTGGCCGGATGGTGGTCTGAGTGGCTACCACTGTGGCATCTGGACGCACGCGCAGGGCAGACGCTCAGACAGCGAGCGGGGTGGGGGCAGCACATCCTGGTGGGCAGGGCATGGCCTCTCGGTGCCAGGCCCGTTCCTGTGGCTGGGACGGTGCTGGCACACAGGCAGCAGCCCTGACCCTGTGCTGCCCAAACAGGCGTCCAGCAAGCTCCTCCCCCCTCAGCCCCCAGCCCCACTTGGAGGGGCAAAGGACACCCAAGTTCAAGGATGGGGCCAGCTTACAGCCAGCCCAGCACTGAGGGTGGGCCTCCCGGTGCCCCGGGAAGATGGCTCTGAGCAGATGAGGGAGGAGCCTCGTGGAGCAGGCCCAGCGAGGACAGCAACCCCTGGACAGCTGCCTGACGAGGCTCAGCAGGAAGGGACCGGCCCTGCCAGGGGGCTGAGCGCACCCCCTCCGCACACAGCAGAGCTGGTGCTCCTGTGGGCCAACCCCTCCCCCCGCCCCCCCCGAAAGCGTAGTTAGTAAGTCACGGCGTGTGCTGAGGTCAGCACTGGGAGAGAACAGGGCGGATCCGGCAGAGACCATGATCCTGAGCTGGACAGGATGGGCCAGGCTGGAGTGATAGGCCACGTCCAGCACTCCCACAGCTTGAGCGCAGTCAGTCTGTCCCGCCCGCCGTCCTGCCCCTCACAGACACCCCTCGCCCAGGCTGAGCCTGCATTTAGTGAGGAGATGGGTGACAGCGGCATCACGGGGGCCCTGGGTGGTGAGGTTCCTGGAAGTGGGTGCTGAGGAAAGGCAGGGAGAGCCAGTGCTTCTCCTGGGAGCCCACCACCTGGGAAGTGGGCGGTGGCGGTGCAGGAGGACACGACACGGAGTTAGACACATAGGAGGTGGCTTGCCCAGTGTGCCCCACAAAACGCCAACGTGTTGACGAGCAAGGTGCAAGCCCACCAAGTAAGGAGTCACCAAGGCCAGACCTAGACAGGAGGGAGCCTGCAGCCCGCCTCTGATGGACACCATGAACACGGGGAGACGCCTCCCGCCCACCTCCTCCCCCAGGCGTGGACACAGACGCCACGGGGCTAGGAGGTAACTCTCACCCAGCCAGGGGTCCTCACCGTCTCTTCACGGGGGTCACGCACAGGGCCCTCCACATGTAGCAGGACTGGCTGCTCTCCACCACTACGGTGTTGACCACGTCGTACCTTCGTGGCACATACCCCTCGGGGAGCTTCAGAGAGTCCAGGGTGAAGAAGACACAGTCGTCGATCACCCCATTTCTCCCACAGAGGCTGGAAATGCAGACCTGCAGGCACAGCGTGCAGACGCCTCACCAACCTGCCAGCCCACTGGCCCCCAACCAAGGCCTGTGACCCTGCCTCCCCTCGCCGGGACCTCGGGGGGAGTAGGGACCCTGCTCTCAGAGCACAAGCAATGCCCCGAAGATCACGCATTGTGGGGCCTCAGAGCCAAGGCCCCTCACATGCTGCCAGCCCCCTCGCCCGTCCTGCACCCCACTGCCCACAGCAGGGCAAGGCCCTGCGACTAAACCAGGACAGCCATCAGGTGTGTTTCTCTGGCCAACACTGCACCTGACAGCAACCACCAGTGCCCCCGGGAGCTGGGACAGCGAGGCCAGCACTACCTTGTCCACACGCTTGTACCGCAGCGGCTTCACCAACAGGGCCTCGCTGCTCCACGTGCCCGGCCGGATCCAGTAGGTGGCCTCCACCCAGTCGCCCTTGCATGGCTCGAAACCTCCGAGGCAGGAGGGCAGCGTCACCCAGGGCCGCCCTCCCGCCCGCAGTGTCCAGCCCCTCGGAAGGGACGGGGCACTGGTGCTCTGTCCACAGGGACACTGTTACCCCGAGTCTCTCCCAGACCCACCTGGCTGCAGGCCTCCTCCCCTCAGCCTGACTCACCCTGCCAGGCAGGCCCACGGTTGGGCAGCCACGAAGCTGGTGGGCACAGTCTCAGCAGCCCACCTGGTTACAGATATTCCCCACACTTTTCATTAAAACCCAAGTTTTATTAGCAGCCAAAGCTCAGCAGCAGGCCTGTCATCACCCCCAACTTCTAGAAGGTGTGGGCGCACGTGCGGTGGACGGTTTCGCGACGCCCTGTCCCTGCCAGCTCTGCCCAGGCGCAGTGAGTGCCCTCCCACTCAGGGACCCAGGTGCTGGGGAGGAGGGGAACTGAGGGCTGGCAGCTATGTCTCTGCCAGCTCAGGTGGGAGCAGGCAGCCGGCCAGCCCTGTGGCATGCCAGGCAGCCGTGTGGGTGCCTGTGCCACGGCCCTCTGGCAGGCTGGGGTTCAGCGGCATGAAGTGCAGTCCTGACACAGACAGGGAGAGCCGTGTGGGCAGGCTGGCTGAGGTGCCCCGTGGAAAGCCACCACCAGGTACAGCCTCTGGTGCTCTTGCCATAAATACTCCTGACAGCAACAGGCTCAAAGGCAACACGGCAGTGGACACCGAGCTGTTTCTATGGAAGCTGGTGATGACACCCACTGCACCCGCCTCCTGCCCCTTTCACTCTGGGCGCCCAAGGTCAGCCATCAAGGTGCTCCCAGCTTCTGTGGCCGGGAAAGTGACTGCCAGCTTCACAGGACGAGCTGATGCTTCTGGCAGCGCAGCCCAGCTGGAGTCTCAGGTGAGACCTGCAGGGCCTGTGGCTGGAGTTCAGCTCAGAAAGCACCCCCTCACCCCGTCCGACAGCTCTGCCAGGTCCTGCTGGATTCCGAATGGGACGGTTGGTTGCTCGGGAGGAAGAGCGATGTCTCGGCGCCCCTGCTGCTGCCCTCCCACCACTGCGCGCAGCAGCACCCCAGACGGCTGCGAGGTAAACCCAGCTGAGGACACCGACAACTTATTTCTTCAGGCGTGCAAACAAAATCTTACATCAGCTGAAACGAGCGATTGCACGTGGGCACATGTTCTCAGGAAGGTACAAGGTTATCCCCAAGTCCCACTTAAACCATGTGAAGTGCCTGAAAACAACAGTTCCTCTGTGTGTCTGCAGCAGCAGTAATTATGTGGAAGAAACAATTACTCAGAAACGGTGGCTGCTTTCCACGAATGAGCATGGATGACGGATGTCCAGTCTCTCAGGCTCTCTCCACAGACAAAACGTGTCCTGGTTTGACCCTCTCAAGGATGCGCATAACCATCGCGAATCCAAGACATACAAATGGAGAAACCCACTTGTTAGTTACTGTGAGGGAGAACCACGCAGCTTACCTTCACAAACGTTCTTCAGAGAGAAGTATGTGGTCTGATTGATATAGCCAGCACCCTTCATCAGCGATGTCACACAGCCAATCAGCACTCGGGGGCTGGAGTCAGACAGCCCTTCGCCCTGGTTTTTGCTGTCTTCTTCCCATTTATCAGAAACAGCTTCCACCTGAGACAGACAAACATCTGTTAACGCATAATAAGAGGCCCACAGGAACAGCAAAAGGAAGATGAATACCTCCTGTGAAGAGAGATGCAAAAATCCTCAATAAAATACGAGCAAACTGAATGCAGTAAACTGTTAAAAGGATTATGCCGAGCAAGGAGGGCTTATCCCAGAAGGCAAGGATGGTTCACAAAGTAAATCACCGTGACACACCGCGTTGGAAGAGCCAGGAAACAAAAGCCATCCTCTGGGGTGCAGAGAAGGCCTCTGACAAAGCTCAACTTGCTCTCATGGTAAAACGCTCACCAAGCCGAAACCGGTTTGGCTCAGTGGATGGAGCATCGGCCTGTGGACTGAAGGGTCCCAGTTTGATTCCAGTCAAGGGCATGTACATTGGTTGGGGGCACATCCCTGGTGGGGGTGTGCAGGAGGCAGCTGGTCGATGTTTCTCTCTCATCAATGTTTCTAGCTCTCTCTCCCTCTCCCTTCCTCTCTGTGAAAAATCAATACAAAATATTAAAACAAAACAAAACAAAACAAAAAAAAAACGCTCAACAAAGTAGGAACAGACATGATGAGGCCATGTGTACAACACCCTGCGCACGTCCCCGCCCGTGATACACACACACACACACACACACACACACACACACACACGGAAAGCCTTTCCTCTCGGATCAGGAACAAGATGAGGATGCCTCTTTCTGCCGCTCCTACCAAAGCACCACTGGATGGTCTAGCCAGAGCAACAAGGGGGAAAAAAAGAAATCTAACCTGGAAAGGAAGAAGTAAATTTATCTGTTTACAGATGGCATGATCTTATATGTAAAGATCCTCTAACTATTCCATTAAAAAATTGTTTCAGCTAATAAGTGAATGCAGCAAATTTGAAGGATACAAATCAACACACAAAAACTACTTGCGATGGAATAACATAAACTGATGAACAAAAACACATAGAAGCATCGATCAAACCATCAAACCTCAGAGGGAAGTTAGGGGAGGGTGGGAGTAAGGGGGAGAGATCAACCAAAGGACTTGTATGCATGCATATAAGCCTAACCAACGGTCACACACAACAGGGGGTGAGGGCATGAGTGAGATGAGGGGGGCTATGTGGGGAATAAGGACACATATGCAATACCTTAACCAATAAAGAAAAAAATTACTTGTGATGAATATTCCAAAATGTGAAATTAAAAAAACAATTCACGCCGAATCCAGTTTGGCTCAGTGGATAGAGTGTCAGCCTGTGGATTAAAAAGTCCCGAGTTCAATTCTGGTCAAGGGCATGTGCCTTGGTTGCAGGCACATCCTCAGTAGGGAGTGTGCAAAAAGCGGCTGATTCGATGTTTCTCTCTCATCGATGTTTCTAGCTCTCTATCCCTCTCTCTTCCTCTCTGTAAAAAATCCATAGAATATATTTAAAAAAAAAACACATGCCAATTTGCTACATACAGAAACATCAAAAAGAAACTTAGGAATAAATTTAACCAAGGAGGTGGAAGACTTATACACTGAAAATTATAAAAAGTGGCTGGAAGAAGCTAAAGACAGAAAAGGGAAGACATTGTGTTCATGAACTGGAAGACTTATATTAAAATGCCAATATTATGCTAAGCAACCTAGAAATTCACTGCAATCCCCATCAAAAGCCCTGCGACCTTCCTGCAGAAATAGAAAACACTCCTAAAATTCACAGCGTCTCTCGGGGGCCTTAAATAGCAAAGCAATCTTGAAAAGGAAGAACAAAGCTGCAAGCTCCACATTTGAATTCAACACCTGCTACAGAGCTATAGTCGTCAAACACCGGCACTGGCCTGAGGACAGGCACAGGTTCCAGGAAAAAATAAACGACATATATGGTCAATTGATTTTCTTTTAAAACTTATTTATTTTACAGAGAAAGAGGGGCAGGAAGGGAGTGATGGGTGGATGAAGGGAGGCAGGCAGAGGGAGAGGGGAAGAAACATTGATTTGTTATTCGACTTACCTATGCATTCATTGATTCTTGTGTGTCCTATCTGGGTATTTAACCCACAACCTTGGTGTAATGGTACAACACTCTAACCCAGTGGTTGGCAAACTCATTAGTCAACAGAGCCAAATATCAACAGTACAACAATTGAATTTTCTTTTGAGAGCCAAATTTTTAAAACTTAAACTTTTTCTAACACCATTTCTTCAAAATAGACTCACCCAGGCCATGGTATTTTGTGGAAGAGCCACACTCAAGGGGCCAAAGAGCCGCGATTTGCCTACCACTGCTCTAATCAACTGAGCTACCTGACCAGTGTCCCAGGACCATTCAATGTAGAAAGGGCTTTCCCCACGGTGAAAAATGATGGTGGAAAACTGGATACCAACATATGAAAGAATGAAGTCAAACCCTTACCCCATACCAGACTCAGAGATTAGCTCAAAGTGCATCAAAGACTTATATTCAAGAGCTAAAACTATAAAACTCTTAAAATAGATGAAAATGGCCATGCTCTTGGATTAATAACTTTTTAAAATTTTTTTAATTGATTTCAGAGAGGAAGGGAGAGATGGGAGAAACATCAATGATGAGGGAGAATCATGGATCAGCTGTTTCCTGCATGTCCCCCACTGGGGATGGAGCCCAAAACCCAGGCAGGTGCCCTGATCCGGAATCGAACTGTGACCTCCTGGCCAGCCTGAGGTTTCTTACAGAGCTCCGAAGCTACAATGAAAAGACAGACACATTTAACTGCAAAAAAACCTTTATGAAACAAAGCCGAAAGATAATCTTGGGGGAAATATTTGCAACACTTTCATATACTAACTTTCCTTTAAAAGATCTAATTTCCCTAAAATAGAATTTTCATTAAAAAGTTGAGCCCCATAAAAAATATGGACAAAGGACACAAAAATACTCCATAGGAAAAAAGTGGTGAAATATCAAACTATTTTAAAATTTAAGTGAGAAATAAAATTACAAGATAACTGTTCATTGATCAGGTTGGCAAAGATTTCCAAGTGAGGACATCCACCTCCTTGTCAACCTTGGGTAACGGGGGGCCTTGCACCTGCTCCCGAGAGTTCAAATTAGTGCCATGTTACTGGGGAGTAATCAGACGACAACCATGGAAATGTAAACGTGCATAACCTTTGCCTAACAATTCTACTGCCAAGAAATTACAAAAATATGTTTGTAAATAAAAAAGTTGCTGAATAATAGAATCCGCTAATTGTCTTTGCTAACTAGACAGCACAGGGTCCAATAACTACTACTTTAAAAAATGTATTTATCTTATTGATTTCAGAGAGGAAGGAAGAGGGAGGAGAGAGAAACATCAATGATGAGAGAGCATCATTGATTGGCTGCCTCGTGTATGTCACCCAAGGAGACTGAGCCCGCAACCTGGGCATGTGTCCTTGACCGGAATCGAACCTGGGACCCTCCAGTCCACAGCGACACTCCATCCACTGAGCCAAACTGGCTAGGGCAGTGATTGGCAAACTCATTAGCCAACAGAGCCAAATATCAACAGTTCAACGACTGAAATTTCTTTTGAGAGCCACATTTTTTAAACTTCTTCTAACGGCACTTCTTCAAAATAGACTTGCCTAGGCAGTGGTACTTTGTGGAAGAGCCGCACTCAAGGGGCCAAAGAGCCGCACGTGGCTCAAGAGCCACAGTTTGCCAACCACTAGGGCAATAACTACTCCTTTTAACAATACTTTTTGAAGATTAGAAGATAGAAATGTTAACAGTGTTCATCTCTACACTATAAAACATAGGCAAACTTATTAGTTACACATTTCTATGGTGTTCAATTTACAGTGACCACCCCTGATTTTTTTTGAACAGAAACCGCCGTCAGAACAAAGGCAGGTACACCCACTCTCTCCCTTAGCCAGGGCGTCTCCAGGGGCTACCTGAGTGGGATGGCACGGGGAACACCCCCCCCACAAGGAAGCGCCCACACCGAGGCGAGCCTCACCCTGACGGCTTTCAGGCCATTGGACACTTTATTTTCTTCCACCACCGCAATCACTTCCTGCCCCACGTTCAGGAGCACTTTGCTGGTCACCACGTCGTTGGAGAAGTAGATGAGGTCATCAATCATGCCGTAGTCGCTGCAGTACCTCGTCACCACGCCCTGGACGGTTTTCAACTTGGTGTCACCTGGAGGGATACATGAGGCAGATCCACTGACCACAGGCACAAGCCTGCCTACACCTCCGCCCGGCTAGAAGGAGGTGCGGTGCAGGGCACCCAAGGGGGCTGCGGGGTCCCTCCCCCTCCCGGGGCGAGTCCAGGAAGTCGCGTGTGGGAGGCAGGCTGCCTGGTGCTCTCTCTCTTCCAAGGCCACGTGGAACCCTCGGTAGGTCCTTGACCGCCTCGTGCCTGCTCCCTGGCCCCCCCCCCCCAACACACACAAAAGGGGCGCGGTGACGTCACCGAGGAAGCTGCCTGCGGGACAGACGCGGGCGCGATGCCTAGACCCGGGAAGTGGCGCAGGCTAGTTAATGATACAGCATCCGGGGACTTGTTATCCCTACCGTTTTCTTTTTTTAAAAAAAACCAACAACTTTGGGGGCAGCATTAGGAGACTGTTTCTCTCACCAAACGAGAGATTCCAGGCCTGGCCTGGGGAGTCCGGGGACCCTCCCCACTTGCTGGCCGCAAGGCTGCGGCAGCCCGCGTCCTGGGTCCTCCCTGCACCTGCCCTGCGGCTTCCCAGACACGGAGACACCTGGGAGCACAGGCCACATCCGCCCAGCGGCCCCTGGAGAGGAGTCCGGGCTCGAACTGCCTTTCCAAGCCCACAGGGTGCAGACAGCCCGGAGGGAGGGGGCGACGTCCGCAGGTCAGAGCCAGGACGCGCCTGCGAGGGAGGTGAGAGGTCGACTAGGGCCCTGGCCTGACGGTGCTCTCCCCGGGGGAGGCCTCCCTCCTGGGGACCGCCCGCAGCCCCGGCCTTGGCCCACAGCCTGCGAAGCACCTTCCGCGGGCTCGAGCCTCCGCAGCCCGGTCTCCTCCTCGGGGCTGTCCGCCCTCCTCCAGAAGAAGGCCACCACCTTGGCCGCGAGGCGCAACATGGCTGGCCGCAGCCTCGTCCGGGAACCGTCCAGCTGCCTGAGGCCCCTGCACGTGGCCCGTTGCTCCCACCGCCCTCAGCCAATGGGGTGACTGCGCCTGCGCCTGCACTTTGTTTGTTCGTGGAGTTTGGCCAATGGGGTTGCCGCACTGGAGTATGCGCCAGAGCCCCTTTGCCTTTGGCCAATGGGGTTGCATCCCCTCTCTGGGACTGCGCTTGCGCCTCGGGGATTTAGCCAATGGCAATCACAGAGACTGCGCCTGCGCCCATATCCCATCGCTATTGGCCAATGGGATCACGTTAGCAGCGTGCAGCCGTTGGCGACCGTTAGTGTGCCTAGGCGCAGTGCAGTGTGGGAGTGATGTCATGCCCTGCCCTTGGCACGTGCTGGTGGGCGGGGCTTCGCGCAGGTGGGCCCCTGGCCTCCTTCCCATTGGCTGCTGTCAGGCGTCGCCTCGGTTCCCGCCCTTTCTCTGGTGCGGGTGTCCCGGATGCTTTGCTGCAAATGCGGCCCTTGTTCCGGTTCTCCCGTCCCGACAGCGTCACGCCGGCAGCTTTTCCGCGTCAAACTCGCTGCTCTCAGGAGGGAACTCGCCGGGTCGCGGCTGCGTCTTTGCTCCCGGGTCCGGACGGTCCCCTGCGGGTGCCCAGGCCGCGGTGTCCGTCCGTCTCCTGCTGCCTCAGGGCGTGAGCCGCCTGCTCCGAGGCCCGGGCGCCGGAACGTGGACTCGCAGCGGGTGGCCGCCGCCGTGAGCCCGGCGCGGCTGCGGGCTCCTTCGCGGGCACGTTTCCTGTCACACCACCGTCTCCCCCGCCCGGGCCCCTCCACGTTCCCGGGCAACACGCGGCCGTGCGCCACCTCCTGTCCGGGGGTCTGTCCGTGTCAGACAAGGAGTCACACTATCGCCGAGCCCGAGCCGGGCTCCGTGGTTAGAGCGTCGACTCGGGGTCAGGGTCGCGGGTTCGACTCCCGCTCAAGGGGACGCACCTGGGTTGCAGGTCTGAGCCGGGCCTGGCCGGGCGTGTGTGTGTGTGTGTGTGTGTGTGTGTGAGACGTGGCTGCTCCGCTCGCTTGCCTTCTAAAATTCAGTGGGAAAAACATCCCCGGTTCTGGACTCCTCGGCTCAGCTCTCCAGCAGATGCTCTCGGCCGCCCAACAGAAGTCTCAACCTCATCAAAGTGCAGCCTGTGAACCTGGAGGTCCCGGTTCCATTCCCAGGTTGCGGCTCGATCCCCCGTGGGGGGCGTGCAGGAGGCAGCGGATCCATGGTGCTCTCTCATCATTAATGTTTGTGTCTCTCGCTCCCTTCCTCTCTGAAAGCAATAAAAACATTTTTAAAAAAAACCCACTGAGACAAAAAACAGAGCACCCCGTGATGGGGATCTCCCATGGGTCTGCGTGTGCGGAGCCCGTGTTCAGGGCGCCTGAGCTCACCGTGGACACACAGACCCTGCCGCTGTGACGCCGGCGCCAGCATCCTCCCGGCCGGGCTGCGAGCAGGCGTGTGCATGTGTGTTTTGCGTGTGCATGCCCTTGTGTAGGTTTCCTCAGGACGGCAGGGGCTGGGAAAAGGGTGCCCGGAATAACAAGTGTCTCCAAGACAGAGCTCCTGCCAGGGACCCCCCTCGGGTGCACTCCTTCCAAGTCGCCCCCGTCCCCCACCGGGCGCCCACGCCCTCCCTGTGCTGCGTGGGACTGAGCGGGCCTCCGTTTCCGGGAGCGAATTCAGGCCCTGGCAAGGCCGGCGGTTACACAACCACCGAACCTCCCAGGTCACGGCTTCCCCTCATTGACATTCAGGACCAGGCGCTCCTGCTCCCGCCCCCGCGCCGAGCTGCCGGGCTTTTGTTCCCCCTGAATAGTCGCTGCCGGAGCCCCGCAGGGTGACTGGGCAGCAGCGAGCCCCCCACCCGGACACCAGCGCCACCCGCCCAGGGAGGTGAGCACGGACGGTCGGACGGACGCACGGGACCTGACGTGTGCCTGTGTGTGTTTGTGTGTGTGTGTATGGGGGCGGGGGGGTGATGGTTCAGTTACCACCTTGAGTAACTGGAGGCCGTGGAGGAGCCAGGGCTTCCTGGGATGTGGGGGTTGGAGGAAGGCGGGCCGGTCGGCGGCACCCCCAGCGCGGCACCCCCAGCCCGGCACCCGCCCGCACCCAGCGGCAGGTTCGCTCTGCCGGGAAGGGGCTCGGTGCGACTGTCGGGCTGAGTGAGGAAGCAGGCAGGTCTCTTGTTCAGGTTCACAGACTCGCTGTGAGCGGCCCTCCCCCTGGGAACTCGCTTTAACCGGAGCGTTTCCAGAGCGACGGCGAGGAGCACAGTGGGCAGCGCGCCGGCACAGCTCGGGCGGCACTGACGAGGCCGGTCTGTCCCCAGCGCCATGCCGCGGGAGGAGTCCTGCCGGGAGGAGCTCGGCTACGACCGCGTGGCCACCCTGGAGCGCGGCAGGCCGGACGCCGAGGGCTACACGGACCCCAAGGCCGGCGACCTGCAGCTGTCGTCCAGGCTGCCGCCCTGCTTCAGCCACAAGACGTGGGTCTTCTCTGTGCTGATGGGGGTGAGTCGCCGCCCCAGGGCCACGAGGCACCGCTCCCTCATCCGGCTCCAGAGAGCCCCGTGGGGCTGGCTCTCCGAACACTGTCCTCCGTTCACCCCCTCTCTGGCCCCTGCTCCCCTGGCCACTGGGCTCTGGCTGCTCTGAGTCCCGCCCCAGCTGGGACAGCCCAGGCCCACCTGACTGTCCGCAGGGTCATGCATGGCGCTAGGGTGGCCTCTGGGACCCTCTAGAGTCACCCTGCAGGGGTGGGGGGAGCCTCTGGCAGAGTGACTAGGGGCATGTCCCCTGGTGGGAGGCAGGGCGATGGTGTCAGAGCAGGCCCGGGGCCAAGGAACCCGGCCAGCAGGGAGCCGGGAGTCAGGCCGGGGCGGGGAGCAGGAGACCAAACACTTGAGGGGACGTTCACTTTCAGACGCCTGGTCACCTGGGAACCCTGGGCCTCCGCCCCCTGGGCAGCACCCCGATAGTCCTGCTCGCCCTCCCCCCAGCCAGGACCCCATCCCACTGAGATCAGACCCCCCACAGGGCACTGAGGAAACTCCACCTCCCTCCTGCTCCTGTGGCCCTGCACTCGGAGCTGCGCCCCTGCCCCTGCCCTGGCTGCCCCACCTCCCTGAGGTGTGGCTGTGCTCTCCTCTGCCCAGCACCGCCGTCACCGTGGGTCTGAGTGACCTTTAACGCTGACCCCTGCCCTGCAGCCTAACCCATCTCTAGCCCTGAGCTGGAGGGGCTTCACCTGGGCCCCAGGAGAGGGTCCTGAGGCCCGAAATTGCCCCTGGAGCGGGGAGGGCGTTTTCTGGGAGAGGCTTCATTTCTTGCCTTAAGTTTTGACGGCCCGTCCTTCGTTCCCAAACGAACGCTGAAGCCCGGGGCCTGGCGCCGGGAGGGCCGTGGCTGTCCTCGGGCAGCGGGCCCAGGGATCAGGTGCCGTGAGGCATCGGCAGGCACTGCCCTGAGGCGCGGCTGTGTTGCAGGGCTGCCTGCTGGTGACCTCGGGCTGCTCGCTGTACCTGGGGAACGTGTTTCCCTCCGAGATGGACTACCTGCGCTGCGCGGCAGGCGCGGTAAGCAGCGCCCCGGCGTCCTGGACCGAAGCTCGCCTGCCGCGGGTTTGTGCTCCGGGACGTGTGCTGGGCCTCGGCTCAGGGACCCTCCTCGGGGCTTTGCTCCGGGTTCAGAGCGTTTGAAAACGACCGATGAGCGAGGCTGAGCCCCTCGGTGCTCCTGGGCTGGAATTGGCTCCCCGGTCTCTGGCTTCGGAGCCGGCCCCCACGCCTCCCAGCTGTGCCGCGCTGCAGGCCGCGGGTGGTCCGGCCCCTCCTCCAACACCTGAAGCCGCAGCACAGCTTCCCTCCCTCCTGCCCGGTGGCCCCTGCTGCCTCAGGACAAAGCTCTGACCCACCTGCCCACCCTGCCTCTCAAGGGAGAACCTTCCAGGTGACCTTTGTCCTCACCACGGGAGCAGCCCTTGTTGGGGCCACGGTGACCTGACCTCTGACCCTGATGGCCTCAGGGCAGCGCCAGCCTAGGCTGGGGGTCCCGGTGTAGATCTTGGCGGTGCCCTTCGCCCTCAGGTGACGGGTCGTGGGGTCCCAAGGGCTCCCCCTCAGCCCTCAGTGGCCCAGCCCCCGCCCCATCCAACCACAGCTGCGGCCCCGAAGACCCCGCCCCTCAGCTCGTGCTGCACCCAAGGCAGCGCCTGCAGGCCCGTCACCCCCAAGAGCAGCTCCTGGCGTGGCCCTGAGGCCCTCTGAGGCCCCCTGTTCCCCTCTGTCCCCCCCCCCCCCCGATGCTCTACATTTGCCTTCTTCCCTTCTCCTTTGCTCCTGTGAGGGTCACGGTGGGGCCCCGACAAGAACGCCTGGGGCTCGGGCTCCTGAGTTCCACGCCCTGCACACGGTGCGGCCCCTTTGGGTAATTGCCTACGTGAGCGAAGCCTGGTCTCCGCAGGGATTGCCTCCACTGGGAACAGCGTCACACATGTCCTTTCCAGACAGCCACTCGCAGACTCGGGGCCTGGCCCGTGGCAGGGCCACTCACGGGCTCTGCTCTCTTCCAGTGCATCCCTGCCGCCGTGGTGAGCCTCTCGGTGTCCCGGAGGAACGCCGCCGTGGTGAGTCCAGCTCTCCCAGCCTCTGTGCCCTGGGCAGCCGCACGGCCTGGCTGCGAAAGGGGCCAGCCCTGTGGGCAGACAGGCACGTGTGTGTGCGCACGTGTGTGTGCATACGTGTATGCGCCCGTGTGTGTGTGTGTGTGTGTGCGTGCTGTGTACACACGTGTGCCTGGGTGGGATGCACCTCACTGCCCACAGCAGCCCGTGCCCCCGTGCAGGGCGTCCTGTGCCCTCCCACCCTCTGCCTGCGAGCTGAGGCCGTGGGGCTCCACGAGGGACCTGGGTCAGGGTTAATGTTATTGGAAGGAGACAGGCCCCGGCCTCTCTTTCAGATCCCCAACTTCCAGTTGCTGTTTGTTTCCACGTTTGCTATCACCACGACTTGTCTGATCTGGTTCGGGTGCAAACTGGTCCTGAACCCGTCCGCCATCGATGTGAGTCCCTGGGCCACACGGCCACCGCTCCCGCTCCTCCCTGTGGCAGTCTCTGTGGGGGAGTTCATCCTTCTGAAGGAGAGAACTGTCTGTCACGTGTTTTGACTCAGCGGGTAGACTTATTGATGCTGTTTTAGAGCCTTTCACAGGGTCCGTAGCCATTAAGGGGAGCACAGTGGTGCAGGGTGTGTCCCCAGAATATGCACACACTCAGCAGCGGGCGGCTCCCCCGCTGGAATTGACAGTCGTCAGTGCGTATACACCTGGGGGGACACCGGGTCTCATCACGTCTGTGACGCGTTGGTGGTGAGGGGCTCTGAGAACAGGAAGAGCTGTCATCCTCATCCCAGAGCCCAGACGGTTCTCAGACATGAGGACCCACCAGGGCGTCCTCCCCTGAAGCCGCCTGCTGTGGGCGCCGTGGCGGCCGGCGTCGGCCCCTGGGGCGGCCCCAGGAAGGCTGAGCCGCTCACGTCCACAGGGACACCGCCGGCCGCCTGTCTCCCGGGAGGCGGTTGGCTGCTTGGTGACGCAGGGCTGCTGCGGCTGCACCAGGCGCCGTGGGAGCCTGCCCGCTGGTTCTTTACGAGGCGCCCCCTCAGCACCACCCCCAGGCCCATGCTGTCAGCAGGCACGGCCTGGTCTGGACGGATTGCCTGGGACCGCCAGCCAGTTCCCCAGATGCCCTAGCAGCGTGGGCAGACGGGCTGTCCTTTGATGCGGGCTCTGCAGAGCAAGCGCACGATGGCGTTGGGTTTGAGATGTGGGTTCGCCATCATTCAGGGAGGGGAGGCCAGGTTGGGACACCGACCACCGAGACATGTTCGTGCTCACAGCTCCCAAGAGGAGGGGCCGTGGGGGCCAGGAGACCACACCGGTTGAGGGGAGCAGGGCAGGGAGCAGGAATAGGGGTGCAGGGAGCAGGGCCTGGGTACGGAGCTCAGGGAGGAGTGGGCTGAGGACGGCTGTGTGAAGAGTGTTGGGGTTCTGGGCACAGGGGCTGCCCTGGCTGTTGGGGTTCTGGCCCCAGGTGATGAGGGCCGGTGAGGGGAGCCCCCAAAGTAGAGGCAGGCAGGCCCTGGGCTGGCCCATTTGTGCACAAGCTGACATTTTTAGTGAGCGGCTTTGAATGCTAATGGACGTGACATTGACGTGTTTAGGACATGACTGTGAACGCTAGCACAGAGGCAGGTGTGTGTAACTGCCAGCACAGCCAGGAAGGGGTAGCACCCAGAACCGTGTCCCCGGTTTTGGCAGCAGAGCCACGGGCAGCATGCACAGGTTCGGTATGAACGTCATTCCCTCTGTAACTATCGTCACTTCCAAGTCCTCACCTGAGGCTTCCACCCCCATGGCTTTCCGAGAGGGGAGAGGGAGGAGGAGAGGGGACACACCCCTGGCTGCCTCCCCCACAGAGGGAGCCTGCAACCCAGGCACGAGCCCTTGACAGGGAATCGAACTCAAGCCCCTTTGGTCCATGGGCTGAGGCTATAACCACTGAGCCACCAGCCAGGGGGTGTGCCTCTCTTTAGAGCAAGGACCCTGGAGGGCCCGGTAGCAGGGAAGGTGGAACAGGGGCCAGAGCTGGATCAGCCATGGGCGGCACCCCGCCTGCCGAGGGTCCATCCAGGTCACAGGTCAGAGGCGCCAGGCGCTCAGCTTCCTCCCACCCCCTCCCGCCCCCTCGGCCCTCCAGATCAACTTCAACCTGATCCTGCTGCTGCTGCTGGAGCTGCTCATGGCGGCCACGGTCATCGTCTCCGCGCGGGTCAGCGAGGCGTCCCGCCGGAAGGTGGGCAGCCATGGGCAGACGTGCAGGGCTGTGTGCGGGCCGTGTGCAGGCGTGTGGAGGGCGGGGTTGTGCCGGGCTCCCCAGAGCATGTGGAGAGACCAGTCTGTCTGTGGAAAATGCTGCTGGGGCAGGAACGTTTCCCCACATGTGAGAAAGATGCTAATCCGAGCTGCCCACACCTGGCGGTCACTGGCCGGAGCTGGGGGTGGGGAGAGGGGGAAGGAGTGTGGGGAGGGAAAGGGGGTGGCACGGGGTGCAGGCAGGCCAGCTGGCTCTCTCTCCAGGGCTCCAGCTCCAGCTCCGACGGCACCAGCATGCTGCACGGCGTGGCACTCCCTGTGCGGGTGCTGAAGGCCTACTCCGTAAGGACGTCCGTCCTCCTGCTCCGGCCGCTTTATGGGGGAGGGCAGGGCGGGCTGGACAGACGTCAGCGCGTGGCCTGCGCTATGTCCATGTGGTTGGTGCCAAGGCACCTCATCGTAAGCTGCCAGGTGTGGATGATGGATGTCAGTGCGGGTGGGGTGTGGGTGCAGGTGGGGTGCAGGCAGCTCCAGATGTGGGGGTGAGTGAGGCACACAGTCCTGGCTGACACCTGCTGTCCCTGGCGCTGTCACTGGCACACAGTCCTGGCTGACACCTGCTGTCCATGGCGCTGTCACTCTCACAGGCCCTGTTTGAGCCACATCACATGCCCACACTCTCATTTCACTAAGTCTTTTTAAAACATATATTTTACTGATTTCAGAAAGGAAGGGAGGGGGGAGAGAGAAACATCAATGATGATGAGAATCATTGATTGCTGCCTCCTGCAGGCCCCCTATTGGGAATGGAGCCTGTAACTCGGGCTTGTACCCTGACCGGGGATCGAACCAGGGACCCTTTAGTCCGCAGGCCGATGCTCTATCCACTGAGCCACACCGTCCAGGGCTAAGTCTCTGCTTGTCCCGTAACAAGGCTGCTCGCCTCCCACGCGGAGTTTGTGTGCTGGGCTTCTCTCTGTGACTGCAGTGTGGGCAGGAGGGGTTGGGTTTGTTTACAACAAGGTTAGATCTCTTCTGGGAGCTGCTTTCCCATAATCACAGAGCAGTCCGTCACGGGTGGTTTTGCCACAAGATCCGAGAGTATCCATGTCTGGCTGCTGTCTGCCTGGCTCCCTCCTCACTGCTGGTCTGTGAGCGACCACTTCATTTGTGTGTGTCCTCGGGGCCTTCTGAGCTGAGCCACCCACTGGAGGCGCCTGTGGACACGTGTGTCCGCCTGTCCTGTGCCCACCGTGGTGGTGGGGCGCCTTCCTTCCCCGCTGACCTCGGTAAGAGGGTGCTCTCCTCACACTTTGGACGGTGTCGCTCCTTTGCCCCGAGCTCTTCGGCCCCCACACCCTGCCTGCCACATCAGGGACACGCGTGTTCTGGGGACGCTGCCTCCACTGTCCCCCACAGGTCATCGAGGTGGTTGCTGGCGTGTCTGCCGTGCTGGGCGGGGTCATCACGCTGAACGTGCACGAGGCCGCCGTGAGCCCGCACCTCGCAGTGACTTTCTTCTGGATCCTAGTGGCCGTGAGTACAGCCGGCCGGCCCTCCTCGCTGTCACGGCAACGGGCCTCGCGCTGCCGGCCGCTGCTGGCCACACCGAGGCTCCCGTCAAACGCAGGGCAGGAGGGCATGGCTGGGAGCCGGCTCCGTGCCTATCCCTCTGATGACTTCCTTTCCTCTTCTTTCTCAGTGCTTCCCAAGCGCCATTGCCAGTCATGTGACGGCTGAGTGTCCCAGCAGGTGTCTGGTAGGTGGGACTAGGCTGTGGGTGGTGGGGCTGTCCTGGGGTGGGGGTGGGGGTGGGGGTGGGTGCAGGGGCAGGGGGAGCCCAGCCTCGCCTCATTCCGTGTCTGTCAGATAGCGACTGCGGCCTCGCTGTCCGCTGTCCGTGTGGGAACCGGTGTGGGGCAGGTCTCGGCAGCAGCAGGAGGCTGGCGGCCACTATGCCACCTCACCTGCGAACAGAGTGGTGCCCACATGGAGGAAACTCCTGACCGTGGTGCACTTGGGATTCGCGGGAGCCTGGCCGGACCCGTTAGCAGGAGCTGCACGGGGAGCAGACACACGGATGCTCGGACCCCGGCGTCTCAGGCTGACAGGCCCACGCCGCCTGCTCCCCAGGTGGAGGTGCTGATCGCCATCTGCAGCCTCACGGCGCCGCTGCTCTTCACGGCCGCGGGCTACCTGACCTTGAGCGTGAGGCGCGTCGTGGAGGTGTTTGCAGACTACCCGCCGGCCCTCCAGGTGCGTCTCCCCGGAACCGTGCCACGTGCCAGCAGTGTCTCTGGGACGGGGCTTTGCTCCCTGTCGGAGGGGCGGGCGGCGGCTCCCACTTGCTTCCCCGGGGGATGGTCCGTGTCTGGCGCACACCATGTCCCTCCAAGCCCCTCCGAGCCCCGAGCCGGCTCGGCCCTCCGCTCAGGCTCCGGGTGGGAAAGGCCCGTCTGTTGGTGCCACACGCTCCTTACGGCTCGGCTCCTCTATGTTCCGCCTTGAGGTGTGGTGCTCTCCCCGCTGACCGTGTCTTTGAATCCATGGAGCACGTGCATGGCTCTGAAGTCGGCTGTCACATGTGCACACCTGGTTCTTTGTTCTTCTAACCGAACCGTTTCTCCTGCCTTCCCTCCGACTGGGGGACCACGTGTTCTGTCTCCTTTTTACACGCGTGCAGTCCCGTGACCCAGTCACCACTGCTCCCCAGGGAGGGCCCGGCTGCTCTGATCCTGTCACTGCAGACCCTCTGCAGGGTCTGCCGGGCCAGAGAGGCATCTGTGCCGTGAGCCCCCCCTGGTGAGGGGTCCCCTTGACCTGCCAGCTGTGGCAGGAGCAGCTGTCCCCTGTTCTGAATCAGGTGAGGGGCTGGCAGCGTCTGCCTTTCCTTTCCCATGACCTCTGACCGGCGGTGTCTCTGGTGGCTGACATCCCGAGCCGTGGCCTCGGCTCCTTGTGCCGTGATTCCTGCGTGCGCGCGTCTTGGTCTGTCCCGTGTGGTTAAACTTACTGACGTCTCCTGCGTTGCTCCTGGGGGTTAAGCTGTAATTAGAACGGCGAGTGCTGTGCCCTGGTTTACCTGGGCAAGCGGAGAGGGACCCCGTCTTTCCCAGGGGCTTCCGTGGCAGCGCTGCTTCTCCTGAACGGCCCGGCGCCCGCACTGGGTGGCTCTCGTCCGTCTCCTCAGTCCTCAGTCTGTGCGTTGCGCGGTCCCTTGTCACAGGGACAGCTGTGGGGACCTCGCTGGGCCGCCGCTTCTCCAGATGCTCTTAAGAGGCCCCTGTGGGCGTGGCCGGGCAGAGCTCGAGGTCCCTTGCTGTATGTGCAGTTGTGGGGGGACAGGAAGACTGACCGGCGCCTGGGCCCTTTGTGCTTGTTAAACCGGAGCAGAGCCGAGGCCTCCGCTGCTTTGGGCAGAAGGTTCCTGCTTCCGTCACTGAGGTTCCAGGGCCTGTCCCCATGGCACCTAGGAAGCTGGCCGGAGGCTGTGGGGGGACTTCCTCGACCCTGCTCGCCGGCTGTGGGCACAGGTCCCCGCACCCCCATGTTTGGTGGAGAAGCCATGCACAGTCTAGGCATGTGACAGGCTTTATTGAGAAGAAGCAGCTATTGCTGTCAAGGAACCAGCAGACAAAACAGTTTTTCAAGGCAGCTGCATAGACACAGCGGCCATTGCCGTCACAGAGGCCACCAAGCAGCAGCCCACTGTCCACCACCATCTTCAACCAATAGAGGCTTCTTGCCAGACAGTGGCATCGGCCCTGGGTTGTGGGAAGGCACCTGAGCAGTGTGTGCAGTGAGATCGCGGGTCCTTGCCTTGGCGCCTGCGTGTGGCAAATGGCTTTGAGCATCCAGCGTCCTCTGATTAGGTTCCCCCAGTGGTCTCCTTGGCCAGTGGGTCGGGGTCAGGGGTCACAGAGGGGCTGAGGGCCTGGCGGGGGCGTGGCCCAGCTGCTCACGCTTTCCCACCAGCAATCCTACGACGTGCTGCTGCTGCTATTGCTGCTGGAGCTGGTGCTGCAGGCGAGTCTGCACACAGCCACCGTGGTCCAGTGCGCCCGCTTCACGGGGGCCCGCCCGCAGGAGCGCCCCGCAGAGGTGAGTCCCAGCCCCGCAGGTGACACCTGCCCTCGCCGCCTCTTTCAAGACGCAGCAAACATTTGCAACAAGAGAAATAGGCGGTTTTTAAAGCCAGCCAGGCAAACAAGTCTGTCCTGAAAAAAGTGTTCCCGACTGAATGGTTTTACTCCTGCAAACATGCCAGGTTCACGAGGTCACCCCGTCCCTCCCGCCTCTGGGGTGTGGTTTTTTGGGAGGGGCCACGCTCCTGACAGGCCTGTGGTGTCACCACCTCTGGCTGGCGCTGCTCACCAGCCACTCTGCCAGGCTCAGCTCAGACCTCCCAGACTCCGCCCAGACCCCCTCATGTCCCCACACCAGACGGGCTGAGGGGCCCACCCCATCCCGCTTCACCGGGACCCCACCCCAGGTGCACGATGCCCTGAGCAGGGTCCTGTGGCCCCGGTGCACTGGAGGCGCCACCCCTGGCCCCTCACACCTCACATCCTGTGCTCAGCACGCCCTGGCGCTGTGTCCCCACCAAGCTGCTCCTGGTCTTCCTGGGACCGGCTCCTGCCCAGCCCATCCTCAGCGGTGACCTCCATCCTCCCCGCTGTTCCCTCCACCACACGCCTCAGAGCCGCTGTCCTTGTGACCTGGTGTGGCCTTGCTGCTGTGGGGACTGCTCTGCCCCTTGCTGTATGGGCGATGGGCCTGGTCCTGTGTTTGGACACCAGGGTATAGCATTGGGGGGAGGACTGGTGAGCCGCCCGCAGCTGCCTCTGTTTCTGTAGATCTTTTAGGGGGGACCGCTGCCTGGAGCATCCTCCCTCTATGGTGCCAGGCCCCGGCCAGTGGCATCAGAGTCCCTGGCCAGGTCCAGACCCGCTCTGTGGGGAGACATCTGCCCCCAGGAAGGGCCTGGAGGTCCCATTTACACCTGCACTGTGTGTATCGTTCCCCCGTCAGCCAGTGCTCATCGAGTGCCTACTGTTTACAGATGTGGCTCCACCAGGGGCCAGCCGCTCCGAGAACCGGCAGGAAGAGGCCTTGGGACCCTGGCCACCCCCAGAGCCAGCATGTGGCCACGGGGACAGCTCACCCGAGCCCATGCTCTGTGGTTCCTATGGTGGCTGGGGCAGCTGGGGGCACAGAGGGCTGGGTCTCCCCCGGTTCCCGGCTGAGGGCGGTCAGGCCTGCCGCTGCCTTCCGTGCCCAGCTGCCCGCGATGACCAGAGCCATCTCCTCGCAGGTGCCCAAGAGCCCCCCCAGGGAGTTCGACAAGGAGCGCGCCTGGAGAGCCGTGGTGGTGCAGATGGCCCAGTGAGGCCCCGAGACCTGCCTGCTCCTCTGACCCCTTCCCCGGGGGCGGCCAGCTGCAGTGTCTGTTTCCCACAGGTTGACCATTCTGATTGGCGGGCAGCTCGGTGCGGGCAAGGAGGGCTCGTGGGGCTGGACGTGGGCACTGGTCAGTGCAGTTTCTGGGCACTGTACCTGCTGCCTGCTTCCCACCTCCGGTACCTCACCTGGCTCTTGCCCGTTTTTTGGTGGTTTAAAAAAAAAATACATTTTTATTGGTTTCAGAGAGGAAGGGAGGGGGAGAGAGAGAGAAACATCCATGATGAGAGAGAACCATTGATCAGCTGCCTCCTGTACGCCCCACACTGGGGATGGAGCCCACAACCTGGCATGTTCCCTAACTGAACCATGACCTCCTGGTCCATAGGTCAATGCTCAACCACTGAGCCACCCCAGCTGGGCTCCTGCCCTGTTTTTGTTGAGCACCTACTGTGTGCAGATGGCAGGCCACTGGCTCAGCCTGTCTTGGTCTTTCTCTCCTGACTGAGCCTCTGCCCACGCTGTTGCTCTGTCCTGTGCCCAGAGCCCACACTTCTCCATGGCCGTCCACCGCCCACTGCTGCCCTCCACCGGCCAGCCGCTGCAGAAGGGCCTGACTGCTCAGGGCGCTGGTCCACGTGGGCACTTGCTGGCACTTGGCACCCCTCTTTCCAGCTCCTGAGCCCCTGGTCAGCCACATGGAGATGGCCTGTTCACTGTGTGGTCAGTGACTGCTGGGGGCGCACTGAAGGCTTTGAAAACTGACTGGGTCACGTCTCCGGCTGCCATTAGCCTCGGTGACCTGGGCCAGGCCACACCCCTCCCTCCTGACCTGAGGGCCCCACTCCCCTGGCCAGGCCGCTGCCCTCACTGCCCCGCAGTCCTCACACCTCCTAATAAGTAGTTTGTCTCGGTCCTCACTCACCTGAGGTCTGGCCTGGGCTGGGGTCTCCGTCTGTCGCCGTCCACCTGCCGTGCTGCAGGCAGTGTGGGTGTGAGAATAACATTTGCTTTGATTAAAATCCTGGCCCAGAAGCAGTCTGTGTGTGTCTGTCGAGGCCGCCTAAATCCCCAGAGTAACTGACATGGTACCACGAGCTGAGAGCATGTCTGTGGGGACTGTGTCCAGGCTGGCCAGCACGTCGCTCCCAGGCCGTGTCCGTCAGTCCAGGAGGGGAGGGCAGGCCATGCGTGTCCCAGGGCTGGTAGAGAGGCCGGGGCCAGGGAACCAAAGAACCAGTTGCCCGGGAGATGAGGGCTGGGGGGGGGGGGGGGGGGAGACGGTGCGGACCTGGTGAGGGGACAGGGTCTTCCCTGCTTGCTCCCTTCTGAGTACGTGGCCAGCTGCTGAGATGATCAGACGGAGGAGCTGCACTGACACCTGGCAGGTGAGCATGTGGCGAGGGCCATCGCAGCGGCTGCCCCGCACCCCTCCTGCTGTCCTTGGGGCTCCAGAGGCGCGGCAGGCAGCGGGTGAGGGGCCAGGCTGGCAAAGCCTCCGCCAGCGGCTCTCCCCGCTCACACATAGGGCCGCCAGCCACCTCCCTCCCTGCAGCTCCCAGGGGGCGGCAGGTGGGGACGCCCCTAGGCGGGCACAGGACCCCAGGGACACCCCAGGCAATGCCCAGGTCTTCTTGGGGGCCCAGGGGGCTTAGAGCCGGAACTGTGCATCCGTGGGCTTCCTGCTGGCTTGTACTTGAGTTCAGAGAGAACTTGAGAAATCCCGACGTGTGGGTTTGAAAATGTTAAAATTCTGTCAGTTTACATTTTCTTTCATTTAGTGAATGCTGCCGGCGATAGCTGTGGCCTGTGGCCCATTGATCCCTGCGGGTCCCGGGAGAGCTGAGCACAGACCCAGGACAGCGGTGGACTGGCACCGCCTTCCATTTATTCTGTGACCCCGAGGCCAGGAGGGAGTGGTGAGAGCCCAGGGCAGAGGCCAGGGTCCCACCGCCCCCAACTACCACCCCCCCACACACTTCCAAGTGGAGGCCGCCCTCGGTTTGCCGAAATGATGTCAACCCAAACCAAGAAGTCACCACGTGGGCACTGGGGGAGGGAGGGGCAGAGAGGTGGGGGGACCCTGGGAGCGAGGACGCCTCTGCGGGATGGGGCCGCCCGCCCCCTCGCCCCAGCCCACCCCAGCGCGCAGCTCCCCGCGCTCATCCCCAGGGGGACGCGGTGCGCCCAGCCGGCCGGGGACCCTGGCGAAGGCCAGAGGCCTGGGCGGGGCCGGGGGCGTGGGGGCGGAGCCCGCCAGGCGCCCGGTCCCGGGGCGGGACCGCTTGTGACCCTCGGGTCTTTGTGACTTGGGGCTCTGACCGCGGGGCGCCAGTGTGACCCCCGCAGCGCGCTGCTGGGACCGCAGGACCCGGGCGGGCGGCGAGGTCACTCGCGGACCCTCCGCCCGAGCCTCCATGGCGCGCACCGCCCGCGGCCCCGGCCCCCCCGCCGCCAGCCCCCGCAGCCCCGCGGACCGCAGCCCCGAGCCCGGCCGGCCCCGCCGGGCCTCCCCCGCCTGCGGCTCCGCGCGCCGCCAGCACCGCCGCCGCCCCCGCAGCCGCGCCCCGCGCTCCACGCCGCCCGCGCGCCCGCGCAACCCCACGCCCCGCACCGGCCTCCGCCCCGCGCGCCCGCGGCCCCGCCGCCCGCGGCCCTCCTCTGCGCAATGCGCGCCGCCGGGCTCCCCGGGCGACCGCGGGGCGCTGGTGGCGGGCTGCGGGGGCGGGGAGCGGGCAGCCGGACCACCCCCGGGTGAGCTCGGCCCCCCTACGGGCCCCCCACGGCCGGGCCTGCCGGCCCCAGACAGGAGGCTCCGCCCCGCCCCGCCCCGGCGAGGAGCCCCTGACCCGCCCTCCCGGTAGAATTCCAGCCCCACACCCCACCGCATTCTAAGCCTCCTCCCACCCCTCCACCCCCTCTCCTGCCCTTCCTGCCCCACACCTCCCTCATGTGTGCTCCCCCGCCCCTCACCTTCCCCACCCGACATCCGCCCTCCCCACACCTGCCCCAGCCCAATCTCCCCCACTGGCCCCACTCCACACCTGAACCCGCACCTTCCTCACCTGCCCTCCCTACACCTTCCCCACCCCACACCTGCTCTCCCCCCCCCCCCCCACCAGCCCTCACCTGCCCCTGCTCCCCGCTGGGATCCATCCCTGACATCCCCCTCCTTGCAGGGCCTGGAGCAGGAGCTGGAGCTGGAGCAGGAGGAGGAGCAGAAGCTGGAGCTGGAGCTGGAGCTGGAGCTGGAACCAGAGCAGAACCGGGAGCTGGAGCCAGAGCTGGAGCCGGAGCAGGAGCTGGAGCCGGACCCGGAGCCGGAGCCGGAGGGAGGAAGGGCGAACTGCCGGAGCCTGGAATGGAGCAGGGGGAGAGGAAGAGGTTCCTGTCCGCCTCGTCGGAAGGAGACTGGAGAGAAGAAAACAGTCAGTATCACCCGCCCGCCCATGTTCCTGCTGCCCCTGGGCCTCTATGAGATCAGACTCGGTGTCTCTCTCTGACCAGGACTTGCCGCCTGCTGCTCCTGGAGACCTGCTCGGCCTCCGTGGGCCGTGGCACTGCCCTGTGCTTGTGGGTGTGAGTGGTTGATTTGCACACACACACATGCACACACGCACACACGCATGCACACACGCATGCACAGACACGAGGCCTGCGGGCTGTGTGAGCTCGTTGATTGCAGAGTGGTCTGGGCGAGAAGGAACGTGGTGACACCGTCTTCCCGCAGGTGCAATCAGTGTTTTGTGGTCTCAGTGCAGGAACGAAAGACCTCCTTTAAGGCAGCTGTCAGTGGCATTTTAACGTTCCTTTCTGATCGATTCTCATGTATTTATGAAAACAATTGACTTCATTTTACTGACTGGAGTCTGGTGATGTTACTGACACACTTACTACTACAATAGCAGAGATCCATGGAGATCTGTGCTGTGCACACGCCTCTGTAAGCCTTCTCCATCTCCGTGCATCTTATTTCTTTTTCCTGCGTTACTGCATTGGCCTGCTCTCCCATGGAATGCCGGATACAGGCCAGAGACTGGAACCTTTTTTGTTGTTGTTTTTCCAAGCCAAGTGCTCAGTATTTCACCGTGAGGTATGATATCGCTCTGCACGTTACCGAAGGTTCCCTTTTACGTGGCTCACTAAGAACTTTTAAATGAACAGCCATTACATCTTACCACACACGTTCTTCTGCATCTGTTGAGGTGATAATACACACTGAGTGGCCAGATTATTATAATCTCTGAACGTGTAATAATCTGGCCACTCAGTATGTGTGTATGTGTATATGTGTGTGTGTGTACACACACACACACACACACACACACATACATTAGAGGCCCAGTGCATGAATTTGTGCATGGGTGGGGTCTGGCTAGCCTGGCCAGGAGCAGGGGACATGGGCAGTTGGCCGACCTGCCTGCTGGTTGAACTCCTGGTCGAGGGGACAGTTTGCATATTAGCCTTTTATTATATAAGATTACATAGGATATATACAGAGAGGCCAGAGTATTATGTGTTCAGAGATTATCATCAACTGGCCACTCATTGTATTTGTTCCTTTCATCTCTGCATGTGGTGGGTTATCTTGAGGGATTGTCAGATATTAAATCAACTTTGTACTCATGGACCACATTCCACGTGGTCATGCTGTTGTGTTTTATATGTCACTGGATTTGACTAAAGTTTTTTTGTTTAAGCTTTTATTATTATTATCATTATTATTATTAGAGAGAGGAAGAGGGAGGGAGGGAGAGAAACATACTTTGGCTGCCTCCCACATGCCCCCTACTGAGGATCGAGCCTTAAGTGGTGACTTCAGTTCGTGGGACGATGCTCAGCCAACTGAACCACTCGGGCACAGCTTGTGTCTCCTTTTATGAGTGAGATCGGCCTGCACTTCCTGTCTTGTAACGTTCCTGTCAGGTTTGGGTGTTCAACTTATGGCTTCATAAAAAGAGATGAAAAGAGTCCATTTTCCCCATTCGATGAAAGGCTTTATATAAGATTTTTAAGTTTTTAAATTGTTTTTCTTGTTTTGGCTGCTTTTTAGATATTCCTCCCTACCCCCTTAAATCTTTGGGGAAAAGGACCTGTGATGCCTTCAGACCTTGAGTTTCACTGGGGAACACGTAAATGGTGAATTTCTTGAACAGAAATAGGCACATCCATGTCCTATTATGTCCGTGTGGGTGAGCCGTGTCTCTCGAGGAGAACACCGTTTGACATGAGCTGTCAGTTACTGGCGTGTGGAGGCGCACAGACTGACTGTCGTTTTAATACGTGTGCCCCTGCATCCCTACCATTGGTAGCCCGTGTTTCTCCCCCTCCTGACCCGTCCATGCGGAGGCTTATCCCTTTAAAGCGTGTTGCCAAGGTCCAGCTTTTGGGTTGGCCTATTTTCTCTAGAGTACATCTGCTTTTTATTTATTTATTTATTTATTTATTTATTTTAAATCAATTTTTATTCACATTATTACAAAGGTTCCTCATTTCTTCCCCCCTCCACGAGGTTCCCACTGCTTTTTATTTCATGGAAGTCTTGTCTTCCTTCTATTATTTTTTACCTCCTCTTTCTTTTCGTTTAATTGGTGTCTCTCTAGCCTCTTGAGATGGCAGCTTAGATAATGTTCAGTTTGTTTTCTTTTCTAACGTATACGCTTAAAATCTGTACACTCCCCCATCACCACGGAGCAGTGTTACAATGCTCTGATAGGTCACATTCTCATTCTCATTTGATTCAAATCATGTTAAAATTGGCTTTGATTCATGTTTTATTTTAGACGTGGGCTGCTGCCCTGGCTGGCGTGGCTCAGTGGATAGAGCGTTGGCCTGCGGACCGAAGGGTCCCGGGTTCGATTTCGGTCAAGGGCATGGACCTTGGTTGTGCCCTGGCCCCGGTCAGGGCTCGCACAGGAGGCAACCGATCAGTGGCGTTCGGTGGTGTAGGTGTGCCACAGCCTTTCTGTCTGCTCACCTGCGGACGGGCACTTGGGCTGCTTCCGACCTCGGCTTCTGTAAATGAAGCTGCAGTGAGTGTACAGGTGCGTGTATTCTTTCGGGAGCTTCGGATCTATCCAGGAGTGGACTTGCTGAGCCCAGCTGATTCATAATTTAATGCATAATGATTGGCACCTGGCAGTGGCCCATGGGGGCAGCCTGTCCGAACCCGTGGCGAGCTGAATTCTGTTGGAATGGCTCCCCCGCCTTGTCCGCTTCAGGGAATTTCTGAGGATGGCCTCCACCTGCCCTTGATCCTCACAACGGCCCATCTTTTCTAAGTTTCTTGGTTTACTGCCCGAAGTTTACACTATCCTCTTGTTCTCTGAACACCTGCGGGCGGGGCCTTCCTGCCATGACGGCTTCGCTGCCTCTCTCCGTTGTCGGCAACTCAGTCACCCATCTCACCAATCCGACGAGTCTCCAGTCGGGCTTGGTCGATTCTCTTTATCGAATTAAAAATATTTCTTGTGATTCGGGGTTTATGCTGACTTGGTTCTGTCTCACGTCTCTTCTCCCCGTGTGTTGGCCTTCAGTGTTTCGCAGTGGGGGCTGGAACTCCCGCCGTGGACATGCCCTCACGGCCCCTGGGGCTGATGCTGGCACAGTGTTCCCGTTCCTCTGTCCCGGAGGCTTCCTCGGCCGCTGGGGTGGGGAGCCTGCCTGTCACAGGGGTGGTTTCTGCCCGATACTTGGTCCTGTTTTCGATCCCGAACTGAACGGAGCCGGGGCTGGCGGGGGGAGAGGGGGGCAGACAGTATCTCCTGTGGGGACCACATGGGTCCCTGTCAGTGTCTGGGGGTCACGGCGCGTGGCTGTGGAGCTAGGGAGGCGACGTTCAGACCATCACATCCAGATCTCAGTCCTCGCCTGCCTTTGGTGGCTTGTCCGTCTGTCCGTCAGTCACTGAAAACACAGCCGCTCTGGTGTGTGAGGCCCGTTCCCCAGCTGCCACTCTGTCTGCATGGACCACTGTTCCCAGTGCAGACGTCCCACAAATGGAATCCAGGAGCCAGGCCCAGTGTCGGGCCAGGTGTGGGCTTGCCGGTGTGTGCCTGAGCCCGGGACCTGTGCTTCTGCCACGGAGCAGAACACGGCAACTCTGACACGCCCCGTTGCCAGTGTCACCCGATGGCCCACTCCACAGGACACGCCGTCCTTCTCGGGGCCTCGGCACAGCTCCCTCTCGGAGGCCCAGGCGCTGCAGACCTGTTCCTGTGTGGTGCCAGGCGGGGTCGTGGGTCGCCTGCTCCATGTGGCAGTGCCTCGGGGCTGGGGGCTCCTGGGTCCGTCCCCGAATGGAGTGCAGGCCGGGGGCCGGGGCTGTGGGCGGCTGGGCCTCTGTTAACCCGCCTGTGTCTCCCATTTGCCTCCGTATCTGCTTTCTCTTTTACAGAATTAAAACGAGACGTATCTTCTTCCCCCAAATTGGACAGATACAAAATGGCGAGACAGCTGACGGAAAAGGCCATCAAGGTGAACGCTCTTGGGGACTCAGCGGGGAGGGGTTGTCTTTTAAATACGGGGTTTGATTTTGGAATTTGGGGAGTGAGTTCAGAGCTCTGACACCAACACCCCCCTCCCGGCCGGCCTTGGTCCCTGACCCCCAGGCCTGGTCCCTGTGTGGAAGCTTGCACTAGAGTTACTTTAAAAAAATTTTTAAAATTGATTTCAGAGAGGAAGAAAGAGGGAGAGAGATAACCATCAAAGATGAGGGAGAACCATGGATCGGCTGCCTCCTGCATGCCCCCTGCTGGGACTCGAGCCCACAACCCAGGCGTGTGCCCTTAACCAGGAATGGAACCTGGGACCCTTCAGTCCGCAGGCCAATGCTCTATCCACTGAGCCACACCAGCTGGGGCTAGAGTTACTTTTTATTTAAGCTGGACACTGGAAATACTCTCAACATGGGGCGCGGGCAGACATATGGGCCATGGAAGCCTGTCCTGCCCCCTCCCGCCATGCTGCCTCAGGCCATGGGCGCACTTCCCGGCCTGGCTCCCGAGGACCCTGGGGCCCGTGTGCCGGCCCCGCTCCCCAGGCCCCTCTAGGTGCATCGCAGGAGGGATAGGCCGGCAGACACGCCCCCGCCCCTCCTGGGGCCCCCTCCACCCTGGACCCATCACCTTTTCTGTCCTTGTGCAGAAGGCCAGGACTGTGGGAGCCCCGAGGGACCCAGGCACCTGGTTACGTGAGCCCGTGCTCAGCACAACACATGCCTGGTCACCCAACTGCATGGCTCGCCATGCACCTGGGGAGAGAACCAGGACACACATGACACGTGTTGTGGGGCAGCAGACACCAGCCCTGAGAAGACGTCCATCACCCCTGGCAGCTGCTCCCCCTCTCCAATCCTGCTGCCCCCCCCCCATCCTTCCCACAGTGCCTTCCATGACCACGCTCACCATCCTTTCTGGGAATTCCTAGAAAGAGACCCAGAGCACCTCAGTGACTCAACTCTCCTCTGCAGCCTGCACACACATCAACGTGCCAGACTACAAACATCCCTCAGAGAACGGCTTTAGCTGCACTTCACGCACTTTCATTTGTAGCGTTTTTATTGCGAGTCCGTGGAAAGTATCGTGTAGTCCCTGTGATTCCTTCCTCCCTGCTCCACTTGCAAGCCTGGTTCTGAGCGCTGTGCTTTTCCTGGTTATTTTGTTGCCGATTCCGCTGCAGGTTGCATGGCGGCCGAGAATGCAGGCTGTGTGAAGCCCTCCTGCTGAGGTGCTTTGTGCCCGTTTTGTGACTAAGAAAAGGTGGGGTGAGCGGTCTCTCCACTGCCCTTGGGCGGCCTCTGCTGTTTGCTCTGCTCGTGTCCTGTGGCCACAGGATCCTGTCTGTCCCATCCTTTCCCGGGAGAAGGTGTTAGCGCCTGTCACACTGGGGACGTGTCTGCTCTTCCGTTCTGCCCATTTTCGCTGCAGATAACGTGTGGTCCCATCAGTAGGTGCACAGAGGGCACCGTTCTGCAGGACCCACACTTTCCTCTCAGTGATTAAGTAACTAGTGGCTCGGTGCGTGAAATTCATGCACATTAAAAGGGGATTGGTTAGAGGAAATATTTTAAGATTGCCATTTGCCCTTTTTCTGTAATAGAAGTGCCAGAGATGAAAGAAAATTAGTAAAATGTATATGAAAGTCTCCCTCCATCCAGAGTCTGGGGCTCACCACGGGACCCAGAGTCGAGTCCCCTCCCACCACCCGCACGCCCTTCGAAAACTCAGAAGACCCAGACCCGGCCAGCCCCTCCAGGTGGGGGTGCAGCCTCAGGTCCCCCAGCCTGGCACAGGGGCAAGGGGTGCAGCTTGAGGTCCCCCATCAAGCCCTGCCGGGCAGGGGGCACAGCCTGAGGTCCCCCGGCCTGGCGCCATGCAGCCTCAGGTGCCTGCCGTTCAGTCGTGAAGTTACGGAGTCCTTGCTAATTTGCATATTCCTCTATTACATATATAGATTGTCTTTAGTGACGCTCATTTGATTTTTTAAAATCCTCACCCGAGGATATTTTTCCAATGATTTTTAGAGAGTGGAAGAGAGAGGGTGAGACAGAGTGAGTAAGACATCGATGTGAGAGAAACAGCATTGATTGGTTGCCTCCTGCACGCATCCTGAACCAGGCCCCGGGCTGGGAAGGAGCCTGCAACCGAGGTACATGCTCTTGTCTGGAATCGAACCCGGGACCCTTTGGTCCACAGGCCGATGCTCTTTCCACTGAACCACACCAGCCAGGGCTGGACGGATTGCTTTTAAAAATTGCACTTCTTGCCCTGGCTGCTATGGCTCAGTGGATATAGCGTCTGCCCGTGGAGTGAAGTGTCCTGGGTTCGATTCCAGTCAAGGGCACAGGCCTGGTTGTGGGCTTGGTCCCCGGCAGGGGGCATGCAGGAGGCAGCCAGTCAGTGGTTCTCTCTCATCACTGATGCCTCTCCCTCCCCCTCCCTTGCTGACATGCGCACACACACATTTCCCTGCCCGTCGCTGACCCTGCCTCTCTCCCTCAGGACAAGAAGATCTTCTCCATCCACGGGCACTACCCGGTGATCCGTGAGCTGCTGCGCAGGAAGGGCTGGGTGGAGAAGAAGCTGCACTTCCTGCCCAAGGGCTCCCCCAGGGGCGATGGCGACAGCGAAGGGGCCGCTGGTAGATATCGACCCTCGTCCCTCCGGAGACGTGCGTGTGGTCTCCAGGCTCTGGGCATGTGCCAGCCCCTCCCCCCACCCCCCACCCCCCACCCCCCCGTCCTGGGACCTGGGCCTCCCCCGAAGGCAGAGGACCCCCGCCTCCCACCCAGGCACCCATACATGGCAGGCGCTTCCGCACCCCGGTGTTGACCACCTCTCAGCGGCCCCACCGTGTGTGCCCTGACATCTCTCCTCCGGCCTCGGCTCCCCAGGGTCCTCCCACCACCGCCCCATCCCTCTGCCTCCCCTGCCCCCAGCCCTGCACCTGCTCCAGCCAGGACCCCGCAGACGAGGCCGCCGGCAGGCAGGTGATGCCGGCCATGACGCAGGGGCGCCCCATGTTGTGTTTGCAGAAACCAAACGCGCTGAAGGCAAAGAGAACCAGGACGTGGCCTTTGAGGAGACGGACGACATCCATGATGTGATGGTAGGTCCCCCGCGCGAGTCACAGGGGATCGGCTGCCGTGGTGGCCTCGGCGCCCCCCGCTGTGCCCGGGGCGGGGACACGCCCCGCACGAGGCCTCTGGGCTGGAGAGCAGGACCCCGGGCCCCCCCCCCCCCGGATCGGGTGGACCCTGCACGGCCGCAGTGACCCCTCCGGGCTGGTCCTGACGGAGGCCTCTTGCCAGTCCAGGTTGGTGCGAAACGAGATCCCTTACTTCCTGTGGACGATCAAGAGGGACTCCATCGACTACCACAGCCTGAGCGGCGACCAGATGCTCAACCACTTCGGCAAGACGGCGTCCTTCACCACCAAGGTGAGGGCGGGAGCGCAGTGCCCTCGGGGGCCCTGCCCCTGCCTTGGACCTGCCATTGACGGAGGATGAGCCGAGGCCCAGGGCCCGGCTGGCCGGGGTGGGCGGGCTGCGGGCGGACAGAAGGGCCGGAGGTGGAGCCTGACTGTTCGCTGTCCCCGCAGATCGGGCTGTGCCTGAACATGAGGAACCTGCCCTGGTACGTCCAGGCCAACCCCGACACCTTCTTCCCGCGCTGCTACGGCCTGGGCTCCGACAGCGAGAAGCAGGAGTTCCTGGGTGGGTAGCTGGCCCGCGCCCGGACCCTGAACTCCACACTGCAGGGCCTTCGGGAGGGAGCTGGCCGCCGGGGCTGAGGGCCAGGCCGGGGCCAGGTGCTGGCGGAGGGACTGTCCCACCCGGACCTGGGGCTCAGCTCCGTGCACACGGCGAGGGCCCTCGGGCCATGGAGCCGTGGCACCTGCCGCACCCTGCCCTGTGCCTCACCCCACGGGGGCTCCAGGGAGCAGATGCCCAGGCAGTGGGACCGTCAGGGTGGACTGGAGAGGGAGCTGGTGGAGCCCTTGGAGGCAGGGCTGAGAGCCTGGAGCAGGGAAGGTGGTGGGGCTCCCGGACCTCAGTCCAGGGGGGCAGGTGGAACCCTTCTGCAGAGCGTCGGAGGGGGAGGCGGGTGCAGGTGTCCGCCCCTGGGCTGTAGGACCCCTGGGCAGAAGGCCCCCAGATTGTGGGACCCCGGGCTGTGGGACCCTGGTCACCCCGGGCAGAGGGCCCCTGGGCTGTGGGACCCCCAGGCTGTGGGACCCCCGGGGTGTGGGGACCCCGGGCACCCCGGGCAGAGGGCCCCCAGACTGTGGGACCCCTGGGCTGTGGGACCCCTGGGCTGTGGGACCCCCGGGGTGTGGGACCCCCGGGGTGTGGGGACCCCGGGCTGTGGGACCCCGAGCTGTGGGACCCCAGGCTGTGGGACCCCCAGGTTGTGGGACCCCCGGGGTGTGGGACCCCCGGGCTGTGGGACCCCCGGGGTGTGGGACCCTGGGCTGTGGGACCCCCGGGCTGTGGGACCCCCGGGGTGTGGGACCCCCGGGGTGTGGGGACCCCGGGCACCCCGGGCAGAGGGCCCCCAGACTGTGGGACCCCTGGGCTGTGGGACCCCCGGGCTGTGGGACCCCCGGGCTGTGGGACCCCGGGCTGTGGGACCCTTGGGGTGTGGGGACCCCCGGGCTGTGGGGACCCCGGGGTGTGGGACCCCCGGGGTGTGGGACCCCCGGGCTGTGGGACCCCCAGGTTGTGGGACCCCCGTGGTGTGGGACCCCCGGGCTGTGGGACCCCCGGGCTGTGGGACCCCTGGGCTGTGGGACCCCGGGCTGTGGGACCCCGGGGTGTGGGACCCCCAGACTGTGGGACCCCGGGGTGTGGGACCCCGGGCTGTGGGACCCCCAGGCTGTGGGACCCCCGGGGTGTGGGGACCCCGGGCACCCCGGGCAGAGGGCCCCCAGACTGTGGGACCCCTGGGCTGTGGGACCCCCGGGCTGTGGGACCCCCGGGGTGTGGGACCCCCGGGGTGTGGGGACCCCGGGCACCCCGGGCAGAGGGCCCCCAGACTGTGGGACCCCTGGGCTGTGGGACCCCCGGGTTGTGGGACCCCCGGGCTGTGGGACCCCGGGCTGTGGGACCCCGGGCAGAGGGCCCCTGGGCTGTGGGACCCCCAGGTTGTGGGACCCCCGGGCTGTGGGACCCCGGGCTGTGGGACCCCTGGGCTGTGGGACCCCGGGCTGTGGGACCCCGGGCACCCCTGGCAGAGGGCCCCCAGACTGTGGGACCCCTGGGCTGTGGGACCCCGAGCTGTGGGACCCCCGGGCTGTGGGACCCCGGGCTGTGGGACCCCGGGCTGTGGGACCCCGGGGTGTGGGACCCCGGGCAGAGGGCAGCTGGCGCAGGCGCCACCCCGGGCCCAGCGTGGTGGAGGGGGCGAGGCCTCGGTGCCTTTGCAGATGACTTCCGGCGCACGGCGGCCACCAGCATCCTCAAGTGGGTGGTCAGCCACCAGCGCTGCCCCCGGAGCCAGGCCCCGGGCAGGCCCAGGGAGGCCCAGGACGCCGACCCCGGCAGCCAGAAAGGTGCGTGCACCCGACCCGACCCAGCCTGTTCCCACACCCGGAGGCTGCTGGGCTGGCGTGGAATTCGTCCTCCTGCCCCGCTGCTGGGCGCTGGGCTCCTGCAGGCGCTACAGCTGTGTCCCCTCCCCAGGCCAGAGGGCGGGGCGCGGCGGGGGTGTCTCTGCTGTTCAAGCTCCTGGAGGGAAAAGGGGGGTTCCCACCGGAGCCTCCGGCAGCTGCAGCCTGGTCCGGCCGCTGTGCGTGTGCCCGCCCGCCGGGCACTGCAGCTCCAGAGACGCTGGGTGCCGGCCTCCCTGTGCCGAGGACCTGACGCCACTTTGGCCCTGCGTTTGCTCGGCGTTGCTGGCGGTTAACACGGGACGGACTTCTGAGCTCCAGTGTCAGACTGAGGCCTGAGCCACCGCTTTTCACTTTAAAAATAGTCACTTGACGTCATTTCCGCCTCAGCACATGCTTAGCCGCCTGAGGAACCTCTCCGCCAGGCACACAAGCCGGCCTGCTCGGCGGCGGGCGGCGGGCCGGGCCTGGGCCGCTGGGCCCCGGTCTGCGCCCCCGGCCGCCTCCCCGCAGGGCCTGCCCACACCTTGTGCTCAGTCCCCATGCCCCACGTGGGCCAGTGGCTTTGGTGGCAGCGGGCCCCTGGGTGAGGGCCCTCCCTGTGGTCAGTGCCTCGCGAGACCCCCAGCGATCTCGACCCCGGATTCCAGGGACCGAGCGATGCTGAGTAGGAGGCTGCTGTGCGAGGCGCTGAGCCCACACGTGCCAGCTCTGGGACGCCATCGCTGCCCCGCGGGCTTGTCACAGAGCGTTTACTAAACTCCACGGAGTGCATGTTTCCGGGAGAGTTTGTAGGAAGGGCTGTCTTGCTGGAGGCGGTGGGGGCACTGGGTGGGCACCCAGCAGTGGGAGGACCTGCCCAGACCGTATGGCACCCAGGTGGCTGCCAAGACGCATCCCCGGCGAAGCATGTGGCCTGGGCGGGGCCCACTCCCCGCGCCTGCGCTTGGTTTCAGCTCCCGAGAACAACGCGAAGCCCCTGGGCCTCTCGGGGCAGCTGGTGGACATGGCGTGCCAGGTGTGCCAGGCCTACCTGGCGCAGCGGGAGCACGAGGACATCGACGTCGCCAAGGACGCCGCCAAGGACCTGACGGAGGAGCAATGGAAGGAGCTGACTCAGCAGTACTACGCCCTCATCCAGTAAGAGCAGCCGAGGGCGCGGGCTGGGAGGCCCGGGACTCAGCCTCCCTGACGTCGCGATGCCTGCCTGGGTGTGAGGGTCGCCATCTGGGCCAGGCTGGCGTTTCTGTCAGGAGGTCCCATAGGGGGATGCATCCCAGACACCACCTCCCGTCGGACACAGGGGCGGCAAGGGCCACACTGACCTGGGCCCCACTCGGGAGCCCGCCTTCGTCTCCTGCAGCCTTTCCTCGGCCAGGCCCGCATCCTCCCGTGTCCGCGCCCCGGCCGGAGCCGCCTTCCGCGGGGGAGCCCACGTGCTGCCCTGAGACCCGCGCTCTGCTCCTTGCTTCGTAGTGGCAATGCCTTCCTCTCCAGCCCGAGGACCCACTTCTCGCAATGCCAGGCGCTGCTGAACAGAATCTCCTCCCTGAGCCCGCAGACCGACATCGACGGGCTGCGCAACGTGTGGATCGTCAAGCCCGCGGCCAAGTCCCGGGGCCGCGGTGAGTTCCCAGTGCCGCCGCCCACCACCGGTGAGGAGGCGGCTGGACACCAGGCTCCCGGCACCTCAGGACTGTCCTCCCGGCGTTTGTCCTGAGCTCTGCTAGTTCCTTAGGACGCTCCTTCCTATTCCTACGTCAGACGGGTCTCCCGTCTCCTTGTGCATAAGAATGATCTTGGCAACAGGCTTATGCAGCCGCTTAGCGGCTGAAGGACCTCCTGCTCGGCAGCAGGCGTGCCCACTCCTCCGGCCCATTAAGAACCCACCTTGAGCCCCAGGTGCGCTCGGGGGCCTGAGCCCCCTATAAGCCTTGTCCACGGTGACTGCGTGTCTGTTCTATGCCTCATCTTCTTGCATCGCACCATGACCATATTCTTCTTTTTATTCCCAATGGTCAACGCTGTGCTTCTTTCTCTCTTTATTTTTAAACAAGATTTCAAAGTGAATTTGTGCTTCCAAAGAACAACTTTTGGTTACATTTTTTTGTGTTCATTGTTTCTGTAAGGAACACTTTATTCTCTTGACTCAAACTTAAATGCTATGCATTTATTTTCAATATTTTTTGTGCAACTAAAAGCTTCAAGGCTATGAAATTTCCTCTGAATGTGGCCTTAGCTGCACCCCCTTGTTTGTTATATAATTTTCTTATTTTCCTGAGCCTCTAAATATATTTTTTCTTATCATTTGGATATTCTGTTTGCCTCTTGAATTATTTCTTCATTGTCCTTGTTTTAAATTCACAAGTGGTTAACTTTTATGTGACTTTTAAAGATCTCTTAATCTGATGTTACTGCATCCAGTCCTAAACATCGTCTGTCCTGAAACATTCTCTCTCCCGGGCTTTTGCCTGCTCTCCCGGCCGGAGCAGTGCTAGGCCTTGGCTCTGTCCTGAGCCCACGGCTCTGTACGGCAGCGCTATCTGCTGGTGGCTCCCTGCTCCTGTCCCTCAGGCCAGACCTGCTCCCACTGCACCCCAGGATGCCCACAGACTCACCTGTTCAAGACCCCGTGCCCCACTTTCCTCCCGGTTGCTGGCTGTGTCCCCGCCTCTGTGGCCTCCGTGCTCTCAGCTCCACGTCATGCCATCGCTGTTGCTTTGTCCCAGCATTTACTTCAGGGTGGAGAGGTCTCATCTGACGAAGGGACCAGTCTTGTCCTTTCATGAGGACAGCTTGCCTGTGTTGTGCCTCTGCACTGGGCAAAGGGCCCCTTTCCACCCTCTGTCAGTCAGGATGGGCCATCTTGTGCCGCGTAACAAACAGTCCCCAAACCTCAGTGGCTCTCAACGAGGCCATGAGTTTCCCCACGTTCATCCCTCTCACGCCCGTCACCCATGCAGCTTGGCCTGGGAGGGTGGTGTAGGGGGGGCTCTGCCCACCAACGTCCCCCACCCTCGATGGCACCACTTGCTTCTGGGAAGTGGGCACAGGGCCTGTAGGTGACAGCAAAGGCTGTGGCAGGAGTAGTGATGTCACTTCTGCTCAGACATCACTGCTCATGACTAGTCACGTGACCTAACGGGGTGTGTGTGTGTGTGTGTGTGTGAACTTGAGATACCATAACCCCCCTGCAGAGTAGAGGAGGGCCCACTGTGGTAGGCACTAGTGCACCCAGCCCATCCCCTTTGTCCTGTCACCCGTGAGCATAAGGCCTCCCTGGGCCCTTCCACAGGCGGAGCAGCCCACACCCCTGCCTGCTGGCTTCCCAGAGAGTCCTCTCCCCCCCCTCAGTGGGCTGTGGCCGTGAGGTCCGCTGAGCACGGCCCCTTGCAGACATCGTGTGCATGAACCGCGTGGAGGAGATCCTGGAGCTGGTGGCGGCGGACCACCTGTCGCCCAAGGACAAGTGGGTGGTGCAGAAGTACATCGAGACGCCTCTGCTCATCTACGACACCAAGTTCGACATCCGGCAGTGGTTCCTGGTCACCGACTGGAACCCCCTGACCATCTGGTTCTACAAGGAGAGCTACCTGCGCTTCTCCACCCGGCGCTTCTCCTTGGACAACCTGGACGGGTGAGTGGCGGGTCCGCGCGCGGGCGGGCACGGGCGGGGCGGGCACGGGCGGGGCGGGCACGGTGTCCGCTGTTGCCCACCAACCCCCACGTGAGGCACAGAGAGGAGGCCCCCCAAAGCCAGCGCTCTGCGCGCCCACGAAGTGTGTATCTTCAGGAAATCCCGGAAGCACCCCTCTCCCTGCCCCTCCCCTGCTTCTCCATCTGGGACCCCCGGCTGGCAAGGGCGTCCCTGAAGTCATTTCTGAGTGGGCGTGGCTCTGCCAGGCAGGGAAGCCCAAGGGTCCGCCACCCCAGCGCCGTGCCTGGGTCCCACGGAGTAAACTTACCCACAGTCACCAGGGGGGGGGGGGCCGGATGGGAATCCCAGACACACGTGCAGGACGTACCTCGGGGCAGCGGTTCTGTTAGCACAGGCCCTCGGCTAAGTGAGCGAACCGGAAGTCCTGCTGGGAATCTTCCCCCAGAAAGGCCGTCGGCCGTGGGGCCCGGAGGTTCAGGGAGGGTGACTCGCTGGAGGTCCCTAGTTGGTGGCCCTGGACAGGTGGGATTTTAAAAAAATACTTGTTCTTATTGATGTCAGAGAGGAAGGGAGAGGGAGAGAGATGGAAACATCTGTGATGAGAGAGCATCCTGGATCGGCTGTCTCCTGCACACCCCACACTGGGGATTGAACCTGCAACCCGGGCCTGTGCTCTTAATGGGAATCAAACTGTGACCTGCAGGTTCATAGGTGGACACTCAACCCTGGAGCCAGGCCGGCCGGGCATGGGCTTCTGGCCTGACCTGGTGGGGTCCCTCCTGCAGCCACCTGGTGCGGGGCCGGGGCCAGGACCGGGCCGGGGTGGGATGGAGCTGGGCTGAGGGCGTGGGGCCGGGCGGGTGGGGGCGCGGCTGCCCTGACCTGGCTGGCCCCGCAGGGCCATCCACCTCTGCAACAACTCCATCCAGAAGCACCTCAAGGTGGACAAGGGCCGCAGCCCGCTGCTGCCCTACCACAGCATGTGGACCAGCACGCGCTTCCAGGAGTACCTGCAGAAGCGCGGCCGCGGCTCCGCCTGGGGCAGCGTCATCTACCCCGCCATGAAGCAGGCCATCGCCCACGCCATGAAGGTGGCCCAGGACCACGTGGAGCCGCGCAAGAGCAGCTTCGAGCTCTATGGCGCCGACTTCATCCTGGGCCAGGACCTGAAGCCCTGGCTCATCGAGATCAACTCCAGCCCCACCATGCACGCCTCCACGCCCGTCACGGCCCAGCTGTGCGCGCAGGTGCAGGAGGACACCATCAAGGTGGTGCTGGACCGCAAGGGCGACCGCAGCTGCGACATCGGCAACTTCGAGCTGCTGTGGAAGCAGGTGCGGCCGCGGGGCGGGGCCGGTGCCGAACGGGGGCGGGGCCGGTCCCCAACGGGGGCGGGGCCAGGTCCCACGGGGGCGGGGCCAGTTCCCAATGGAGGGGGGGCTGAAGGGAAGAGGGGGGTGTGGAGGGAAGGGGGGGCTCCCGGCCTGGCCCTGCCCCGCCGGCTGGCCCCCTCATTCAAGCTAAACCAGGGGTCCCTGGGCCTGCGGGCTGTCCATGCCTCTGGGCCCTTCTCTCTGGGGAAACTGCACCCCCTCAGGGCCTTCCCCGCCCGGGCTGGGGCGCCTGCTGGGTGGGTGGACCCCGCACCGAGGCCTCCCTGGAGGGCGGCAGCCCCGCCGCCCTCTAACCGGCCCCCTGTCCCGCACCCCAGCCCGTCGTGGACCTGCCGCCCGTGTACGGCTCGGACCTGTGCGTGGAGGGCGTGGGCGTGCGCAGAGGCAAGAAGCAGATGCCGCCCATCCCGCACTTGCGCTTCTCGCCGCTGCTGGACCCGCTCAAGGCTCGCGGCCCCCCGGCCATGCCCGACCTGGCGCCCCCGCGGGCCCCGCCGGCCCTGAAGCTCAAGTTCGGGAAGGTGGGTGCCGCCCTCCGCCCCCTCCGCCCCCGGCTCAGCGCTCCTAGGGCCGCTGGAGGCAATCAGGCCGAAGGGCGCGTTCCTTCCCAGTTACCTATGGAAACCCACCCTCCCACCTTCCCGCACGTGAGGCCTGTCCCCCCCCAACTCCCGGTGATTGCTCTCCTGTCGGTGTCAGGCACCACAGTGCCAAGGGCCCCCACCCCCCTGGGCCTCCCTCCTCTGTGAATGTCAATCTCTAATCAGGCTTCACAAGAACCCACTGAGACTTGGGGTTTGTGGAATCCATGGTCTCGGCTCGGGGACACTAACCAGTGACATTGTGTTTCCCTCCCAGAACACGACACGTGTCTCCGTTTACTTAGATCTTAAATTGTGTCACTTTCCCAGTGGCGTGCACACTGAGCGGCCAGATGATGATGACCTCTGAACGCATAATCTGGCCACTCAGAATATAGCCTATAGAATAAAAGGCTAATATGCAAATTGTTCTCTCGACCAGGAGTTCAACCAGCAGGTAGGCTGGCCAACCGCCCATGTCCCCTCCCTCTGGCCAGGCTAGCTGGATCCCACCATGCACAAACTCATACACGGGCCTCTAATATATATATATTATGTGTTCAGAGATCATAATAACCTGGCCACTCAGTGTATGTCCTTCGTTAGATCTGTTCTTGGTTACTTGACGCGCTGAACGACCACATGTGTTGTCAATTCTCTAAATTCCCTCGCTGCTGCTGCTGCTGCCAAAACGCAACGGACTCTTCGCAAGCATGTCAGACGCAAAGGCCAACACGGGCCGAACAAACAAGGTTTATGTTTATGTGAGCCACAAAAAAAAAAAAGCTTCACGTGGCATAGAAACATAGGTTTTTTCGATAGTGACATGCTGTCTACAAAGGGCTGAAATCAATGAGTCATTCTTAATGTAAAATAATAGAACATTTTAATAAACATTAATATTTTTTCTTGAACATTAACTTGTCAGACACTGAACCTATTTTTCTTGTTCTCCGAAAGCAAAATATTTCCTGTTGTGCACCAAACAAGTCAGTCCAAGACTAATGACATTGCCATCGGCTGCTAAAATATTCTCTACTAGTATTAGTGAAGAGAAATGGTGCATCTGTGCGTAAGGCGCGTAAGAGAAATGAATGCAACACAATTATAGTCATCAGTCATTAGCAAACATTGTACTTTGTTATTAATAATTATGTGTGACAGGAGATTGTAAAAATTAAGAGATTTTTATTAAAACGTTTCTTACCTGCCATTACGTTGGCTGGGCCACAAAAATATTCGTTTTGGGCCACATACAGGCCACAGGCCGAGAGTTTGACATGCTTGGTGTACACACCCTGTAACAGCTCCACTGACGTTTCTTTATCACCCAGCTAAGCTTTGGACAAAGGAAATTCACCCTAAAATACTCCTGGAAAGTTGAAAACACAGTTGATAATTATTCAAAGTGTGTATTTTGGGGGACAAAAAGATGTATACACACTTTGTGGTGTTGTTCATCCTCACCCAAGGATATTTTTTTCCATCGATTCTTAGAATGGAAGGGAGGGAGGAGAGAGAAAGAAACATAGAAATGAGAGAGACACATCAATCGATTACCTCCTGCACACACCCCAACCTGGGCCTGAATCAGGCCTGCGACTCAGGCGGACGCCCTCGACCAAGAATCAAACCCATACCTGACCCCTTCTGGCAGCGGCCGATGCTCTAACCACTGAGCAACTGGCCAGGGTGATACACTCACTTTTAACCGTGGACAACTCACTGGATTTTCACTCCTTTTCAGGTTTAACTGATGTGAAACTACGGGTGAAGCCAGACAAAAAGACTGACCCACTAGACTTTTTTACGGGACGCATGAAAGATGAAGTTTACGATACCAAACAGGCAGCAGCTGACGAAGGGTGGGCACACCAACACCGAGCAAAATGATTCTTGATGTTCTGATTCCACGGCTTCGCGAGACCAGCAGCGCCAGGGCCAGAGCCGTCATCGTGTGAAAACAGGTGTTGACCAAAAAAAAAATTTATTCATTCCTGGAGATTCTTTTAAATTTTGAAAATGAGCTGTATGTTAATAAACACTGACTTTATAAGCATTCGACGTGTGCGTACATGTTGGGGGACCCTCTGTGTATTAATTTTCTTGGCCACCACAGCTCACCACGCTCTCGCTGTTCCTAACGATGTGTGTGTGTGGTCTTTTGTCTGCATACGTAGCCCCATCGCGCGCAGAGCCTTCGGTGTGCCTGCTGTGTCTCCCCGTACTGCTGGGAGTCCGTGGTGTTAAAGTGACAGCTCCCAGTGTCTCCTCGTCCATAACGCACAGGCCCAGGTCTTTATAAAGATGCTCAAGGCCCAGTGCACGAAATTCGTGCAAGGGTAGGCCTTCTTCCCCCCGGCTGCTGGCACCGGCTCCCCCCCGGCTGCTAGCAGGCACCCAGGCCCCGGGCTTCCCCTGGAGCCCTGGCTCCATCCAAAAGGTCATCCAGAAGGACATTAGCATATTGCACATTTATTATCATAGACTAGAGGCCCGGTGCACAAAGATTTGTGCAAGAACGGGCCTTCTTTCCTCTGGCTGCTGGCACTGTCTTCAGGCCGGAGCTTTCCCAAGCTGCCCAGAGGCCTGGAGCTGCTGGGACACTCGGCACCTGCATATGCAAATTAACCTGCCATCTTTGGTTAATTTGCATACTCACTCCTGATTGGCTGGCGGGCATCACAAAGGTACGGTCAGTTTGCATCTTTCTCTGTTTGGTGTGGATGCAGGTGGGAAGGCAGGGCACTCCACATGCCCAGGATTCTTCTCATCTTCGCCAAGATGTCACACTGCGCACGAGCAGCCACGTTTCTCAGGAACTTTTTATTCAGCTGAGAGGTCGTCATCACCTTCCAGTCCTTTGCTCTATTTTTGCTGTTAATCCTCACCCCAGGACATTTTTTCTGTTGATTTTTAGAGCGAATGGAAGGGAGTGGGGGGAGAGAGAGGGAGAGAGAAACATCGATGTGAGAGAGACACGTTGGTCGGTTGCTTCCTGAATGTGCCCCAACCAGGGCTGGGATTGAGCCTGAAAGCCGGGCATGTGCCCTGGTTCCTAGGTCAGCACTCACCAGGGTCAGTGTTCGGAAGTTCTGTGGATAAAGCTATCGGGCGTCGCGTTGGGTCCTTTCCCTGGCCTGCACTTTCTAAACGGCATGGAAGCCGTGCCAAGGAGCTTCGGTGTCTGGTGAGGTTGGTGATTGTCATAACCGGTCTCGGTCTGCGCTGTTGCTGGCCTGCGGCTCTCTCCTTTTCTCATAAATGGCTCGTTTTCTTCAAACACGTGATTGTGGGGTCCTCTGAATCCCTTCCAGAAGGCAGGTCCTGTCCCTCCGCCCGAGGAGGGTGCTGACACCCGCCCCCCAGCGCAGGGAGGAGAGCCTGCGGAGCAGGTCCAGGGGCATGGCTGGCTTCGGTCCCGCATGGCTCAGCAGGGGGAGGGAGCTCCCCGCAGGCCCTGGGCAGGCAGGGGCAGCCTTCCTTCCAGGGTTGGGGGTGATTCTTGGGATAGTCTTCTGCCCACACCCCGCCCACCGAGGCGGGAGTCTCAGGAGGAAGTGCCTGGGGCTCCCTGCCGACGCTCTGATGCTTTTCACACTCAGTGCCCTGGGGTTGGCGGTTTTCCCAGAAGGGCTTGTCTGGGTCCCAGAACACCAGTTCCTGGGCACCCGAGCCACCTGGCGCTGCCCTCGGGGGCCTCCTGGCTGCCCCTGTCGCCCCTCACCCGCCAGGGCCCAGGCTCCGGCCTCCGCCGCCTCCACACACCCTCTCGGGCGCCCACACATCCGCTCCATCAGCGCCTCTGGCGGAGCCGGTCTTGATCCCACAGCGGGGAGCTGGCCGGCCTCCCTCCCCAGCCCCTCCCTGGGCCCCGCTTAGCCTCGGGGTGCCCGGGGCCAGAGCCGCCACCAGCCTGGAGGGTCGTCCTGGACACAACACGTCTGTGGGTTCCGGGTCTGCTCAGGGCACACGCCTGGATTGCGCCTCAGCCCCCGGTCGGGCAAGCACCATGGGTGCTTCTCTCTCCCTCTCTTTCTAAAAATCTACAGAATATACCCTTGGGTGAGATTTCTTTTTTCTTTTTTTAAATTTTTTTTAAAATATATATTTTATTGATTTTTCACAGAGAGGGAGAGAGAGGGATAGAGAGTTAGAAACATCGATGAGAATCATCGATCAGCTGCCTCTTGCACACCCCCTACTGGGGATGTGCCCGCAACCACGGTACATGCCCTTGACCGGAGTCGAACCCGGGACCTTTCAGTCCGCAGGCCGACGCTCTATCCACTAAGCCAAACCGGTCCCAGCTCTTTTTTCTTTTTTAAGAACCGCCCGACAGAGCTGCCACCTGGGGTGCTGTGCCTGCTCACCACCCCACCCCCTCCCACCCCCGTGCCTGCCCAGCCCCAGCCCCTGCCTCACGCGCGGGCCCCAGCCTGTCCCGGGCCCGGTTCCCGCTCAGCGGCTGCTCCGGCTCCCGTCGGCTCCCGGAAGCTGCGGCTGCTTTGCATTGGCACCGGGGCCCCCTCCTCAGACCCCACCTGAACCTGGAGCCGTGACTCAGCCAGGCTGTCGGCAGAGGGCGGCTGCAGACGTGTGTTCCCGGAGTACCCGCCGGCCCCAAGGCCAGACACCGGGAGCCCCCTGCTCCCCCCCCCATCCTCCCCACGGGGCCTGGAGGCCTGAGAGGAGGGGCTCGGCCCAGTCCACCCCACTCCCCGAGGAGGGGCCAGCGGCCTGGGGTGCCTGGAGCCAGGGTAGCGCCCACGGATGAGCAGAGGCCCGGCTTCCGGGAGGCGCCCAGTCCCCTGCCTGCTGGCTCCCCGCCCAGGTGTCTGAGAAACTGAAAATCTCTGGGAAGCCGCAGGATCTGAGAGAGGGGAGGGGGGTCAGGATGGAGGGGGGGACGGGAGGCCCACGGAGGGCTGCTTGTCTGCATTGTCACTGGCCTCTACACCCTCCCCAACCAGGTCCCTTCAGCCCACGAGCTGACGCTCTAACCATTGGACCATCCTGGCCAGGGCTATGCTATTTCTTATGGAGCCTCCACCCCATCCAGGTGCCTGCGCCCCACAACCCAAGCCCCTCAGCTGCCAAGACCCAGCCCGAAGGCCCCACGCCCACAGGCAGGTCAGAACCAGCCCCTCCCCCGAGCCCCAGCTGGAGGTCAGGGCCAAGGCGGCCGGTCATTCGCTCACTCTGCTGGCCCAGGCTCTGCACCGCCTCCCACCCCTGCCGCTGAGCAAGGGCCACCCCTCACCTGCCCTGCAGCTGGGCTGTGCTGTCAGCGGGCCACGGGGCCATGTGGCCGGGGGTGCGGGGGTGGTGGGCCCTGGGACTCTGAGCACAGGCTGGGGTGTTCCAGCCGCCCCCACCCCAGCCCAGATAGGATGAGGGGCTGCGGGGGGGGGGGGGGGCTGCGTGAACCCCGGCACAGCCTTTCCCAGCCCAAGGGGCAGAGGGCCTCCAGGGCTGAGTGGAGTCCGGCCGCTCAGGGGTGCTGTCCTGCCCTGGGGAAGGGGGAGGGGGGCACTGATCGCTCCCACAGCCAACACGGCAGAGCCCTCCTGGCCCTGCCCACCCCTGCCCTCAGGGAGACCGTCACACCCAGGACCACAGGGGTGGGGTGTCCCCGACCGCCTCCCTGCCTCTCACTCCGGGGAACCCGTTACGTCTGGCAGCTCGAACCCCAGGGCGTCCGGCCAGCGCCCTGGGAGCCAGCGCCCTGGGAGCCAGCGCCCTGGGAGCCAGCGCCCTGGGAGCCAGCGCCCTGGGAGCCAGCGCCCTGGGAGCCAGCGGGGCGGGCGGGGCGGGCGGGCGGCCGGCCCCTTGGGCTCTGCTCCACTGGAGCCTGAGTGGAGTGTCGGCGGGGAGGCAGGAGAGCGGCCACGGCACCTGCGGGCTCCCATCCCCACTCGCACACGCGTGCGCACACACGCACACACACACGCACGCACACGCACACGCGCGCGCACACACACACACACGCACACACACACGCACACGCGCGCGCACACACACACACACGCACACACACACGCACACACACACACACGCACACACGCACACACACACGCACACACACACACGCACACACACACACACACGCACACACGCAGCCATGCCGGCCGGGACAGCCCTTGCCCTCGCGCTCCTGGCCCTGACCTGCAGCACCCGCGGGGGCCTGGCCGTGCCCCGGGTCACAGACTGCAGCCTCGCCTGCTCTCCGGTGAGCCCCCCACGCAGGCATCTGGCTCGGGGTGGGCGCTGGCCGGGAGGCAGGGCACGGGGAGCGGCGGGTGTGTGCAGGGGGTGCAGGGGGTGGAGGGGGTGCAGGTGGGTGAGGTGGGTGCAGGGGGTGGAGGGGTGGAGGGGTGCAGGGGGTGGAGGGGGTGGAGGGGTGGAGGGGGTGCAGAAGGTGCAGGGGGTGGAGAGGGTGGAGGGGGTGCAGGGGGTGGAGGGGGTGGAGAGGGTGGAGGGGGTGCAGAAGGTGCAGGGGGTGGAGAGAGTGGAGGGGTGCAGGGGGTGGAGGGGTGCAGGGGTGCAGGGGGTGGAGGGGTGGAGGGGTGGAGGGGGTGGAGGGGTGGAGGGGTGCAGGTGGGTGAGGTGGGTGCAGGGGGTGGAGGGGGTGCAGGAGGTGGAGAGGGTGGAGGGGTGGAGGGGGTGCAGGTGGGTGAGGTGGGTGCAGGGGGTGGAGGGGTGGAGGGGGTGCAGGAGGTGCAGGGGTGGAGGGGGTGCAGGTGGGTGAGGTGGGTGCAGGGGGGGAGGGGGTGCAGGAGGTGCAGGGGTGGAGGGGGTGCAGGTGGGTGAGGTGGGTGCAGGGGGTGGAGGGGTGCAGGAGGTGCAGGGGTGGAGGGGGTGCAGGTGGGTGAGGTGGGTGCAGGGGTGGAGGGGTGCAGGAGGTGCAGGGGTGGAGGGGGTGCAGGTGGGTGAGGTGGGTGCAGGGGTGGAGGGGTGCAGGGGGTGGAGGGGTGGAGGGGTGGAGGGGGTGCAGGGGGTGGAGGGGGTGCAGGTGGGTGAGGTGGGTGCAGGGGGTGGAGGGGTGCAGGAGGTGGAGAGGGTGGAGGGGTGGAGGGGGTGCAGGTGGGTGAGGTGGGTGCAGGGGGTGGAGGGGTGGAGGGGGTGCAGGGGGTGCAGGGGTGGAGGGGGTGCAGGTGGGTGAGGTGGGTGCAGGGGGTGGAGGGGGTGCAGGGGGTGGAGGGGTGGAGGGGGTGCAGGTGGGTGAGGTGGGTGCAGGGGGTGGTCGGAAGCTGAGGGCCCTGTGCCGGCCTCTCCGAGGGATGAGGGGACGGTTGGATGGTTGGACGGTTGGGGGGCCTGGGCCCAGCCCCCCCGCTCTCCTGGCTCCCCTGCAGCTGCGGATGCCGAGGAGGAAGTGCTTCGGGGAACTCTCTGTCGGGGAGGGAGGGGCCGGGCGGGAAGCGCTGGGCGGGGGCGTCCCGGGACTTTCAGGGCAGCAGGTGACTCAGCGGGGGGAGGGGCCTGGCACATCTGCCGGGGGAGGTGCCCCAGGCCGAGCGGCGGCTCAGTGGGCGCCGCCGGGGGCTGACCCTGCACCCCCTGCCACCCCCACACGGGCCCGGGCCGGGCGAGGGGGGAGAGGGGAGAGGGGGGGGGCCGCCGGTGCCTCCCCGGAAACGGCCCGGACACCGGGGTCGCCCAGGCCTCGGGCGGGGGGCGGCCGCTCCAATAAGCCGGGGCCTCGGGGAGGGCGAGGGGCTGGACGTGGGAAGGGCCAGGCTGGGCCTCGGAGGGGCAGGGACCTGGGGCTGGGGCGGTGCCTCGGGCTGTGAGGGAACAGGGGGTCCAGGTGGGGAGAAGGTCAGAGCAGGAGGGTGCTGGGTGCCCCGTGCAGGGGGAGGAGGGTGCTGGGTGCCCTGTGCAGGGGGAGGAGGATCTGGGTGCCCCATGCAGGGGAAGGAGGGTGTGGGTGCCCCGTGCAGGGGGAGGAGGGTGCTGGGGGCAGACGGAGCTGCAGGAGGAGGAGGGAGGGGAAGTGGGGGGAGGGGGAAAGGAGGACACAGCAGACCTCTGTCCCCTCCCGTCCCTGAGGGCGCTCCAGGCCTGGGCCACGCCCTCGCCGACCTGAAGTTGGGCTGGGGGGACCAGGACAGAGTCAGGTCACGTGTCACCCCCGGGAGCAGGGAGGGGGGGCCTCGGGGTGCCTGGGCCTCGGGGGCCCCGTCCCACTCACTGGTGCTGTCCCCCGGGTGAGCCCCAGACGCCGGGCCCGCACCCTCCTCCCCCTGCACGGGGCACCCACACCCTCCTCCCCATCAGCTCTGACTGATGGGCTGGGCTGGTGGGGGCGCAGAGGGGACCAGACCTCAGAGATGCGCACCTCGGGGTCCCCCCACAGACACCCCCCATCGGCCTCGGGCCGGGAACCCCCGGGAAGCCCAGTGGGAAACCCCAGCGACTTCCCCCCTCCGGGCGGCCGGATGCCAGGACGCCGGGTTCCGGGGGTTTCTGGCCTCGGCCTCCGGCTGGTCCCATGTCCCTGTCGCTGAGGGCGCGGAAGGCCTGCCGTGAGGCCACACCCCTGTCCCCGTCCCTGCCCTCCTGCCCGTCCGTGCTCCCTGCCCCGTCCCTGACCTCCTGCCCCGTCCCTGACCTCCTGCCCCGTCCGTGCTCCCTGCCCCGTCCCTGACCTCCTGCCCCGTCCGTGCTCCCTGCCCCGTCCCTGACCTCCTGCCCCGTCCCTGACCTCCTGCCCCGTCCGTGCTCCCTGCCCCGTCCCTGACCTCCTGCCCCGTCCGTGCTCCCTGCCCCGTCCCTGACCTCCTGCCCCGTCCGTGCTCCCTGCCCCGTCCCTGACCTCCTGCCCCGTCCATACTCCCTGCCCCGTCCCTGACCTCCTGTCCCGTCCCTGACCTCCTGCCCAGTCCCTGACCTCCTGCCCCGTCCGTGCTCCCTGCCCCGTCCGTGCTCCCTGCCCCGTCCCTGACCTCCTGTCCCGTCCCTGACCTCCGGCCCGTCCCTGACCTCCTGCCCCGTCCATACTCCCTGCCCCGTCCCTGACCTCCTGTCCCGTCCCTGACCTCCTGTCCCCGTCCCTGACCTCCGGCCCGTCCGTGCTCCCTGCCCCGTCCCTGACCTCCTGTCCCCGTCCCTGACCTCCGGCCCGTCCGTGCTCCCTGCCCTGTCCATGCTCCCTGCCCCGTCCCTGACCTCCTGTCCCGTCCCTGACCTCCTGTCCCGTCCGTGCTCCCTGCCCCGTCCATGCTCCCTGCCCCGTCCCTGACCTCCTGCCCCGTCCGTGCTCCCTGCCCCGTCCGTGCTCCCTGCCCCGTTCGTGCTCCCTGCCCCGTCCGTGCTCCCTGCCCCGTCCCTGACCTCCTGCCCCGTCCCTGACCTCCTGTCCCGTCCGTGCTCCCTGCCCTGTCCCTGACCTCCTGCCCCGTCCCTGACCTCCTGCCCCGTCCCTGACCTCCTGCCCCGTCCATACTCCCTGCCCCGTCCCTGACCTCCTGTCCCGTCCCTGACCTCCTGCCCCGTCCCTGACCTCCTGTCCCGTCCGTGCTCCCTGCCCCGTCCCTGACCTCCTGCCCCGTCCCTGACCTCCTGTCCCCGTCCGTGCTCCCTGCCCCGTCCGTGCTCCCTGCCCCGTCCCTGACCTCCTGCCCCATCCGTGCTCCCTGCCCCGTCCGTGCTCCCTGCCCCGTCCGTGCTCCCTGCCCCGTCCCTGACCTCCTGCCCCGTCCGTGCTCCCTGCCCCGTCCGTGCTCCCTGCCCCGTCCGTGCTCCCTGCCCCGTCCCTGACCTCCTGCCCTCCCCCCTGGGCAGCCGCACGGCCAGACCGGGCGGGGGAGCAGCGGGTGGGGCTCCCACTTCCCCTCCTCCCGCCCCCACGGGGCACCCGCAGGGCCAGGTCTCATCTGGAGCCCCCCCCCAGCTCCCGGGGTCTCGAGGCCAGTTCTCTCCGGGGAGGGACGGAGGCCCCCGCTGTCGCCCTGGCTGTCTCCGTGTCCCCGTGGGTCTCGCCCTCCGGGTGGGGCAGCAGGGCCTGTGGGTCAGGGGCCCCGTCGCACCCTGACTGTGACCCCTGGCTGGGCGTTCAGGGGCAGCGTCCAGACAGCTCGGAGGAGGAGCCAGGGACTGGGCCCCCCGGGCCCCCCAGTCTGCGGGGCCGGGCTGCCCGGCCTCCCCCAGGCGGAACCAGGAGGGGGGACAGGGGGGCCGAGCCGACCTCTCACCCTCTCTCTGTTTGTCTCCAGGGCTTCGTCTGCAGGCGTCACGTGACCCGTGAGTGCCTCTGGGTGGGGGTCCCCTGGGTCAGGTCTGCCCACAGCGGGATCCCCTCGCCGGCGGGGGCGCGGGCTCGGCGAGTGTGGGGTCTCGCCTCCCCCGTCCTCTGTGCCCGGCCGCGTTTCTCTTTCAGCTCAGTCCCTGGATACACGTTTACTGAAGTCAGAGAGGAAGGCAGAGGGAGAGAGAACATCAGTGATGAGAATCACCGTCGGCTGCCTCCTGCACGCCCCCTACTGGGGATCGGACCTTCCACTGGCCACATGCCCTGCCCGGGAACGGACCCTGACCTCCTTGGTGCTCGGCTCAGCCACGGAGCCAGCCGGCCTGGGTCCATTCCTCCTTTTAAAATGCACCTGTTACATTCAAAATCCTTTTCCTGAAATATTAGTGCTTATTGCATGTAACATTGTTAAATTTAAAAGCTTTTCTTGAAAACAAAGAAAATAAACCAGGTTTTCCCCCCAAAAAAATACAATACAATACATCTGTTGGCGCTGGCCGGTGTGCTCAGTGGGTAGAGCGTTGGCCTGCAGACCCAGGTTGGATTCCGATCAAGGGCACACCCCTTGGTTGCAGGCTCCTCCCGGCCTGGGCCCCGGTCAGAGCTCATGCAGCCGACTGATGTTTCTCTCTGCCTCTCCCTCTCCCTCCTTCTCTCCCTGAAGATGGAAAAATACCCTCCAGTGAGGGTTTTAAAAAACAGACAGATGTGTGGGGCTGACTGTGCCCTCTGCTGGTTGCTGCCCCCGGCCCTCCCTGCAGCTGGGAGCAGGCCTCTCCCTGGCCCGGGGTGCGGGGTGCTGTCCCCTCTGCTCCGCCCGCTCGCTCAGCTCCAGGGGCGGCCTGCCCCCCCGCCCCGGCCTGGTCCCACGCCTGATGCCCAGCGGACAGGCTGACCGGGCCGGCCGCCCGCACTCCCCCGGGGACCGGCCCTGGCTGCCCTGGGCCAGGCCCTGAGGCCCCTCCCGCCGTGCACCGGAGCGCCCCCCGCAGCCTGGCCCCGGAGGGAGCCGTGCCTCACCCCGCGCCCTCCCCAGGGGACGTCCTGAGCAGCTTCTGCCGGCAGCCCCCCGCGGCCGTGCCCCGGCCGGTCCTGGGGGCCCTGACCGTCTCCACCGCCATGAGCTGTGCCCCCCCGGGCGGCTGCTCCCTGCTGCTGCATGTGCAGGCCTCCGTCCGGCTGCAGGGTGAGGGGTCACCCAGGACGGGAGGGCTGGGGGGCGGCTGGCAGGGAGCCCGGTCACTGCACCCCCGCCGCGGGCTGACGGCCGCCGGCCTCCCCGCCCCCCCACAGAGAGCCTGCGGGGCCTGGAGGCCTGCGCCCAGAGCATGGACACGCAGGAGACACGCTGCCAGGGCGTGCGCGTCCCCGGAGGCTCCCGCCGGCGCCAGGCGGGGCAGGAGGTGGGCAGCTCTGAGCCCAGGCCTTAGCCAAGCGGCAGGCACTGCCCTCGCCTGCTGCTGCCCGCCGCCCGCCGCCTGTCCCCGCCCGGCCCAGCCCTGCCACCGACACCCAGGGCCGGACGCCCCTTCCGCTCTGCCTCCAGACCCTGCTTCCCGCTGTGTCCAGTGGAGCTGGCCTGGCCGGGGAGGGCGGGCAGGGGCCGGGAGGGCGGACAGAGGCGGGGAGGGCGGGCAGGGGAGGGGAGGGCGGGCAGGGGCCGGGAGGGCGGGCAGGAGAGGGGAGGGCGGGCAGGGGCCGGGAGGGCGGGCAGGGGCGGGGAGGGCGGGCAGGGGCCGGGAGGGCGGGCAGGGGCCGGGAGGGCGGGCAGGGTCGGGGAGGGCGGGCAGGAGAGGGGAGGGCGGGCAGGGGCCGGGTCACACCTCTATCTGCCCAGCTCCAGGTGCACTTCGACTGCTTCGAGGTCAGTGCAGCCCAGAGCGTCCACGTCACCCTGAGGCCTGTCCCCCACTTCTGCGGGGTGCAGCTGGAACAGCAGTACCACGTGGAAGGTGAGGGCCCAGGGGGCCGGCCGGCCCGGATGGAGCTGCCATCTGGCTTCTGCAGCCTGATGGAGAGGAGACGCGGCGGGCGGGGGCAGGCCCATCCCCGCCGCCATCTGGCTAATTTGGGGCGCTGCCTCTCCGGAGAGGCCCGGTGGGGGATGGCCTGGCCGCGCAGGCTGAGCCCCCTTTGCCTGTCACTTGCAGACTGTGGAGACGAGGACGTGAGGCGGAACCTGCCGGAATGCCGTGGTAAGCCCACCCCAGGGGGACACAGCCTCCCTGAGGGGCCGCCACCACCCTCCCCTGGGTCTTCTTCCACCCCGCCTCGCCTCCGAAATCAAGACGGGGTCCTGCAGGGCCACCCCGAGCTCTCAGGACAGGAGGAGCCTGTGTCTGGTGCCTCTGGCCCCAGGGTGCCCCCCTCACCCCACAGCCGGGAAGCTGTCCTACCGGGTGGATCGCAGCCGCAAGGTCGTCCTGGTGCAGCTGCCCGAGGCCCCTGAGGGCACCGACCACTATGTGCGGCTCTGCCTCAAGTGGTCCGCCTGCGAGGACGCGGGCGCCCTGGTGCAGGTGAGCCCAGGCCCAGGCCCTGCGCACAACCTCCAGCCCGGAACAGGCCCCGCCCCGACGCAAGCCCCGCCCCAGCCTGCGCCATGTCCAAGCCCCGCCCCTCAGCTGCTCTCAGTCCCCCTGGCTCCACCCACCCAGACCTCACCCACGTCCAAGCCCCGCCCCTCAGGTCCAAGCCCCGCCCCCAGCCCGAGCCACGTCCGAGCCCCATCCCTCAACTGCTGTCCCCCTGGCCCCGCCCACCCAGACCCCGCCCCGCCCACTGCAGGCTCTGCCCACCATAGGCCCCGCCCATAGCAGGCCCCGCCCAGTGAAGGCCCCGCCCACAGGCTGCAGCACCTCAGCCAACGTCCCTGCAGGTGGCTGCGAACAGCATCTCGGGGGTGGTCGCCCTGCCCTACAGCCAGGAGCTGCCCTGCCTGTGCCTGGAGGTCAGTGCGGGGAGGTCAGTGCGGGGGGAGGTCAGTGGGGGAGGTCAGTGGGGGGGAGGTCAGTGCGGGGAGGTCAGTGGGGGGGAGGTCACTGGGGGGGAGGTCAGTGCGGGGGGAGGTCAGTGGAGGGGAGGTCAGTGCGGTGGGAGGTCAGTGCGGGGGGAGGTCAGTGCGGGGAGGTCAGTGGGGGGGAGGTCAGTGGGGGGGAGGTCAGTGCGGGGGGAGGTCAGTGCGGGGGAGGTCAGTGCGGGGGAGGTCAGTGCGGGGAGGTCAGTGGGGGGGAGGTCAGTGCGGGGGGAGGTCAGTGCGGGGGGAGGTCAGTGGAGGGGTCAGTGCGGGGAGGTCAGTGGGGGGAGGTCAGTGGGGGGGAAGTCAGTGCGGGGAGGTCAGTGCGGGGGGAGGTCAGTGCGGGGGGAGGTCAGTGGAGGGGAGGTCAGTGCGGGGGGAGGTCAGTGGGGGGGTCAGTGGAGGGGTCAGTGCGGGGGGAGGTCAGTGCGGGGGGAGGTCAGTGCGGGGGGAGGTCAGTGCGGGGGGAGGTCAGTGCGGGGGGAGGTCAGTGGGGGGAGGTCAGTGCAGGGGGGAGGTCAGTGCGGGGGGAGGTCAGTGCGGGGAGGTCAGTGCGGGGGGAGGTCAGGGGAGGGGTCAGTGGGGGGAGGTCAGTGGGGGGGAAGTCAGTGCGGGGAGGTCAGTGCGGGGGGAGGTCAGTGGGGGGGAGGTCAGTGGGGGGGTCAGTGGAGGGGTCAGTGCGGGGGGAGGTCAGTGCGGGGGGAGGTCAGTGGGGGGGGAGGTCAGTGGGGGGGAGGTCAGTGGGGGGGTCAGTGGAGGGGTCAGTGCGGGGGGAGGTCAGTGGGGGGGGAGGTCAGTGGGGGGGAGGTCAGTGGGGGGGAGGTCAGTGCGGGGAGGGCAGTGGGGGGGAGGTCAGTGGGGGGGAGGTCAGTGGGGGGAGGTCAGTGGGGGGAGGTCAGTGCGGGGGGAGGTCAGTGCGGGGGGAGGTCAGTGCGGGGGGGGTCAGTGGGGGGAGGTCAGTGGGGGGAGGTCAGTGCGGGGGGGAGGTCAGTGCGGGGGGAGGTCAGTGCGGGGAGGTCAGTGGAGGGGTCAGTGGGGGGAGGTCAGTGGGGGGGAAGTCAGTGCGGGGAGGTCAGTGCGGGGGGAGGTCAGTGCGGGGGGAGGTCAGTGGAGGGGAGGTCAGTGCGGGGGGAGGTCAGTGGGGGGGTCAGTGGAGGAGTCAGTGCGGGGAGGTCAGTGGGGGGGAGGTCAGTGCGGGGGGAGGTCAGTGCGGGGGGAGGTCAGTGCGGGGAGGTCAGTGCGGGGAGGTCAGTGCGGGGGGAGGTCAGTGCGGGGAGGTCAGTGGGGGGAGGTCAGTGCGGGGAGGTCAGTGGGGGGAGGTCAGGGGGGGAGGTCAGTGGGGGGAGGTCAGTGGGGGGGAGGTCAGTGGGGGGAGGTCAGTGCGGGAGGTCAGTGGGGGGGGAGGTCAGTGGGGGGGAGGTCAGTGGGGGGAGGTCAGTGGGGGGGAGGTCAGTGCGGGGGGGAGGTCAGTGGGGGGAGGTCAGTGGGGGGAGGTCAGTGGGGGGGAGGTCAGTGGGGAGGTCAGTGGGGGGAGGTCAGTGGGGGGAGGTCAGTGCGGGGGGAGGTCAGTGCGGGGGAGGTCAGTGCGGGGAGGTCAGTGGGGGGGGGGTCAGTGGGGGGAGGTCAGTGGGGGGGGAGGTCAGTGGGGAGGAGGTCAGTGCGGGGGGGAGGTCAGTGGTGGGGAGGTCAGTGGGGCGGCCGCGGCCCCGGGCACAGGGACGGCCGCGCTGACCCTCCTCTCCACAGAGCTGGTCTGCGATCCCGGACGCAGTGCGGACCTGGACCTGCCCCTTCGAGCTCGGCGAGTGCCCCGTGGTGGGGGGTGGGGGAGGGGGCGGGGCGGGGGCGGGCAGGGGTAACGGGGAGGGGGAGGGGTGAGGCCAGGAGGGTCCTCGGCCGAGGCTGGGCACAGCTGGGGGGGCCAGGACCCCCGAGGGAGACCCGCCCCTCAGGCTCGGCCCGGGGCACCTTCTCGCAGGCAGAGGTCCCACTGCAGCTGGGTGCCCGGCTGCCCTGGGGGCCCTGCTGACCTGGGGGCCCGGGTGACCTGGGGGCCCGGCTGCCCTGGGGGACCCGGCTGCCCTGGGGGCCCGGCTGACCTGGGGGCCCAGCTGCCCTGGGGGACCTGGCTGCCCTGGGGGACCCGGCTGACCTGGGGGCCCGGCTGCCCTGGGGGACCCGGCTGCCCTGGGGGCCCGGCTGACCTGGGGGCCCGGCTGACCTGGGGACCCGGCTGACCTGGGGGCCCGGCTGACCTGGGGGACCCGGCTGACCTGGGGGCCCGGCTGACCTGGGGGACCCGGCTGACCTGGGGGCCCGGCTGACCTGGGGGCCCGGCTGACCTGGGGGACCCGGCTGACCTGGGGGCCCGGCTGACCTGGGGGCCCGGCTGACCTGGGGGACCCGGCTGACCTGGGGGCCCGGCTGACCTGGGGGCCCGGCTGACCTGGGGGGGGGGGCCTACAGACACAGAGGCGCTGTGGGCAGCTGTCCACTACCATCCGGCCAGCCAGGCGCTAAGCTGGGAGCCGGCCTGCCCGCTGAGCGGCCTCGTGAGCCTGTGCTGGCGCCCGGGGCCTGGGCCCCGCTGCCTGGAGCTGCAGGACTCCCGGCGGCCGGCCCACGGCAGGGTGAGGGCCATGGGGGTGAGGGCCATGGGGGTGAGGGCCATGGGGGCGGGGTGAGGGCCATGGGGGTGAGGGCCATGGGGGGCGGGGTGAGGGCCATGGGGGTGAGGGCCATGGGGGTGAGGGCCATGGGGGCGGGGTGAGGGCCATGGGGGTGAGGGCCATGGGGGCGGGGTGAGGGCCATGGGGGTGAGGGCCAGGGGGGCGGGGTGAGGGCCATAGGGGGTGGGGTGAGGGCCATGGGGGGTGAGGGCCATGGGGGTGAGGGCCATGAGGGGTGAGGGCCATAGGGGTGAGGGCCATGGGGGGTGGGGTGAGGGCCATGGGGGGCGGGGTGAGGGCCATGGGGGTGAGGGCCATAGGGGGTGGGGTGAGGGCCATGGGGGGTGAGGGCCATGGGGGTGAGGGCCATGAGGGGTGAGGGCCATGGGGGTGAGGGCCATGGGGGCGAGGTGAGGGCCATGGGGGTGAGGGCCATGGGGGTGAGGGCCATGGGGGTGAGGGCCATGGGGGGTGAGGGCCATGGGGGTGAGGGCCATGAGGGGTGAGGGCCATGGGGGTGAGGGCCATGGGGGCGGGGTGAGGGCCATGGGGGTGAGGGCCATGGGGGTGAGGGCCATGAGGGGTGAGGGCCATGGGGGTGAGGGCCATGGGGGCGGGGTGAGGGCCATGGGGGGCGGGGTGAGGGCCATGGGGGTGAGGGCCATGGGGGCGGGGTGAGGGCCATGGGGGGCGGGGTGAGGGCCATGGGGGCGGGGTGAGGGCCTTGGGGGGTGAGGGCCATGGGGGCGGGGTGAGGGCCTTGGGGGTGAGGGCCATGGGGGCGGGGTGAGGGCCATGGGGGCGGGGTGAGGGCCATGGGGGTGAGGGCCATGGGGGGCGGGGTGAGGGCCATGGGGGTGAGGGCCATGGGGGCGGGGTGAGGGCCATGGGGGGCGGGGTGAGGGCCATGGGGGGCGGGGTGAGGGCCATGGGTGTGAGGGCCATGGGGGGCGGGGTGAGGGCCATGGGGGTGAGGGCCATGGGGGCGGGGTGAGGGCCATGGGGGCGGGGTGAGGGCCATGGGGGCGGGGTGAGGGCCATGGGGGGCGGGGTGAGGGCCATGGGGGGCGGGGTGAGGGCCTTGGGGGGCGGGGTGGTGCCCATGGGCAGGGGCGGGGGTGCACAGGCCTCAGGCCCTGACCCCGCCCTCAGGTGCAGTACTCCCTGGTGGACACCCAGCCCCAGCTCTGCCTCCAGGTGAGGGGCTGGGCCGGGAGAGGGCGGCCACAGCCAGGAGGCCAGCAGCCCTTCACCCAAGGACCCCCCCCTGCAGGCCTCGCTCAGCCTGGGCCACCCTCTGCCCCTCCCGGTTTGACGGTGGGTGGTGCGCAGGGCTGGGGTGGGAGTCAGGGCCGAGGGCTGGGCAGACGCCCCCAGTGGCACCCTCAGCCGCCCTCCCCCAGGCACCCCCAGCCGCCCTCCCTCAGCTCACACCCCCAGCAGCACCCCCAGCCGCCCTCCCCCAGCCACCCTCCCCCAGCCGCCCTCCCCCAGCTGCCCTCCCCCAGGCGCACCCAGCCCCCGTCCTCCCTGCAGTTCTCCACCAGCCTGGGCTTCCATGTGAGGTGCCCCTTCCAGCAGCCACGCTTCCCAGGTGAGCACCCCCTGTGCCCCGCCCCCCCAGCTGTGACCTCTGCCTGGGGAGGCAGCAAAGGGGGGAGGAGGAGGGGGGAGGCAGGAGGGAGGAGTGGGAGGGAGGACAGGGGAGGGAGGAGTGGGAGGGAGGACAGGGGAGGGAGGACAGGGGAGGGAGAAGTGGGAGGGAGGAGTGGGAGGGAGGACAGGGGAGGGAGGACAGGGGAGGGAGGACAGGGGAGGGAGAAGTGGGAGGGAGGAGTGGGAGGGAGGACAGGGGAGGAAGGACAGGGGAAGGAGGACAGCAGGAGGGAGGACAGGGGAGGGAGGACAGGGGAGGGAGGACAGCAGGAGGGAGGACAGGGGAGGGAGGAGTGGGACGGAGGACAGGGGAGGGAGGACAGGGGAGGGAGGACAGCAGGAGGGAAGACAGGGGAGGGAGGAGTGGGAGGGAGGACAGGGGAGGGAGGACAGCAGGAGGGAGGACAGGGGAGGGAAGACAGGGGAGGGAGAAGTGGGAGGGAGGAGTGGGAGGGAGGACAGCAGGAGGGAGGACAGGGGAGGGAGGAGTGGGAGGGAGGACAGGGGAGGGAGGACAGCAGGAGGGAGGACAGGGGAGGGAGGAAGGGGCGGCAGGCCTCAGCCCTCCACCCTCAGCCTGGAAGATGACCGTCGGCCCAGCACCGTCCGGGACCCACCTCCGCGTCGCCTTCTCCTCGCCCGGCCCCGCCCGCTTCCGAGTGAGCCTGTGCCGTGGGCGGGAGACGTGGCCCCCGGCCTGCCACCAAGCCCTGCAGGCCCCCACCCTCCCCGCAGCCTCGGTGAGCGTCGACCCCTGACCCCTGACCCCTGACCCCAGTCCTCCTCCAACCCCGCCCTCTGCCAGGCCAGGGCCGCCTGCGGGGGAGTGAGCAGGGGGCTGACCCCATGCTACACACACACACACACACACACACACACACGCGCGTGCGCGCGCGCACATACGCACACGCACAGACATACATGCACACACACATGCGGACATAGGCGCGCACATGCACACATGGACACACAGACACGCACAGACACACAGGTGTGCATGAGGGTCAGGGATAGGGCCCTGCACTGTCCCCACGCCTGTCCCCTCCCAGGCTGACGGCACGGAGGACCCTGCCTTTGTGGACGTTCCCAGGGACGAGGCCTGTGGGCCTGACACGTGCATCCAGGTGCGGTGCCTGCCCAGCCCCCACTCCAGCCTGTCTCTGCAACCCCCCCCCCCCGCTGCCCCAGCAGCCTCTGCGGCCCCCCTCTGGGCACGGGGCGGGGGGCACAGCAGGGCCCGGGCCACACTGACCAGCTGCCACCCCCCTCTGCAGGGCTGGAGAGCCGACCTGCACTTCTCAGCCCCCCAGCAGCTGTGCGGCGCCCGGTGCTGTGAGTGCCCACCTGCTCCGCGGGGCATGGGGGCCTGGCCCTGCCCCCGTCTCCGTCGGGATGGGTGTGGGGTGCACCACACAGGAGATGGGGTGGGGGGTCACCACCCAGTCAGGCCAGACAGAGGCAAGGCCTGGGCCCCCTGGGTGCCCGGCCCCTCCCGAGTGTCCACCACCCTGATCGGGCGCTGCCTCCTTCTGTCCAGGAGCCGGGAGGTGCCTCAGGCCAGACTCCGGAGACCTCCGCCCCCCCCCCCCCCCCAGGCTCTGCGTCCGGACACCACAGCTGGGTGCCAGCACCCTCCCAGCCTCCACACGCCCCCCGTGTGGGGGAGGGAGAGTGTGGCCCTCTGGAGGCCCTGCACACCCCGTCCTCGTAGAGGGGCCGGGCTGGAGGGGGTGGGAGGGGGAGGTGGCCCCGGGGGCTGCGGCCCGTACTCACCACGCCTCCTCTGGGGCCTCTGCCCACCTTTACCCAAACCGGACAGGAGCGAGGAGCCTCTGCAGACGCCGTGGCTCCGGCATAGGAAACGCTCAGGAACCCACGAAGAACGCGGAGCTCCGAGCACGCCCAGCGGCCTGGCCCCTGCCCCCCACCCACCCCCCGTCTCCCAGTGGGGATGGGTGTGGGTGCACCACACAGGAGACGGGGCGGGGCCTGCGAACCCCGCGGCCCCGGGCACCTCCAGCCCACGGAGCGAGCCCACGGGCGGCCACGGAAACGGCGCCGCGTGCAAAAGCCCTGAGGGAGCGCCAGGCTGAGGCGCACGCCTCCCGGGGGCGGGGCGTGTGCACGGGGCCCAGCCCCGGGAGGACGGGGAGACCATCTCCGCGGAGGAGGCATTGGCGCTCCGGGAAGACGGTGTAATTAACCCGCCGATGCGGCATCCAGACCTCACGCCGTCTCCCTCAGAAACCCTGAATGCAGGCGGGTGACAGAGGACCTGAACGGATGCATCATCTCGGAAAAGAACAAAGCCGGGCCCGGCTGGCGTGACTCCGGGGTTGAGCTTTGACCTATGAACCAGGAGGTCACGGTTCCATTCCCATCCAGGGCACAGGCAGAGGTTGCAGGCTCGATCCCCAGGGTGGGAGGCAGCCGATCCAGGATTCTCTCTCGTCATTAATGTTTCTGCCTCTCCCTCTCCCTTTCTCTCTGAAACCAATACAAATATTTTTTAAAAAATAAAAGAACAAAGTTGGACTCACACCTTCCGAGTTCAAAATTTATTACAAAGCAGCAGTGACCGACGGAGGGTGGTCCCGGCCTGAGAACAGACATGGAGGCCAACAGAAGAGAGTGAAGGGTCAAGAAATAACACCCCCCCTCGCCCTGACCAGTGTCGCTCAGTGGATAGAGCATCAGTCTGCGGACTGAAGGGTCCCAGGTTCGATTCCTGTCAAGGGCATGTACCTTGGTTGCAGGCACATCCCCAGTAGGGAGTGTGCAGGAGGCAGCTGATTGATGTTTCTCTCTCATCGATGTTTCTAACTCTCTATCTCTCTACCCTCCTCTCTGTAAAAAATCAATTAAAAAAAAAGAACAGAGAATCTCTCTCCCTCCTCCCTGGCCCCCACTCGGACACAGCGAGAGTGCAGCCATCTGCAAACCAAGAAGAGAAGCAGCCCTAACCTGTCTAGCTCAGTGGGTAGAACATCAGCCTGTGACTGAAAGATCCCGGGTTCGATTCCGATCAAGGGCATGCACCTTGGTGGCAGGCACATCCCCAGTTGGGGGCGTGCAGGAGGCAGCTGATCGATGTTTCTCTCTCATCGATGTTTCTAACTCTCTATTCCTCTCTCTTCCTCTCTGTAAAAAATCAATAAAATATATATTTTTTTAAAAAAAAGAGAGAGAGAGATGGAGAGAGGGGCGCCATTCTGGTTCACGTTTCAGAGACGGCTGGGACGCCGAAGAGAAACATTCCCGGTGTTCCAGGAAAATGCCCAGAAAGGAGCTTTTCAGGTTTGCAGGCACGTCACAGGGACGGAAAGAACACACAGGTTTCTGAAGAAGGTTCTAAGCCAAGGGAGGGGAGGGGACCTGTTTCCACTGGGTGCTGCCGAAGACCAAAGGAAAACCAAGGACGCCTCAGAGGAGCGGAGGGACACTGTTTAACACCCCGGCCGGCTCGGGGGACAGCCTTCCAAACCCCAATCTCCCTGTGGTCCTCGTCCTGCAAAGATGGATTGTGCTTCTAGTCCTTTCTCGGGCCTGCAAGAAGGCCACTGGGGTCTCCAGGCGTATCTGAGGGTCTGGCCTGGTGCCCGCGTTGATAACTCTCCCCTCCCTCCAGGCAGGCACTGTCCACAGTGACAGGTTCTGCAGGACCAGTGTCTGGGACGGAGAGAGGGACTTAATTACTTACAGGTTATCTGGAATGTGCACTGAGCTTGCTGGCGTGGATTCAGATAACTAGCCCTGAATATCAGGGTTCCAGTGGGATTGGCTCTTAGCCTCCTCAGGGGCACCAGGGAAAGTTCAGATCTGTCCTTAGAGCACCTGAAGGCAGGGGGGGGGGCCATGCGAAGGCCCTGGGGCAGGTGCGTGAGTGGAGGGGGGAAGGGACAGGAGGTGGGGAGGCAGGGGGGCCAGAAGGGGCCGGGGTTCAGTTCTGGTCACCGGCACATCCCCAGGGGGCGTGCAGGAGGCAGCCAATCCATGAGTCTCATCCTCGATGCTTCTCTCTCTCTCTCCCTCTCCCTTCCTCTCTGACGTCACTGTAAATGACCCCCAGCGGGTGAGAACAGGGGTGCAGGTGGAGGGTCCCCTCAGGGAGGGAAGGAGAGAGGGGGGCAGGGCGGCAGCCTGGAGGCGGCGGACTGGAGTGTGCCATGTTGGCGCCAACAGGATTTCCTGGAGGAGGCTGAGGGCTGGAGAGCAGCCAGGGATGCTCTGCTGTTTGATCTGAGCCCCGGGGCGCTGGGCCTGGCGCCTCGGAGATGCAGGTGGGAGGGAGGGGGAGGGAGGGGGGGAGAAGGGAGGAGGAGGGAGGGGAGGAAGGGGGCGGTGCCCCAGGCTCCAGCCTTTTCCTGTCTCCACCATGGAGAGGCCGCTGGGCACCGGGGGCACCAGCAGAGGATGGGGAGGGAGGGGGAGAAGGGGAGGCGGGGCTTAGGGCGGAGGGGCGGGGCTTAGGAGACGGTGAGGCTTAGGAAAGGAAGGGCGGGTGTCCAGGGGCGGGGCTTAGGGCGGGGCGGGGCTTAGGGAGGATGGGGCGGGGCGAGTGCCCAGGAGGGGGGCGCTGAGGGGCCAGGCCAGGGGGCCCCTGGAGGTGCGGGGACCCCTCCCAGCTGAACTGGGGAGGCCTGAGCGAGGCCTGGCGGCGGGAGGGCGAGGCCAGCAGGGACGCGCGTTCAGCAGCGGAGGAGGGGGCGGGGGGACTAGGGGACCAGGGCGAAGGCGGGGGCGGGGAGCCGCTAATGGGAACGAAGGCCAGGCGGGGGCCGGAATGCCCTGACATCAGCCTAGGGCTGGGGCGGCGCACCCCGGGGCTTCGCTCCGTCCTGGCTGTGGGTGGGAAGTGGTGACTTTATGGCTCATGAATGTCCCTCCATGAAGCGGTTCCAAAAATACTCCCCGTGGCCCGCGTGGCCCCGGGCTGAGCGCTGACCTGTGCAGCAGGTCACCGTGTGACTCAGGTTTGAGGGCACAGGCCCAGATCGCAGGCTCCATCCCCAGAGTGGGGCAGTGATTCTCTCTCATCACTGATGTTTCCATCTCTTTTTTCCTCTGAAATTTCTTTTTAAAAATTATTTTCTAAAAATACTTTTCATGAATTCCCTCAGACCTCCCTTTCACTTTCTTCCTTAAAAAAATAAAATAAAATAAACTATATTATTGAGTTTTTACAGAGAGGAAGGGAGAGGGATAGAAAGCTAGAAACATCGATGAGAGAGAAACATGGATCAGCTGCCTCCTGCACACCCCCTACTGGGGATGTGCCTGCAACCAGGGTACATGCCCTTGATGGGAATCGAACCTGGGACCTTTCAATCTGCAGGCCAACACTCTATCCACTGAGCCAGACCGGTATCAGCTCGATTTCACTTTCTGAGAGATGTTTAAAGTGGCTCCGGGTATGAGTTTAAGCCGAGCTCTGGGAGGGCGGGGGTGGGGGAGCAGTCAGCAGAGCTGTTCCTGAGGGGCAGGCTCCCCAAGGCTGCCCCCCGCCCCCGCCAGGCTCTGCTCCTCCAGGCGCCCTGGCTCCGCAGGAGAGGCGTGGGTGACACGGGCACTCGTCCCGCTGGGCGCACCTCTGTGTGCCGGCCCCACCCAGCGCTGCCTCCTCCCACAGAGGGACCCGCTGCCCGGGGACGCCGTCTCAGCTCCTTTTGGACGGGGAGGCGCCCAGTGGGGAACCGCGGCCCCGAGATGGAACCCCAGCCTGGGCTCCCGGGCCAGGAGCCGGGAGCTGGTCGGCTGTGGGTGCCCAGAGGCCCCCCAGATGGGCTGTGCTGTGGGCATGGGACCTGGGCCGGGGCCTGGGGCAGTGCCCAGCGGGCAGGCTCCGGGCGCCCACACTGGCTGGCCGTAGGGCACGGCGGCCACGGCGGGCGGGCAGCCCCAGGCGTGGAGGGAGCTGGCAGGCCGGTGCTGGTCCTGTGTGTGCGGACGGGACAGGCAGTCCCAGCGCCGGGCTGGGTGGCCGGGGACGGGGCACAGCACGGAGCCAACGGGGCCAGGGGGTCGGCACCGCCCGCCTGCTCTCACGCTCTCACCTTGGGGGGCTCACTGAGCACATGCACCCCCATCTCCATCCCCGCACCCTCGGGCTCCACTCCTGCATCCAAATGAACCCCACCTCCCAGACCGCACCCCTCCTGGTCTCAGGACCCCTCCTTCCTGGGCCCGGGCCCCCCTGCCAGCCACTGGCCCACACATCACCCCGCCCTTTTCCAGCCCTCCACACTGCCCCCCACAATGCCCTCCATGCCCTCCACACTGCAGGCATCTTCACCAGAGGGCCTCGCTGAGGGACATGGGGGTGCTTTCTCCGTCTCCTGGCCCAGCCCTGTCCCCCCATTCCCCTCCCCGCCCAGGCCTAGCTGGGGCCTCCTTCTGGGCACAGGGAGGGGGTCTGGCCTCTCCTCTGCACCCCGCCCCCCTCTCCTCTGCACCTGCCCACCTCTCCTCTGCCCCCCTTCCCAAGGCTGGAGGAACCAGCCGTCACTAAGCACCGGTTCCTGCTCAGCAGCAGCACCTGGGGCCGGGGCCTGGGGCCGGGGTCTGAGACCCTGGGGCAGGGCAGGTGCCTGCCTCCCCTAGGAGTGGATGGTGCCAGTGACAGTAGGGTGCCAGCCCGCTGAGGGTCTGGGCAGGCAGATTCCTGGCGGAAGGGGTGTGGCAGGGGCCAGAGACCAGTCAGCTCACTCCTTGAGCCCCAGGTCAGGGAGATGGGACCCTCCTCCTCTCGGGATGGGAGCCCCTCAGCTACAGATGCCCTGGCCCTCTGGGGGGCCCCCATACCCATTTCCACACCTGCCAGGCCCAGTCAGTGCAGGGACCGGTACCCCTCCCCCCAGGGGGCTCTCACGCCTCCCCACCCGGCCACCGCCTGGCACTGGGCCTGGTTCCAGGAACAGCTCTCCTGTGGGGACCAGGCTGGGGAGGGCAGTGGTCAGTGCTGAGAGGCGGGCCCTGCCCAGACGGTCCAGCGGCCTGGACAGGGGGTCAGTGTGTAATGGGAGCTCCACGCTCAGGCCTTGCCACGTCTGCCTGGAAAGCCAGCGGCCTGGAAACCCGTGCCGACGCCCCGTCCGAGGCCGCCGTGGGGAGGGCGGGCCATCGAGGTGCCCGAGCCAGCCGCTTGGCTGCGCCTCACCCGCTCAGCCCCGGCCCGGTCCGAGGTGGAGGGGCTCTGCGGGCAGGTGCCAGGCTTGGCTGCCCTCTTCCCGGCCACGGCGCCGTGGCTGCGGCTCCCGGGCAGGAGGACCCCTCGGCCCCGCTGTCGAGCCCCCTGGCCGCCTCGGGGACCCGCCCGTCCCTCCGAGTCCTCTCCGGGCCCCGGGGTCTGCCGGCTGCAGGCGTGGGGGCCGGGCCCCGGGGTCTGCCGGCTGCAGGCGTGGGGGCCGGGCTCCTGTGGTTACTTCCCTTTTCCTAGAAGCAGCCGCTGAGGTTCCGTTTCAGGCTGCCAGAGGGAGGGGAGCAGCAGTTCTCGTCGCCCCGGCCTCTCTTCTGGCCGGGCTGCCGCGGGCCTCGGGGTGAGGAGGCTGGGAGGGGGCCAGCTGGGCGCTGGCCGCTCAGAGGTCAGGCCCCACAGGTGTGAACCCGCGCTGCCGGCCGGGCAGGGGCCAGAGCAGAGATACGAGCTGGCCGGCCGCCGGGCGTTGGAGCCGAGGCTGGTGCCAAGCAGAACTCGGTTCTTTCCACCAGGATCTCGGGGTTGTGTGTAGTCCCCGGGGAAAGTCCCACAGCCACAGGTGCCGTGTAAAACCCGAGCCAGTGGCTCTAAAGGAGCCTTGAGCCCTGGCTGGTGTTGCTCAGTGGGTAGAGCATCAGCCTGGGGACTGATGGGTCCCAGGTTCCATTCCAGTAAGGACACAAGCCTGGGTTGTGGGTTCGATCCCCAGGAGGGGGTGTGCAGAAGGCCGCCGATCAAAGATTCTCATCATGGATGTTTCTCTCTCTCCCCCTCTCCTTTCCTCTCTGAAACTAGTAAAAATGTTTTAAAAAATAAAGATGTCTTGCTATGAACCAGCTCTCGGCACTTGGTGACTAAGTGGGCGCCTTGGCCGCCCCAGGGCCTGACTCAGGATCCCCCGGAGACGAGCTCAGTGGGTGGCTGGTTGTTGGCTGTGCAGTGGGCGGGTGGACGGACAGACAGATGGATCATGGACTGTGGAGGTAGGTGCATGGTTGGTGCCCAGGACCCTGGGCTGGCCAGTGGGGAGCCAGGATCCTGGTTTGGGGTGGGTGGCTGTCACAGGGTGGTGGGGGGAGTGGAGGGGAGCTGTTCTCGCCTCCCCTGGGTCCCCCTCCTGGGAGCAGCGGGTGAGCCGGGAGGAGCTGGCGGCCGGGAGCACCCCCAGCAGCAGGTGGGCCGGCAGGGCCGTGGGAACTGGCACCCCATCTCCCTCCATCCACTCGGCTCTGCTGGGAATTCCTGGGCCACAGTGGCTCCTCCTGGGACGGGGGTGCACCAGGCCCCCCAGACAGACCATGCCAGGAGCAGCACCCTCGCCCTGCCTGCCCGCTTTACTTCACCAAACTCCCTGCCCTGCTTCCCATGTGGCCCCCGGACACTCCTCCGTCCAGTCCGACTTCGAGAGCAAACAGGCAGCCTGGCATGGGGACCTCCGGCGGGGGGGGGGACACACCCAGACCCTCCCCAGCCAGCCTCCCACACTGCCTTACCCCCCCGTCACACCCATCACCCACTCTGCACCCAGGCCTCGCCTGTCCCCCTGGTCTCCTGCTACCCTGACCTCCCAGGGGCCGAGGGCATGACCCCCCCCAACCTGCGTGGTCTGAGCGAGGGCCCTCTGCCCGCCCAGCTGGCCGCCCCATGTCACCCCCACGCCCCCCCAGGCCTGCCTGCTACCTGACCCCCACAGGCCGGCCGGCTCAGCCAGGCAATGCCACCCCCTCAGCTGCAACCGGGGCAGCGACACCAGGCCTCCCGGGAGGGGGAACCGGCCTGGACCCCACTGCCACTCCTCACAGGACGCCCTCCCCAGCCCCATACACACAGGACGTCCTTCTATACAAAACAATTTAATGAAATGCTTGTATAAAAAATACCATTTCCAGACATCTTGCTTTTAAACGGAAGAACCCCGTCCCGGTGCCCAGGACCACAAACAGCTGCTAAAATAAATTAACGGCCTGAGACTCTGCCGCCCCCGCCCCCGCCCCCCGCCCCCGCCCTCCGAGCAACAAGCAGACTGTACAGGTCAATAATTTAAACCCACTCCCGGGTGCAGAGCCCCACGGGGGTCACCCACCCCTTAAATTAGCCACTGTACAAGCCCACCCGCCAGAGGCAGGTGGGGCCGGCTGGGGTCCACACAGCCACCCGCCCCAGGGGCCCCGCAGAGGGAGGACCCCGACAAATAAATTAACAATAAATAGCCCTCCGCGGGGTCACCATAAATAGACGCTCGCAGGCTTGCCGCACACAGACGGGGCGCTGTGCCGGCGCAGAGCCTGCGCGTTGCATTGCTTGTGCACAGACGCCCGCAGACACCCGGAGGCGGTGCGGGAGGTGGGCACGAGGACCCTGGGCTGTGAGGAGGCCACGGGACACGCGTGCTCGTGGTCCAGACAAGGCCATGGGGCACACGTGCTCCTGGTCCAGCCTGGCCCGGGCGCCTCCGGAAGCACAGGACAGGGACAGGCTCGGGTCCAGCACCGCCTGGACAGACGGACCGCCCTGGGGTCTTTGGACAGACAGCTGAGCAAACCCAGTCCCGTGAGAGCAGCGTTCGAAAGGCACTCAAAGCAAAGGAGCCGCCCAGTGCCAAGGTGACGGTCACCGGGTCAGAGGTCACTGCTGTCCGGGCAGACGGCCGGAGGAGCCCTGCGGCCGGCTGGGCAGACGCCGTCCCTCCTCACAGGCTCTCGCTGCTCGAGGTGGTGCTGGCGCTGTCGTCCGCGTCCAGGGCGCAGAGCCGCAGGTCACAGCTCTCGGCGGCCCCGTCCGCCCTCAGCATCCAGGGGTGCGCGGCGATCTGGTCCAGCGAGGGCCGCTCCGAGGGCCGCAGCGACAGGCACCACTGGATGAGCTGCTGGCACTCTGCGGGGGGAGGGGGGTCAGCGGGCCGGCCCCGGGTGTCCCCCGCCCGGCCCCCCCTCGGCCCGCCCCGCACGCACCCGGGGAGACCCTCCGGCGGAAGAAGAGGCGGCCCCGCAGGATCTCCTCGTCCTGCTCGAAGGGGATGTCGCCGCACACCATGTCGTAGAGCAGCACGCCCAGCGACCACACGGTGGCCGAGCGGCCGTGGTAGCGGTGGTAGCGGATCCACTCGGGGGGGCTGTACACGCGGGTGCCTGGGGGGGGACACGCGGTCAGGACGCCCACCCCGGCCCCCCGGCCCCCGCTCCTCTCCGCTCCGCCCGCAGAGCCCGGTGCGGCCGGTGCCAGGAGAGGGAGTCTCCGCCGGGAAAAACCCGCGGGCGGAGAGGCGGGGCCGGACGGCTGGGAAGGCGGCGGCGCAGGGGGCGGCGCGGCGGTCACGTGGGCGCCGGCTCGGGTTTCACAACAAACAGCTGTGGGCGGAGGGGAGGGGGGACTGCGGAGGAGCGGGGAGGGGGGAGGGAGGGGAGGAGGGCGGAGGCGTGGGCGGGCGGGGAGCCCCGGCTTCCCCGGCGCCGCAATGCGGGGATTTCTGCCGGCGCCCCGCTCCCCCCGCTCCCCGCACGCAGCGCCCGCAGGAAGGGGAGCCCACGCAGCGCCGCGGGGCCCGGCACTCCCTACGCAGACGCAGACAGACAGACAGACACACACACACACACACATACATACAGGCACACACACACACACACACACACACACGCAGACACACACACATACATACAGGCACACACACACACATACAGGCACACACACAGACACACACACGCAGACACACACACACACATACAGGCACACACACAGACACACACGCAGACACACACACATACATACAGGCACACACACACACATACAGGCACATACACACACAGACACACACACACACGCAGACACACACACAGACATACAGGCGCACACACACACATACAGGCACACACACAGACACACACACGCAGACACCGCGACCCTCCAGCCACCCCCCCCTTACCCGTGCGCCCTAACACGGCCAGAGGGAGCGGTCTGAGCCCACCTCTCCCCTCCCCGCCCCCGCCCCCCCCCACGAACCAAACCAAACTGAACCGAACCGGCTCGGGATCCGCCGGGGGCTGCGTGTGAACGCCCCCCCACCCCCGCGGCCGTTACGGCCGTTGGAACGCGCCCGCGCCGCTCACCGTCGAAGTCGGTGTAGACCGTGTCCCGGAGCAGCGCGCCGGAGCCGAAGTCGATGAGCTTGAGCTCGCCGGAGCGCAGGTCCACCAGCAGGTTCTCGTCCTTGATGTCGCGGTGCAGCACGCCGCACGCGTGGCAGTGGCGCACGGCCGCCAGCACCTGCGCGAACAGGCGGCGCGCCAGCGGCTCGGCCAGGGCGCCGCGCTCCGTGATGAAGTCGAACAGGTCCTGCGCCGGCTCGGGCCGCTCCAGCACCAGCACGAAGCCGTCCGGCCGCTCGCACCAGTCCAGCAGGCGGATGACGCCGCGCGCGCCCGCCGCGCCCACCTTCCGCAGCAGCACCACCTCCAGCGGCACCGCCACGCCGCCCTGGGGGGGGGGGGGGCGGCGGTCAGCGCCCGGCCCGGCCCGGCCCGCCGCCCGCAGCAGCACCACCTCCAGCGGCACCGCCACGCCGCCCTGGGGGTGGGGGGGACGGCGGACGGCGGTCAGCGCCCGGCCCGGCCCGGCCCCCGCCCCGCCGCCCGCACTCACGATGCTGCCCCACTCCGTCACCCGCTCCTTCACCACGTGCTTCACGGCCACCTGCGGGGGAGGCGGGGGTGAGGCCAGGCCCGGCCACGCCGCGCGGGGCGGAACACCCTGCCCGCCCGGCGGCCACTCACCGGGAGCCCGTCGGCGATGCGGGTGCCCGCGTAGACGGTGCCGAAGCCGCCGCTGCCCAGCACGGCGCCCACCTGGTACACCTTCTCGAAGCTCTCCTTGTCCGCCTTGCCTGCGGGGCCGCGAGGGCGGGGTTGGTGCGGCCCCGGTCCCCCAGCACCTCCGCCCCCCGGAGCCCCAGCCCCCCGGTCCCTCCGCCCCCCGGAGCCCCAGCCCCCCGGCCCCTCCGACCCCGGAGCCCCGGAGCCCCAGCCCCCCGGCACCTCCGCCCCCCCGGAGCCCCGACCGGCCCCCCGGCCCCTTCGCTCCCCGGCCCCCGGCCCCCGGCCCCTTCGCTCCCCGGCCCCCGGCCCCCCGGCCCCCCGGCCCCCGGCCCCCGGCCCCCGGCCCCCGCGTACCCGGCGGCAGGGTCTTCCCCGGGAGGAGGTCCGCGCCGCCCGGCCCGCACAGGTGCGCCAGCGACCCGAACTTGGACAGCAGCATCGCGGCGGCGGGCGGGGGCGCGGGCGCGGCTCCGGACGCGGGAGGGCGGCCTCCGCGGCCGCGCGGACCCCGAGCCCCGGGCGGCGGGCGCGGCGGGAGCGCCGGTCCCTGGCGCAGCGGCCGAGACGCGCGCGGGCGAGGCCGTCACGCGGTGCAGCGGCCGGCGAGCTGCGTGGACCGCGTGGGCGCGCGGCAGACTGAGCGGCTCGCACTCCCGCCGCCTCGTCCGGGCTTTTGGTCCACGGACGCGCGTATCCCTCCGCGGGGGCGGGGCGAGCGGGACACCGCCCTCCTCCGCCGGGTCCGCGCGGCGGCCGCCCCCGGGAGCCCGCCGGAGCCGCTGCGGGGACGGCGGCGAGCGCCCGGGCGGCGCCTCGGGGCCGGCGCGGCGGGCGGGCGGGGCGCGGCGGCGGGGGCGCGGCGGCCGCCGGGACTACCTCGCTCAGTGGACCGCGGAGGCGCCGGGCGCGGAGGGATCCGCCTCGCGCGCACATACAGCTCGGCGCACGCGCAGCTTCGCGCGGGCGGTGCCCAGGCGCGTAGGGCGGGGCCGCGGGAGCCAATGGGAGCCTCTGTTTTCAAAGGGCACCGCGGCCTCGGCCAATCGTGGCGCGTGGGAGGGGCGTGGCCTCCCGTGGGTCCACCCAGGCTGCGCCGGGAAGGTCACCGGCGACACGCGCGCCTTCGCGACCGGGAGGGAGGCTGGGGCGTCCGTTGCTGCGAGCGGACGGGGGTCCCAGGACGCACGGGGTCCCCAGGGCGCCTCCCGCGCTGCCCCACGCCCGTACGTGTGCGTGGCCGGCAGTCCGCGCGGGGAGGCGGCGTTGCCCCTCCCGGAACCGGCTCCGCGGCAGCGCCCCGGACCCTGCCCACCCTCGGGGCTCATTCCTAGCCGGGCTGGTCCTCCCGCGTCTTCCTGGGACCTCAGCCCTGCTGACCCCCGCCTCCCCCCCCCCTCCATTCTGTGCGCCATCCTCGGTCTGCACCCACCTGGCTGCCCCCGGGCCCGGGGCTGGCCATCGCGCCCACAGGCCCCCTGACCACCGCGGTCAGCGCCCGGCCAGCCAGACCCACCCGAACCTCCTACACGGCCACTCGCCTGGGCGGCGGTGCGACCCGGCCCCACGGCTGCCCGCCAAGGCCACTGTCCTGAGCGGCTCGGGGCTCGGTGTGGGCATCCTGTGCCAGCCCGGGGTCGGAGCCGGACGACCATGCCTCCACGCGGGCCCCAAAGAAGGTTGAGGGTTGGGGGAGCCAAGAGGCCCCGGGGACGGCCCGGGGGACCCCCAGTGTGCACAGGGCCGCCCACAGGCTCCACCAACCACTGCAGCCTCCCCCGCGTGCACCCCTCCCCCGCACAGCTTAGATTCTTGTCTTCCTGGAGCGGCACCTGCCCAGCTCCCTCCAGCCCTGAGGGCCCGGACCTAAGGGAGCTCGGGGCAGAGTGTGGGTCCTGGAAAGGGGCCGAGGGCCCCGGGGCCTCCCCAGTGGCCCCGCCCAACTGGCCTCTGGCCTTGGAGTCCACCTTCGGAAGCCAGCACTCCGTGAACCCTACCAGCTTGACCTGAAGACCTGGAGTCTCCCCCGCTCAGCAGCGGGCACTCACTCAGCGGCCGGGAGGGGCGGTGTGCGTGCCCGCTCCTCTGCCCTCCTCCCTCCCAGCCCCACGGGGCCTCCTGAGTGGGCGGGACCCCGGCCTGGACAGCAGGAGGCAGCCTCTCTCCTGAGTGAATCCCTTAGAGTAGGGGTGTCGAACTCAATCAGAGAAGGGGCCAAAATCTAAAATCCAGCCTAAATCGCGGGCCGAATGGTTTACTGAACAGTCATAAACTGTCATTGTGATGGAAACGCAGCGGAGTGCAGTGATGACAGCGCGGTGCGGGCCACATTGCAAGGCCTGGCGGGACGGATTTGGCCCGCGGGCCTTGTGTTTGACACATGTGCCTTAGAGCCTTCCTCCTCTCCCCAGTCAGTTGTGTGTGTTGCAGGCACGCTGTTGTCTGCGTGTGTGAGAGCGTGTGTGTGTGTGTGTGTGTGTGTGTGAGAGAGAGAGCGCGTGTGTGAGCATCCTGCACCAGCTGTGAGCTCCATGACGGGTCAGTCGGCCTGTGCCCTCCAGGGCCCAAGGAGGGGGCTGGGCAGGGGGCCTGGCATCTCTCTGCTGGTGCAGCCACAGGGGCCTCATGTCCAGGATATTGGGGGCCCTGGTGTGCCAGACAACCCTGCCCGGTGAGTGCCCGCCTCACCCGGCCCCCTACCCTGCAGGGGGGCAGGCCGGAGGCCGGAGCGGTTCCCCAGCTGCAGAGCCCAGCTGGGGTGGAGCCAAGTCTGAGACCCAAGAGCCTTTTGCTCTCTGCCCTGGGCATGGCCCTTGGTGAGTGACCACCGGCCCCCACCCCCCTGCCCGCAGGCTTGAGCCACGCCCTTTGCCGCACCGGACGCTGGTCATCTGTTTTTTTCCTGGTTCCTGGAAGGCCCGTCCGTCCGTTGGGCCTTAAAAATAGTCCAGGAAGAGGAGAGCAATGGGGGGGGGAGGGGTGAGAAGGAACATTTGTAATAATATGAACAATAAAAATTTATTTAAAAAAAAAATAGTGCAGGAAGGCCTGGCCCTTTTTCCCTCCTCCATGGCAGCAGGCGGCGGGAGGCCAGGGTGGAGGCACCCTGACCCTGCAGCCCCGCTGACAGGAGGGCTGGCCTCCACCCCCACCAAGGTGCCCCCACAGTGACAGCGCCCCAGGACCCTGCCCACCCCGGGTCACACCCTGACCGGGCCGCCCTCCTCACGTTCCCCTCCTCCGAGGGGAGCAGGCTGGATCCCACCGCAGGCTGCACCCCGTCCCCCGTGGGGTGAGGGTGACGGAGAGGCTGTGGAAGGGACCCCAGAAACGGCCAGCCCCCAGGCCATCCCGTCCTGCAGGGGAGGAGCGGCCCTGTCCCCATGGTGACGGCCGGGCTGGCCGCCCTGGATTAGGGAGGAAGAGGAGAGTGGACAAAGGGCCCAGGCCACTCACACTGTCTCTCACAGCTACAGCCCCCCCCCACATATGCACACAGACACCCACACACACCACACACACAGACACACCACACAGACACACACCCACACACACCACACACATAGAGACACAGAGACACACATAGCCACACACCTCACACCACACACACACACATACACACATCACACACACAGACACACCACACAGGGACACACAGTCACACACACACACAATCACACCAGGTTCCCCCCCCTCATTGCAAACCCCCCCGCCCCCCGGTCTCCACTGGCCTCCACTGGCCTCCACTGGCCTCACATCCGCACTGCAGCCTCTCACCCGCCGGGAGGGCAGCCAGGGGCCCCGCCGGGGTTTTGCAATGCTCCCCACAGGCGGCCGGGCGGGGCCGGGGCTGGGGGTGCGTCCGTGGGAGCTGGTGGACAGAGCCTGCTGAACTCTGCCCTGGGACAGGCCAGGCCACACTGGGCACCGCGTCTGCACCGGCCTCGTCCCTGGCAACGCTTCTGGTGCCTCAGACCTCGGTCTCTCCCTCCTCAGCCTCCCCCGGACCCCGGCCCAGCCTCAGTGCCAGCCGGTCTCTCCGCCCCCCGGCACTGACTGGCCATGCCCGCCTGGCCCCCCTGCCTGTCCGTGGGGGCTCGGTCACCCCGTGCAGCCCGGAGGAGGGGCCTGGAGGTGGCTCCCAGCACACAGTGGGCGCCTGGTGGATGCAGCCCTGGGGGCTCTGGCTGTTGTGGGCACAGGCCCGGGTGAGGATGAGGAGAAGGCCTTGAGGGGAGGACCCCCCTCCCCCGGGCACTGCTCAGCGGACTCTGGAGGCGGCACCTGCGACTGCCCGGGGCCAGGGTTTGGGTCCGAGCTGGAGCCAGCCAGGTCTCCTCTCTGAGGGGGTGCTCTGGCCTGGCCAGCGTGGCTCCGTGGTGGAGCTTTAACCTCTGAACCAGGAGATCACGGTTCGATCCCGGTCAGGGCACAGGCCGGGGTTGTGGGCTCCATCCCCAGTGAGGGGTGTGCAGGAAGCAGCTGATCACGATTCTCATCATTGATGTTTCTCTCTCCCTCTCCCCTCCCTTCTCCAAAATCAATAAAAATATGTTTTTAAAGTTAAAAAAAAGCAGAAAGGGCCGCTCTGTGCGGGCACCGCGGGGGCTCCGAGGGGCTTTGCTCAGCCCCACCGGCCACGCTGACCTCGGCCACGGAGGAGCCACCCCTTAGAGACGGGCCGGGAGCCCCCGATGGCCTCGGAGAGGCGCCCTCAGTGAGCCGGCACCCTGCCTGCGCCCAGCGCCCTGGTGCCCCGTCCGCCCCTCGGGCACAGCCTGGGGGAGAGGGTCAGCGCCAGGCAGGAGCCCACTCCGGACGGCCGGACGGCCGGTCGGACAGCTGTGTGGGAGAGAAGCTCGGCAGATGGAAGGCGGCTTCAGGTCAGGCTCGATCTGTCCCCGCCCGCAGCCCCAGGCAGCACCCGCAAGCTCGGAGCCCACACGCCCTCGATGGTCCCCTCCTTCGATGGTTCAGGAGAGCCAGGGGAGGGGAGGGGCCCCACTCCTGAGCGAGGGGGCAGGGCCTGAGTGGCACCCAGCACCCGGAGGCGGCCCTGGCATGCGAGCTCCCTGGGCCTGCCCCACGCGCCCTCTCCCGTCCCGTCTGCAGGAGCCAGCAGCCGGGGGGGCAGGGGCAGGTCCTGGACGTGGAGCCCAGCCAGGGGGGGGCACGCCCCCCTCCCCTGCCCCACCCCGGCCAGCTGTGGGAGGCCGAGCTGCCCGGCTGCACCACCTCCCACAACCCTGGCTGTGGGTTTGGGAAAAGGACCAGTCCGGCTCCTGGGGACCTCCCCCGCGCCCACTGGGCATTGAGATCCCAGGATGCAGTGGGGCAGAGCCGGATGGGGGAGCAGTGACCACCGAGGACGCCCGTATTCCGCGGCTACCGGCCCGGCCGGTGTGGGACGGGGTGTGTGTGTGTGTGTGTGTGGAGGCTGGGGACCCAGCCACACCCCGCTGCAGGCTTTCCCGCCTCAGCCTGCTGTCCTAGGGGAGCCCCTGGAGGAGGAGGAGGAGGAGTGGGGATGCTGGCCAGCCCCCCACCACCCGAGTTTAGGCTCCAGCGGGACCGGCAGTCTCGAGGGCCCCCGGGGACCTGGGCGCTGCCCTCGCTGGGCCTCCGGTTTCCTCAGGCGCCCTGACCCCGGGGTTGTGACCAGGAAAGAGCCTGCTGGGCCGTGGCCGGGCTCCTTCCGGCCTCAGGGCTCCCCCATCCTGGGGAGTGAGAGTGGGAGCCCCCGGCCAGGCCAGAGGCCACATGGACCCCAACGAGGAGGTGCCCCAGCGCACGGCGAGGTGCCCCCCACGCAGGACGGGACGCTGCCGGCCTCCTGCAGGGGGTGGCAGTGGCGTGGGATTCCGGAGCCAGGAGCTGGGAGGACACCCAGAACCCCGGGGCTGGCCAGCCGGGCCCAGGGCCCAGGCAGGACACCTGTGCCCTCACCTTAGAGCAGGTGAGCACTCGGTGTGGGCAGAGGCTGCCAGCTGGCCACGAGGATGGCAGGGCCTGCGCTCACACCTGGTCACCTGCCCTCTCCAGTCCTCCCGCCGGTCAGGCCTCCTGGCTCCCCTCCCCCAGGGCAGGGGGTCCTCCCAGCCCCTCTGGCAGAGGGGATGTAGCTGTGCTGGGTGTGGCCGAGGGCTGGACACGGCGTCTGGCCACCTGCCCGCCGTCCAGATGGGGAACTGAGGCCCGGCCCCGGTGGGGTCGTGGGCAGGCCCAAGGGCCACCCGGGACCCAGGGCCGGACCCTGTCAGCGCAGCTGGACCAACTCCCCAGAGGAGCCCGGAGCGCGGACGGGGCCGGGCAGGGCGGGGGCCCCCCTGAGGGAGGGGGCGTGGGGGCAGGGCATGCACAGGTGCGCGCGCACACACACATGTACGCACACGGACACGCACACAGACGGACACGCACACACACAGCAGTGCATTCGTGGTGGGACTGCGGGCGGGTGGGGGTGCTGCCGCTGGTGCAGAGCGGCCGAGTCACCCCGAGGACAGAGGAATGAGAACTATGGCAGGAACTCAGGCTCCCCGCCCCCGCCCCTCCCCTGCCCAGACCCTCCTGCCTCCTGCCCCTGGAGGTGGAGTGTCAGGGCCCTGCAGGCCGGCCAGTGCTGCAGGCCACCCTCCCGGCCCGGCCCCAGCCCCAGGGCAGCGTCCCCACAGCAGCCCCCGAGTCGGCCCCACAGCCTGGGGGTGTGCCCAGCTGCTGGGACAGCCTGGCACTGCCCGGCCCACCTGGGCCACCACCCCTCAGCCTCTCTGCTGGGCCCACTCAGGGCAGGGCCCGGGGAGCTGTGCTGGGAGGCAGGGCTCGGTGCCTCTGGTTCCCCCATCGCCGCACAGCAATGCGGGGCCCTGGGGTCCACACGGGGCACCCTCCCGTTGGCGCCAGGTCGGTCTGCAGCCACTCCCCGCACAGCTGGAGGCAGTGCCACACACACACACACACACACACACACACACACACACACATCCTTCGCTGGGTCTGGCCCCACCCTGCGCGGTTCCCTCAGAGGCTCCCGTGGGTGGCCGGGCCGGGGGAGGCTGACTCCTGGTTTCTGGGACACAGCTTCGGGGTTTCGACCTGCAGTCCCTCCCTCACTCCCCGGCAGGCGAGTCAGCGCCTCTGTGACCTGGGACTGAGGTGCCACCGCCCACAACACTGACCCTGAATCCGCCTGCCCCACCTGTATGGCCCCCAGCCCCAGCCCCAGCCACGACCACAGCCCCAGCCACATCCACAGCCACAGCCCCAGCCACAGCCCAGCCACAGCCCCACCTGTATGGCCCCCAGCCCCAGCCCCAGCCATGACCACAGCCCCAGCCACAGCCACAGCCACAGCCCCACCTGTATGGCCCCCAGCCCCAGCCCCAGCCATGACCACAGCCCCAGCCCCAGCCCCCAGCCCCAGCCCCAGCCACGACCACAGCCCCAGCCACATCCACAGCCCAACCCAGCCACGACCACAGCCCCAGCCCCACCTGTATGGCCCTCAGCCCCAGCCCCAGCCATGACCACAGCCCCAGCCCCAGCCACGACCACAGCCCCAGCCACATCCACAGCCCCAGCCCCAGCCCCACCTTTGTGGCCCCCAGCCACAGCTACAGCCCCAGCCCCAGCCCCAGCCCCCAGCCCCGGCCCCGGCCCAGCCACAGCCCAGCCACAGCCACAGCCACAGCCACAGCCACAGCCACAGCCACAGGCTCAGGCACAGCCACAGCCACAGCCCCAACCACAGCCCCAGCCCAGCCACAGCCACAGCCACAGCCACAGCCCAGCCCCAGCCCCAGCCCCAGCCCCAGCCACGGCCACGGTCCCGGCCACAGCCACAGCACTTCCAGCCCCCCCACCCCATCCTATGTTCCCTCTTCTAGAGTCTGGAGCAGCTCTGAACACCCCCCCTTCCCCAGCTCAGAACCCGCCCTGGGTCCCTCTCTCCTGGGGAGGAAAGGCAGAGCTGTGTGTGGGCCTCAGTTTTTGCAACTGTAAAATGGGTCTTGGGGAGCACCAGGTCTCAGGGAGCACTAGGTCCTCGGGGGGATCTAGGACTCGGGGAGCACCAGGACTCGGGGAGCACCAGGTCTCGGGGAGCACCAGGACTCGGGGAGCACCAGGACTCGGGGGGAGGTGTGGGTGGCGGGGCGGTGCCTGTGTGCTGGGCAGGTGGTGGCTCCTGAGGGGGACCCGCTCCTGCCTCTCCAGCCCCTCCCGGCGGAGAAGCCCTCTGCCAGCCTCTCTACCTCCAGACCAGCACCCACTGGGCCAGGCCGGGGCGGCAGGGCTGCTGGACTGGCCTCGGGGTCAGGCTGGGCACCCTTCCAGGTCCTGGGTCCCAGCCCCCGCACCCTCCTGAGGCGTCTGCTGAGGCCCTTTCCTGAGCCCATTCACAGACGGGGAACAGGCTCCAGCTGCCAGCCCGCTGGGCAGTGCTGCCAGCACACAGGCAGGAAGCTGGGCCCGGGTAGCTAACGGGCTGAGGCGGAGACGTGGGGTCCAGAGCCCAAGGCCAGGACGCTGGGGCGCCCCCTGAACCGGCCCTGTGCTCGTTCCGCAGTGAGGCACATCAGGACAGAAGTTGGGGTGTCTCATGGGGAGGACAGGGGGTCAGGAGAGTGGGGAGTGGAGGCTGGGATAGAGGGACCAGGCCAGGCCAGGGTGCTGGGAGCAGGCGGCCTCGGAGAGGTGGGCCTGCTGGGGCGGGACCCAGCGGGCAGAAGGAGCCCCCTGGGGTGGGCAGGGGGGGAAGGGGAGGTGGTTGCACAGGGCGAGGGGCCCCGGGCTCCTGCAGACTGACAGCTGCCGGGCGGAGCCTCTGGGGGGGATGGCCGGAGGTGGGAGCAGCGGCCCCCAGCCAGGCTGCTGGGTGAGGAGGGTGGGCGGGCAGAGCCGGCAGGACCCCGAGCTGGGCCTCGGCCCGCAGTCTGCCAGCCCCACCCCGTGACTGGCCTCCGGGCTCGGCCAGGTCCGGCTCTGCCAACCCCGCTGGCCAGCGCCCCGGGCACTGCCCATGACGCAGGCTGTGACCTCAGCCGCCTGCTCCTGGCAAGGCCCCAGGCCTCCTGCGCGTGTGCCTACGCACCACACACACACACACACACACACACGCACACGCACACGCACACGCACACACGCACGAGCACACGCACACGCACCTGGTCAGACCGGTTCTGCCTAGCCAGCCGGCCTCAGGCCTGTGCAGGGCCCCTCCCCCGGGCCCTGCCTCAGTTTCCCCATCTGAGGCCCTTTCAGGGCCGGGCCCAGGAGGAGCCTGAGCCGGGGCGGGAGGAGCAGTGAGAGGCCCGGTGCCCACAGCCCGGAGCCCCCACAGCCCGGTGCCCGCAGCCTGGTGCCCTCACAGCCCAGTGCCCACACAGCCCGGTGCCCGCAGCCCGGTGCCCCCACAGCCTGGTGCCCACAGCCCGGAGCCCCCACAGCCCGGTGCCCGCAACCCGGAGCCCCCACAGCCCGGTGCCCACAGCCCGGTGCCCACAGCCCGGAGCCCCCACAGCCCGGTGCCCGCAACCCGGAGCCCCCACAGCCCGGTGCCCACAGCCCAGAGCGCCCACAGCCCGGAGCCCCCACAACCCGGTGCCCACAGCCCGGAGCCCCCACAACCCGGTGCCCACAGCCCGGAGCCCCCACAACCCGGTGCCCACAGCCCGGAGCCCGCGTCTTGCCCTGCCCCCCGAGTCCCTGTGGCCGGAGGTGACCCCGCCCGCTGGGCTGTCCCTGTCCCCGCTCCGGGCGAGCTCCGTGCTCCAGGCCGGGCGCCGAGGCCTCCGTGTGGGAGCTGGAGTGTGTGCGTCCGTGTGCGCAGCCGCTGAGTGACAGCGTGGGGGGTGCCCCAGGTGCCTGTGTGGGCCGGTGCGTGAGGACCCTGGGGGCCCCGGGGTGCTGAGTCGTGACTGGGAGGCCCGTGTGGAGCCATGGGCCTGGGCCAGCGGCCTGTGTCCTGCCTGACCAGCAGCCTGAGCGCCATCCCCAGCTGGAGGCTGTGGCCACCGCGCCCGGCTCTCCACCGGGAGGTCCAGGGGCCGGGACACCAGACAGCGGCTCTCGTGGCCGGACTGGCCTCCCCGCAGGCCTGGTCCCCCACCAGGCCCGGCCCCTACCTCCCCCCGGCCCGCCCCCGGCCAGTGTGACCTTCCCCAGGCCCGGCCCCTACCTCCCCCCGGCCCGCCCCCGGCCGGTGTGACCTCCCCCCGGCCCGCCCCCGGCCGGTGTGACCTTCCCCAGGCCCGCCCCCCGCCCGGTGTGACCTCCCCCAGGCCCGCCCCCCGGCCGGTGTGACCTCCCCCAGGCTCGCCCCCCCCGGCCGGTGTGACCTCCCCCAGGCTCGCCCCCCGCCCGGTGTGACCTCCCCCAGGCCCGCCCCCCGCCCGGTGTGACCTCCCCCAGGCCCGCCCCCCCGGCCGGTGTGACCTCCCCCAGGCCCGGCCCCTACCTCCCCCCCGGCCCGCCCCCGGCCGGTGTGACCTCCCCCCGGCCCGCCCCCGGCCGGTGTGACCTCCCCCAGGCCCGCCCCCGGCCGGTGTGGCTGGGCCCCCATGGACAGCCTGGGGCCTGACAGCGGTGCCCAGGGCCTGCACCTGCCTGGGAGGCCTGACCCCTCCAGCTATTCGGGGTGCGAGCACCCTCACAGTCCCCTCTGAGGGAGGCCTGCCCCCTGCGGCCCTGGGGGCTCTCTTCTCATCCACCATCCACACCCCTCCTGCCTGACCTGGAGGGACACCTGCTCTGGCCAGTGGATCGGGCAGGCCCAGGGGGCGTGGGAAACCCCGTTCCTCAGCTCTGGGGAGGGACCGGGCCCGAGGACGGCTGGGGCCAGGAGGCAGTGGGCTGGGGAGACCCGGGCGTGGGGTGTGGAGGAGGGACAGGGGTGGCACAGGTGAGGGGCGAGGAAAGGGGCAAGAAGGCCGGAGAGCAGGGGCGTGGATGGTGGATGGGGTGGGGGTGTGGAAGGGGGTGAGGTGTGGCATTGGGGTGGGGTGTGGAGGAGGGTCCCGGGTGGGGTGTGGAGGAGGGTCCCGGGTGGGGTGTGGAGGAGGGTGCCAGGGTGGGGTGGGGTGGGGTGTGGAGGAGGGTGCCAGGGTGGGGTGTGGGTGAGGGTCCCGGCCGGGGTGTGGAGGGGTAGGCCGTCAGGGGCAGGGTCACCTGGGACACAATGGGCCCTTGTCCAGCTGCCAGGCGCCCTGAGCAAACACACGCTCCGCCCGGCGGCACAGTGTGTCCTGGGCCTGGAGGCCGGGCGCGGGGCCAGGGCAGAGCGGCCCTGCCTGGGGCCCGGGGCCCGTGTGTGCCCGCTGGGCTCCCACTGCTCCGCCGGCCGGGTGTCCGAGGGTGTCCAAGGCCGTGGCCCTGCGGGGGCCGTTCCCAGGACGGCCACGCCCCACCGCGGGCCCCACCACGTTCCCCCGCGGGCCCCACCGTGGGCCCCACCGCTCCACCACGGGCTCCACCGCGGGCTCCGGGCTGCACCGCGGGCCCCACCGCTCCACCACGGGCCCCACCGCGGGCTCCGGGCCCCACCACGTTCCCCCGCGGGCCCCACCGCTCCACCACGGCTCCACCGCGGCTCCGGGCTCCACCACGTTCCCCCGCGGGCCCCACCGCGGGCTCCACCGCGGGCCCCACCACGGGCTGCACCGCGGGCCCCACCGCTCCACCACGGCTCCACCGTGGGCTCCACCGCGGGCTCCGGGCTCCACCGGGGGCTCAGGCTCCACCGCGGGCTCAGGCTCCACCGCGGGCTGCACCGCGGGCCCCACCGTGGGCTCCACCGCAGGCTGCACCACGGCCGTGTGCGGGGCCTGGCCATCGGCCCCCACGGCGGTCAGACACGGAGGCGAGCACCCCGCTGGGGCCTACCAGGCGGTGCCCTGGACCAGCGGGGCCGGTGGACAGACTGGCCCTGGGGGTGGGGTGGGCACGGGCTCCAAGAGGCAGCGGGAGAGAGGCCTGGCCCACCCGCCCACCCAGGGAGGTGCAGGAGCCACAGGGACCGCGGCTGGCGGGCCTGGGGGTGGGGAGGCGGGCCGGGCCGAGGTGGCACCTCTGCAGAAGGGGCTCTCTCGGCTGCCACCACTGCAGGGAGGGGCGCGACCCGCTGGGTTCGTTCCGGGTCAGGGTCACGGGCCCAGCAGGCGCAGGCTGGAGCCAGCACCGGCTCAGGAGGGCGTGGACCCGGGAGGGGCATTTGCATAACAAATGGGTTCCCTAGAAGCCGACCACTGCGTGTGGGTGCCAGGGTGTGCCCGTGCGGGTCTGCGGGCACCGGGCCTGACCCCGCCCTGCAGGGCACACCCACCTGCTCCAGGCTGTGCAGCCGCCCCCTGCACGGCCATCCGCAGGCGGCCCCCCACACCCGGCCCCCGGCCCCGGGCCCCCCACACCCGGCCCCCGGCCCCGGGCCCTCAGCTGCAGGCCTCAGAGAATCTCCTGTCAGAGACCTCACCAGCCAGGGCGTCCTGCCCAGCGCCCCCAGGTCCTCGCGTCCCGGAGGTGGTTCTGTTGGTCAGCGACTGGCCAGGCTGCCCTCAGGGCCACCCCCACCACAACACCTTCCCCCGTTCCCATCCCAGTCCTGGGCCTGCTGGCAGCGTGAAGGCCCCCCCCCCACCCTGCACCCCGCCAGGTCAGGGGGATTCTGAGACCCCCGGGTGCTCAGACCCCAGTTTCTGGGCCGGGGAGGCGGCAGACTGGCCAGGCTGGGAAGGAGGGGCAGGCAGGACCGGGAGACAAAGCGGGGGAGGGGGGACGGGCCTGGCTGGGTGCAGGGGAGGGGCGGTGAGCCCGGAGGGTGTCACTGGGAGGGGTCTGGCTGCAGGGGGTGGTCAGAGGGCAGGACAGGGAGGGGAGAGGCGGGAGGTGGGGGGAGGACTGTGGGGGTGGAGGCCTGGCTGAGTTCTGGGAGGAGGGCACCGCCCAGCCCGAAGGGACGGACTGTGGTCCTCACTGGGGCCTCGGACCAGCACAGCCCCGTGCAGGCAGCACGGGAGATCGACAGCAGCAAAAAGCAGTGACATTCCTGTCACTGGCTGGTGGTGTCTGACTGAAATCTCCAAAATACAATCATCTCAGCCTGCAGCCATGCACAGCACCGGGAAACACACACACACACACACACACACACACACACACATACACACACGCACACAGAGAGACACTCACACACACATACACACACACAAAGACACAGACATACACACACAGAGACACACACACACACACTCACACACACACAGAGACACAGACACACACACACACACACACATACACACAGACACACAGACACACACACACTCACACACACAGACACACACACAGACACACGCACACACACCACACACACAGACACACTCACACACACAGACACACACACACGCACGCACATACACGCACAGAGACACACACAGACACACAGACACACACAGAGACACACACACTCACACACACATACAAACATGCACACACGCACGCACATACACACAGAGAGACACACAGACACACACAGAGACACACACAGAGACACACACACAGAGACACACACCACACACAGACACAGGCACATAGACACACACACACATGCACATACACACATAGACACACACAGACACACACATCACACACAGACACGCGCGCGCGCACGCACGACCGTCTCGCTGGCTCTGCGCCTCCAGCAGGGGCCGGGCGGCCGTGCACAGGGCAGGGGGGGGCGGAAGGGGTCGCCCTCAGGGACGGGGGGCGGGGGTTCTGCAGGCCGGGGTCCCTGGGGCCCGTCTCCTGGGCACAGCACAGAGCTCAGCGAGCTGCACAGAACATGGTCAGCGGAGTGGCCAGCCGGACCCGCGGGGGTGGGGCGGCCTCGCCCAGGCCCCGGAGGCCAGGAGGATGGGCCTCAGGGCCAGACCCCGGGTGTGGGTCAGGAACGGGTCCCCCCGCAGCGCACCGCGGGCAGGGAGCCGTTCCTGACCCACACCCGGGGTCTGGCCCTGAGGTCACAGGGGAGCCATACCGGGCGCCGCAGGTGGCGGCCACTCAGAGTCAGAGAAGCCCTGGGTCCGGGAGGCAATGCCACCCGCCCGGGGCCGGCCAGCTGCATCCTGTGCCAGGCGCCCCGTGGCACCTCCCGGCGGCCCCCAGGGTGGGGGGAGCGGAGGGAGACGGGGGGCGGGGGGATCTACCCTGCACACGGAGCCGGGGCTGGCATGGGAGTCCCTGTGTCTGCTTGGGGGTTGTGTGTGTGTGTGTGTGATTGCACACGCATGTACAATGCTGCATGTGTGTGCATGCACGTGAGCACATGCCCGTGTACACGTGGCTGCACGGTGGCGGGTTAGCTGGTGAGCAGTGTGTGGGCCACAGGCTGGACGCCGGCCTGGGCAGCAGTGATGTGACCACAGGTGCCCTCAGGGGGAAGGGGGCGGAGGGAGGGCATGGGGGTGGGAGAGGCCCAGACTGTCTCCGCCTCCCCCTGAGCCCGCTCTGCCCTCCCCTGCCGGGCACTGCCCTCTGTGCGCCCGGCATCTCGGGTCCGAGGCCGGCTGTGATGGACAGAGCCCGCCACCCCTGTGCTCCTGGCCGGGGCTGGTCTGTCCGTGGATTCGGGCTCCGGCAGGAGGCGGGGCCTGCAGGTGCGGGCAGGTGTTCGCCCCGTGTGCCCGGGTTCCGGGCCGGCCTCTGGGGACCCCGAGGCGAGGCCTCAGCACGGACCGGCTCCGCCCTGAAGCTGAGGCCCGGGCCAGCGGCCAGTCAGAGGGACGCGGCCGGGGACGGACACCAGGCGGCCGGCCGCCCGCGCTGCTGAGAATGGGCGGAAGCGGGGGCGGCCGCGGGTCCTGGAAATCCTCACTTCCTGCTTTCCCAACAAAAGGCCTCTGTCCCCCGGGAAGGCCGCGGCCAGCGCGGCGCGCCTTTCCGCCGTCTCCGTAAACAGGGCTCTTTGCCGCTTCTGCTCCTGGCACGGGCACAGCCCTCCAGCCCCGCCCGCCCGGCACCAGCCTGCAGGTCCATCCCGAGGGCAAGCGGGCCAGGCAGTCAGGGCCCCCGCCCAGCCCGGGGCTGGTCCCCAGAGCCAGAGTGGGCAGGCCGTGCGGAGCGGGGCCCCTTGGGGCTTGGCCGGGCCTGGGACCCTCAGGCTCGACCCTTAGCGCCCAGGGATGGCTCGGAGGCTGGCCTCCCGGGAGTGGGCAGAGGGGCCAGGGCCTCCCTCGGTGGCTCTCCCGCCAGCATGGCGGAGGGCCCTGGTGTTCAATCAGACAGACACCAGGGGATCCCTGAGGGGCCAGGGGCCGGGAAGGAGGGAACGGCCCCCAGGCGACCCCTGCAGGGACCCCAGGCGCAGGCGAGTGTGCCTGGACCCGGGGAGGGGGCGGCCGGACCGCAGAGAGGAAGTGAGGGCCACGGGCCTGCTCCCCCCCGCGGCCACCAGGGACCAGCGGGGATGGAGCGCGGCCCTGGGCGTGGGGGTGCGGCCGGCCCTGGCCGGGGTGCGGGGCGCGGGGCGCGGGGTGTGTGTGGGGGGACTGTGAGCATCGGCCAGAGCAAGGGGCTGGGGCTATTTATAGCGGACGCGGCTATTAATAGCGAGGCCGGAGGGTGAATGGACAAACGTCTCTTAATGGGGCCGTTCTCGCCGGGATGCCGGAGGCTGGCACCAGCCCTCCCCCCGCAGCCAGACAAGGGCCCCTGTTTTCTGGCGGCAGCGGAGGCGGGTGTGGGGTTCACCAGCTGGGGCGTCTCCAGCGGGTGCCCCCACCCTCCCAGCCACGCTGCCCTGAGGCAGGGTCCCAGGGAGGGTTCCCAGGGAGGGTGGCGGCGTGGGGACCTTGGGGAGCGCCCCATTTCTCGTCTGAGGTCAGGAGCGACCTGGCTGAGGGTCCTGGCAGCCAGGACAGCGAGGTGGCCCCGCAGTAAATGGGGCTCCGCTGGGCGGCACCCAGGTCGGTGTGGAGGGTGTGGGTGGCCGTCCCCTGCTGACTGCCCTCATTCCCGGGGTACCAGCTGGGGGCACCACAGGGTGCAGGTGCAATGGGGACACCCCTCCAGGTTTTCACCCCTTCCTGCTCCCCAGATCCATCAGGAGGGGGTGCTCCCTGCGCGACCCTAGCCTGGGAGGTCCCATCTGGTGCCGGGGGGAGGGGGAGGGCTGAGTCGGAGACCCACCTGGCAGGGCTGCCTCCCTGCTCCCTCCCAACCCCCCACACCCCACCCCTCCACCCCCACCTCCATCCCCCCACATCCCGGAGGCAGGGCCTGAGGTCGCAGTGGGGGGCGGGCAGGCTGGGCAGGGCGGTGCTGGACACCTTCATCAGGCCCCAGGGAGAATGTGGGATCCCGTGGAGAATGTGGGATCCCGTGGAGAATGGGGGGCCCCTTGGAGAATGGGGGGCCCCCGCGGAGAATGGGGGGCCCCCTGGAGTATGGGGGGTCCCCCTGGAGAATGGGGGTCCCCGTAGAGAATGGGGGTTCCCCCTGGAGTATGGGGGGTCCCGCGGAGAATGAGGGTCCCCGCGGAGAATGGGGGGGTCCCCGCGGAGAATGAGGGTCCCCGCGGAGAATGGGGGGCCCCGCGGAGAATGGGG